AGTGGGTGTCGCAACACTTCGTGCCGTTGGACCTGTGGCAATTGCATTGGTGGTGGTTGCATGTTTTGGGCAACATATGGTTCTTGAATAGTAGTCGATTCTGCAACAGGTTGCTGTGAAAATGGTTCATTGTTTACATTTCTGCCCTGTGGATTAGTGGGGTTATTCTGGGGAGGATTATTCATTGGATTAGTGGCTAATGGGGTGTTATGGGTAAATTGGTTCATCAGTGGCGGTCCGAATGATCGTGGTTCCGTGGTCGGATGCATCAGGCCATTCAGGCCGTTGAAGACACTCTGCATATACAGGGATTGGTCGGCCATATCCACTGTCCGGGTCGTGCGCGGCAGTGGTGGCATAGGGTTCACAATCCCCCCAACGACCTGCCTCCCTGTCCTGTTCTCGTGGTACCGCCTCCAAGGATCACTGTTGGCCCACGGGTCCTGAGGTACAGCTGGCAACGTGGATGCATTTGATGGAGGTCCACCAGAAACTGTTGACCAATGATCAGTTCCGGATTCCTGTCCAACATTGACATCTACTTCATTAACCATGAGGACCGTGGTTGGTGTGATTACTCCTGGGGGAATTTGATCGGCGGTGTCCAAGTCTACAAACAGGTTCTGCGAAGTGTCACCAGCGGCAGCCCGTCTGGGGCATTTGGCGACCAGATGTTCTTCCGAACCACATTCGTGGCATTTCATCCTACGTCCATCCGGGCCTCTTGGATTGCCCTTTCTGCCCTTACCCTTTCCACTCCCGGCTCCCTTCTTTCCACCTTTTGCCCTAAAGGCTGGGAAAATTTCCATGAGCTGGGATTCATTGAGTTCTGACAGATAAGATGAAGTATTGGTGATCTTGCCTTTGGGTTTTCCATGTTTTGTCTTACCACCTTTTCCACCTTTGTTGATTGTTCTCCGAGCAAACCTGCGTGCTTTGCGGGTCGGCTTGCCCATGAATGACCTCCAACGTGCCTTAGCACGGGAATAGGCCCAGTAGAGTTCGGCTGCCTGTTCGCTGGCCGTGGCACCCTCAGCAGCTGGCCAGGCTTCATCGCCATAGTCACTGCTGGTGTCAGTGTCAGTGCCACTGTCACCCTGCCCATCTGCCAAATACACATATGGATCATATGGCTGTGTATAAGTGGGGTATGCTTCGGATGACTGCCATTGGGATTGCCAAGAACCATGGTCATGCCATGAACTACTGGGTTGGTCATATTGAGATGTGGGTACATTTTCATTCCATGAGTGATTGTCCTGAATATGGTAACTATGCGTTGGATTTTGCCTGCCCCTCAACATATTGGACATATTTCCTGGTGCATTTTCAATGATCCTACCCATGCGTCGAATGGCGCCTTTCAACTCCGTGAACTGCTGCTCATCAGCAGGGAGAGCACCACCGAGTGGCTGCAATAGTTGGATCAGTTGAGAGTCCGACACACCTACTGCACGGATCAGCAACCAAGAAAGACCAGCATAGCTCAGGGCGAGTCCACCTGTTTCCGCCGCACGCATGCGGGTAGTATCAAACCTAGTCAGCAACGTGTCAATCCGTTCATTGGATTCCCTTCCAAATGATAACCGATCTCCCACTGCCCCTAGCCGGACTTCCTCACCTAGTCTGGCAAATCGGGTGCTAAGTTGATACATCAAAAACGTGAGTGGATCGGTTTGGGTACCATTTACGGTCCCCCCTGTCAGGATGGTCTGAGGCGGAAGAGTCCTGCTGAATTCCCGAGCTGATCCCTGCAACTGAGAAATCACACTAGCCGCATTTCGGGATGCATCCCCATCTGTAGCAATGCTCCAAATTAAGATGTCCCGTGACCAAGTACTGAAGCTATACTGATGTTCCATTTCGGGGCTCCAAGCGGGTGGCAGTCTTGGATGGCTACTCCTACCTGGCACCATACAGGCAACAAATGCACATGTGCTAAGGCCGCCTCCAGCGGCCAGCATGAGTGTTGAGTCCGAGAGCGATCTACCATCATGGTGACCTGCGGTCATCGAGCCCGAGTTGCCATGGGTGTCAAGAGACTTCGCCATGCGACTGCCTGCTTTGGATCCGGTCATGCATTTGTTCCTGGATCTAATGGCTGCATCTTTCCCATAGATCAGCTTACAGAGTTCCTTGTGACGGGCCTTTAGATGTTTCAGCTTAGAGTCGTACATGTGCAACATCCTTTCAAGTACTGATCTCTGCTGCCGTCTAAGCCGTCTACGCAGAAGTTCTGCCCTACGCTGATCTCGAGGGTTCATTTTGAACTTCCTCCTTGAGTGGTGCAGCCGCACCAGGGTCGAATTCAGCTCCTGCCTCCAGAGATCCCCATTCACCAGGCTGGGCTTGTACTCGCCTTCGGACCTGGCCTGTACTGGGGCTTTGCGACCATTGCTCGCTGCATGCCAGTGTGTAGTGACACTGATCGAGCCTGCCCCAACCGCACTGGACTGGATCACAAGGGCGCTGGTATTGCGGTCCTTGATCACCAGCCCAGTGCTGGCTGAGACAGACCCCACCAGTGCCACTACTAACACGGCACACAACTTCAGCACGGCGGTGAACATGATGCCAATCAATGGAGGGAGAATGAAAAGAAAAATGAAACTGTCGAGTCGACCCTTAGGGTATAGCAGATACCTTAAATGGGGTTACTGCCGGGGTTCCCGGCTCCGCTACCAACTCGAAAAGTAGAGGAACTAAAGTGACAAAGATGTACTGTTTCCGCAAATGTCTGTTTTCCTCTGACTGCTTGTGACGAGGTCTTGTGTTTACCTAGGTCGAGCTCTAGAGCCAGAACAGTTACATGGACAACAATGAACCTGAGGTATGATAGATCATGTACCTTTCAAGTGTATATATATATATGATCTGTATATGTGTATAATTTACCGTGTATATGTGTGTATATATATTGCATTTCATAATTCTGAGATTATAGTATTATAGTATATCCCCTATAAATATGTAAATTATAATAGATTTCATAAATATGTGTCCTAACCCATGACGAACCATGACGAACCACAGATCTACCCATCCAACCCCTGAGGCGATCACAAAGTGGTCACTGCCCAAGCTCAGGCCTGCGACCTTGGCCAAGATCTCCCAATTTATGGTTAATATGTAATAATATATATATATCATACATACATACATACATCACTTTTCATTACATTACATTACCTTACATTACATTACATACATACATACATGCATACATACATACATACATTACATTACATTACATTACATTACATTACATACATACATACATACATGCATACATACATACATAAATACATACATACATACATAAATACATACATACAATACATACAATACATACAATACATACAATACATACAATATATACAATACATACAATACATACAATACAATACAATACAATACAATAAAATACAATACAATACAATACAATACAAACATACATACAAACATACATACATACATACATACGTACATATATATATATATATATATACGTACGTACATATTTACATACGTACGTACGTATGTATGTATGTATGCATATATGTATGTATGATCATAGTTATGAATCTATTTATGATTTTATTTATGATTATATTTGTGATTGCCATTTACATTCAGAAATTATATACATACACTATGTACATTGTGTACGTATATACATATATATATATTATGTATATATATATTATGTATATTATATATACACGCTCGTATAAGTGAAATACTAGTGAACATCATGATAAACTCTGGTGCTGGATTTACTCATCTGAGCTGGATTTTCGGATACCCAATGTTCAGACGAATCCAGGACTCATCCCATATCCAACTGGATCCAACTGAGGGACTGGGATGCACATGCAAGTGGTACCATATAGAGATGGTAAGAATAGCTGATAAATGATGATAAATGGAGAGTCCACCCATCGTTGAAGTGTTAAAAAAAAACATGTTCAGAAAATTCAGAATGGTTAAGAAACTCATCCCCATACAACAATCGGTTTTGGGATGTTTAGCCCATATTTGGAGGGTGTGGAAACCGATTCTGTTGGGTTTTCCTTCCAACCCCTAGCTCCAGGAAACCCCACGCCCCCAAACTCGTAGAGGGAAGCAACGTAGGCCCACACCTCCAGTCGTGCCAGCGGACACCAATGGTTCATCGAATTTCCAAGCTGCATTGTGATCATCCCCAATTGGATGTATTGAATATTGTGATAATCCACAATAATTATACTGGTTGGTTAATAGGGATTCCCTTCTTGGAATATTAGGAAAAAAATATATATATATATACACGATATATCTATATAGATATAATCAATATATTGGGTAGTATGATCCCCGAACTAGTCATCAACCAACCTTTGGGGTTTGAAAGTTTGAACACTGATGGCTTCCAAGCTGGCCCCCCCACACGCGAGCATGCTGGTGATGCAAAGTAGTTGCGGAAAGGGAGCTGAGGGGCCTCATCCGCCATGGGATTGGCATTGATGTGTCCATATCCAACGTGAGATGAATTTGTATTAATTGGACTTAACCAACGGGGTATTAATGGGCATATTATAATGATCTACAAAAAAATATAACACACTAAATCAAAAAAAAGGATCTAACCATTCGATAGTGGAAATATGGTGTGTCTGAAAATAGGTGGTATACACCCACTCTGTGGAAATATCATGTTATATAAATTTTACTGTAAATAGGATGGTTAACCATTGGATTTGGGGATATTTGGGGTACGAGTATAAGGGTATAACGGTGTAACCAATTCTTCAGATCAACCTGTCTATATCTGTCTTTATTAAAGGTGCATTTATACAAGAAATGCACCCGAGTTGTAATCACAGTAATCAATAATAATCACTGTAATCCGACCAATTTTCGAACAAACCCATTTCAGTTCTGGGCTTTAGCTTCACCATACCCGAAAATAAGCTGGATGTCCAATGAACCCCCATGGCCAGGCCACGCCCACTACGAGCCTGCCAAAGCGTCCATTCGTGTCGGTCGCCTGACCAAACTGAAAAATCGCACGGCGAATGCTTGTTGAAAGGGAGTTGAGTCCTCATCTATTATAGTGACAATTTCCCGAACAAATGCCCTGGAAATTCTACCATAAACATCCATAAACAACTATCATTGGGGCCTCTGGGGAGCAGCTCTCATTTTGCCTCCTTGTGCTCGAAGCTGTACATAATCATTCGCCACGTAGCTGAAGTATCTGGGATGGAACAGGACCTGAGGCTGCGGTAGGCCCTATCACTGGGGGCGGTGACCCTTTTCTTTGTTGAAAAGGGCGTTTGCGGTGCGTTGAACTCATCCTCAACATGCTGCCACTTGTAACTGATAATTGCATCTGAAATGGGTCAACTCAGATTGATCCCTTCAGAATCAAAGAGCCTTCAATTCGATCGGGAAAACCAGGCAAAATCTATGGAAAATCTACAACATTCTACAACTACCACAAGACTTTTCCATGCTTTTCCACATCCGATCACCCGCTCCGATCAGGCGACATCCGCATCTGCCACTGTCAGCAACAGGGAAGAGGCATCTTTCCCATCCTGCCAGACCCCCCCGGCAGGACATGGAAATGTGTAATCTGTGCCACGGTAAAAGGGTAGCAAGACCTGCCAATAGGATCCAGATGGATCCAGTAGGTCTAGGTCAGAGGTTGTGCCAAAAAAACAAAACTGCAAGATCCTGTAACCAGATCCCAGCCATGACGCTGTATGGGACCTTCATCAGGTCACGGTAGACATCGTTCACAGCCTGGCTCCACGGTAGACATCCCAAGATCTCTGGGATTTCGCAAGGTTGGATTTAAAAAAACATACCAAAATGATATGGGCACTCAAATCTTTATCAAATGGGCACCATTAATGGCAGCTATATTCTCCAGTCGCGACCAATTCACAAAAGGACTCTGGGGTACAGTATACAATCCCTTGGGAGATCAAAAGAGAAGATGAGAATCGGCCCTCTATGGACTACAACCGCGTTTGGGTCAAAATTGGATATCAAATGAACCAACCTGTGTCGTTCTCAGTCAACTAATCTTGAATTTTGACCCATACACCTACGGAAGAGTTTCGTTTCTTCAACCACCTCCATGCCGCCCGCGCACGCTTGCGGGGACGCCTGCTTCAGATTGGATGCCTTGCCCGGGATTTCGGGATCCCATGAACCTCAGCTGGGAGATCCAACTGATTCAGCCTTTTGGGATGACAAAATGAACCAAGGGCAGAAATCATTGAACAAGCGACATCAAGATCGGTTGGAGTATGTCGGGGTCTTCGGCTGATCACTTCCCATGTCCGAGCCACATCCGTCATGGTTTCTCCTGGGACAACTACCCTCCGAATTAACAACTGGAAGTATCACAACCGGGCGTATGCCCCCGAAAAAAATGATTTGTAGCGTGTAGCCATTAGAAACCTCACTGGATTGGTTTTAGATGGTTAAATAAAGGGAAACTTTGCAGGAAAACCCTGATGCCAATTATACCAGGTCCTGTGACCCACGTTTGGGATCACCAGTGACCGGGGCCGAAACCATCCATATGAACTTGGCGCAAATTGGCCGGGTGCCAAGTACTCGTTAACCTGGGCTGATCGCCCTGCGAGGACTGGATCGGCCACTCATGCCTACTTTTCAATACCAAAACACCAATTTTGGGGGTGCTAGTTAGTTTTTTTACGAGGATGAGGATGAGGATGAGGATGAGGATGATGGTGATGATGATGATGATGATGATGATTGTTAAGAATACACCTGCACATGTACATGAGCCATACAGTTGCTGATACAACATGTTAGTCTACTCTGTGTACATTTCATGGTACGATACATTTGGGCTCCATACAGGGCCCTTGAGCTAGCGTTACTCGAGCGCTACAGTGAAAAGTACAGCGCGTGGGCTACAGCTGCTGAGAGTACAGACAAGGAAGTTGTACACTTGATTTGAACATGGTAGCGGAGCAGTGATCCCTGGACGATACAGGACAGGGTGAGCTCCAATACACATACACATTGGCAACAAAGCTACAGCATTAAGGTGAGAACATACAACAACAAACATGGCAGCAGCTACAACTGGAGGAGACCTCAATGCGATGCACAGATACAAACTACCACCACCACACTTTACAGGAGAGTACGCAACATTCGAAGAATGGAAACACAAGTTTGTGGCCTACTTGGGGCTACAGAATTCACAATTCCCCAGGCTCCTACAGATAGCAGAAACATTTGATCAACCAGTTACAGATGAGCTTCTAGCAGACGGTGCAAGAAACAGAGAAGAAGCAAACCTTTGGATACAACTCAGCAAAGACCTACACTACCTACTCATCAACGTCTGCCAAGGACAAGCAGCTGTCCTTTGCAGACAACATACACTACAAGCAGTTGGTCTCGAGACATGGAGACAACTACACAGACGCTTTTCAATTCTACTTGGTACACGCAGTGTCGGGTACCTTACAAAGCTTTTGAAACCACAGTTCAACGAAAACAAATTTGAGGAGTCTTTTACAACATGGGAATTTGAAATAGCAAGATACGAAAGAGACAACCAAGCACCAATACCTGACAACATCAAAATTGCAATACTACTCAATGAGACCAAAGGACCACTACAACAATACCTACAACTACGAGCAGGAGCCATACAACGATATGCAGACATTCGAGAACTCATTCTCGAATACCACAGAGCATCAACAGCGTTCTCCAAGATGCAAGCACAACAACAGGCAATGAACAGCAGCACAAATGATGCACAGCCCATGGACATTGGAGCTACGTACAAAGGAAAAGGAAAGTACAACAATAAGGGCAAAGGAAAGTACAACAAAGGAAAAGGAAAGACACAATGGCACAACAAAGGAAAAGGATACAAAGGATACAGCCAACAAGGATACAAAGGCAAAGGCCCAACACCGATTGGACATGGCAACCCCTTCAAGGGAGCAATGCAGTACAAATGAAAGAGCAAAGGAAAAGGACCACCATAATGGCAAAATACAACGATGAAGAAAGGCAAAGGAAAAGGAACATGCTACAAATGTGGTCAACAGGGCCACTATGCAAGGGACTGCCGAGTGGCAGTCTACAACGTCACAGACATGGATAAAGGCACAGACCAGTACAACCAACAACAGTCATACTACCAACAATCATGGACAGAACAAGAACAGTGGCACTACGAGGAACAATGGTTCCCAGATCACCAACAGTGGCAATATGACCAGCAACAGCAAGCGGCATACAACCAGGAACAACAGCCACCACAGATGCCTACAGCACCAGTGCAGGCAGTTTCCACAGTAGAATTTGGAACAACTACAATTGCCTCAGTCACAACCACAGGCCTTAACACCTACAGGACTGTCGAGCTCATGATCGACAGTGGTGCAGCAGTACATGTCTGTCCACCAACCTTTGGTACAGACTTTCCACTGATGCCTCTTACAGAGGAACAAACACCACCACTTCGCTCAGTTACAGATGAGCCCCTTTGGTTTCTTGGCTACAGATGGGTGCGCTTCAAGAACATACAAGGACAACACTTGGTGATGCCATTCTACGCCATAGATGGCATATGACACCCCATCGTCAGTGTTACAAGACTCCTGGAACAAGGTTTCGAACTCAACCTCAGAGGTACAGAGTCTACACTACAGAAAGGAGATGTGTTTCAGGCACCACTTACAACTAAAAACAGACTACTGACTACTCTACATCCACCTGGAAACAGCACCAATGGAAGAAGGAACAAAACAGGTGATACAAAACACTCCACAAGGACAAGTGGCAATGATTGCCCCAACACACACACACACACTTACAGCAACAGGACCACGACCTCAGCAAGGAGGCAACAACGACTTTTGGAAGTACAACGAACAAGGATACCTGGTCAGAGTACACAAGAGAGGAAGAAAGGCATTGTTCACACCAGGATACGGCAACCAATCAGCATGTCCAGTACAATTCGACAGACTGGACGACTACAGGAAAACAATTGTCTACAAGGAAAACGGTACGCAGGCAGTGCTTGAAGACAAGTTCAAGTCACTCACCAAACAGGAAGCAAACAGAGAGGTTACAGGTACACAATGGCAAGGAGAAACATGGTTCAGGATTCTTCCTGACAAGACGACAACAGGTCAACAGAAACAAGATACAAACAAGGAACGACAAGTTCAGAAACGAATGGATGAAGGAAAGGAAGTGAAGTACAGACACACGTATAAGCAGCAAGAGAAAGAAGATACACTACCAACACCAATGCAGATGGATGGTACGACAGACTACTGGGTGAAAGAAGGAAGGTTTTGGAAGAGAGTACATGTGAGACCAAGGACAGAGTTCTACACACCGACACCTGAAGACAATGGACCAGATGTCTACAAACTGCTCCCATACAGAGCAACACACATACGAGAGGAGCACAACATGAGAAGAATCGAAGACGATTGGACTACAGAACCACAACCAACAAGACAACAAGAATGGACAGGATCTACAACCTTTGAAGAAAGAAGAGAATACAGAGAAGAAATGCCAACAGAAGAAGAAAATGAACAACAGAGCGCAAACAAAGCGAAAGCAATGATGCAACCGGTACAACCTACACCACAGGAGATACAACAGCACAACCTCACACACATGCCATACAGGAGTTGGTGTCCTGTGTGCATACAATCTCGTGGTAGACAGACAAGCCACCAACAGCAAACATCGAGACAGCCAATCATACAAGTTGACTTCACCTACATCAAGACCTACGAAGACAAATGGCCGGTACCAATTCTGACAGCCATAGACGTACAGACCGGCATGGCAATGGCAACAACGCTTACAGACAAGAAAGGCCAGCTTGCCTATGCACAAACATCCCTACAAGCATTCATTCTTGAATGTGGAAGAGCAGAAGGTATACTACAAAGTGACCAAGAAGAATACCTGATGGCGCTCCTTACCTTAGAGCTACAGCCAAAGCAACAGGCAACATGACTCTGACAGTGCGTTTTGCACCAGCATACAGCTCACAAAGCAGCGGCAGCATCGAAAGATTCCACCGTACACTCGCTGGCCACATCAGGACACTCAGGACACAGGTACAGCAGAACTACAACACAAGACTACCGACAACACACCCAATCATGGCTTGGGCAGTACGACGCTCAGCATACCTGATCAACAGATTCCTCATCAGAGCAGATGGCTACACCAGCTACCACAAAAGATGGGGACGAACACACAATGCAGCTCTCTGTGAATTTGGAGAGACTGTGATGTACATGGTACAGTCGATCAAACAACGACCAAAACTTGAACCCAGGTTCTACAAAGGCATTTGGCTCGGCAAATGTACATCCACTGGAGAGTCCTTCATTGGCATTGCAGGCAGAATTGTACACTCACGTACAATCAGACGACTAGCAGGTACAAACAGGTACGATGCTCAATTGATGGACACAATCACTGGCACACCATGGAATCCTACACCACCAATCGGATTCCAGCCAGCTTTCATACTGCCACCAACACCAGCACCAACAGAGCAACAAGTCCAGGCAGGGCAAATACCACAAGAAGAAACGAGTACAGGCAATCAACCAACAACAGCAGCAAGCATGCTACCAACACAAAGGAAGCAGAAACAGAAGCAAAGAAAGCAAGAACAGAGACAACAAAGAAACAAAAAGTCGAAGAACAAGACAACAGCAAAGCACAGCTTCAGCAACAACGTCAACACACTCTACAGCAATGAGGTTTGGAACATCACCAATGCCAACAGGTTCACCAACCAGACCAGTGGACGACCAAGTACATGAAGGAAGTGCAAGCAAGAGCAGAAAGCAAAGTACAACACAGGAAGCACCAACGAGACCAGAAGAGACAAAGGAAAGAGACAGTACAAGACCAAGATTGAGAACCAATGCAGTTACAGTTGCATTGAAGAGTGGCAAGAAGATTACAACAGCAACAAGTGAAGACCCACAGGAGGTACGAGCAGAACAGAGGCTACTCGAGCCTCCATCTACAACAATGAAGGATTCGATACAGAGAAGTTGAAGCAAGGAATGCAAAAGGAGATGGAATCCATGAGAACACAAGGAGTGTATGATGAGATAGATGTTACAAAGCTTACACCTCAACAAAGACAAGAACTTGATCTCGACAACATCATCGAGTCAAGATGGGTCTACAGATCCAAAGGAGATGAAGTACGAGCAAGGATCGTAGCAAAAGGGTACACAGAACACATCGAAGACCAAGATGATGTGTACGCAAGTACACCACTCTTTGCAGTGCTAAGGATACTCCTAGCACTCAGCATGGCCAGAGGATGGATTGTACAGGTAGGTGACATATCTACCGCCTTCTTACACGCACTCGCAGCAACAGCAGGCTTGGTACTCAGACCACCAAAGGAGTACTTTTACAATCCAAACATCCTCTGGAGGGCTACACAAAGCAATGTACGGCCTACGAAGCAGCCCGAAAGCATGGCAGGAGCACTTAGCAAAAGTGCTTACAGACCTCGGTCTAAAAAGACTACAATCAGAGCCCAATGTCTACACCAATGGCAAAGTTTACATCATGGTCTACGTTGACGACCTTCTCTTTACAGGAGAACCTGATGAGGTCGCTCGAATTTTCAAGGAGATACAGGCCAAGATGTTGCTTCGCCATACAGGCACTTGCACAACAAACAACACAATTGACTTCCTTGGCAGAAAGATTACAAACAAAGGAGACCACTTTGAAGTCTCTTTGGGAAACAGCTACATCGACAACATCCTACAAGAAGCAAACCTACAAAATGCAACAGCAGCCGTCACTACAGGTTCCAACAGCACTACACCTACAACAGAACAGGATGAACTCCTTGATACAGAAGAGCACGCCCACTACAGGCGTATGGTCGGAAAGCTGCAATGGCTTTCATACACACGACCAGACATGAGCTTTGCAGTAAAAGAATTAGCGCGTTCTTTACAACAACCAACAGTCCGCGACAGACAGCGGCTACGACATTGCCTCAGGTACCTAGCAGGTACACAGCACCACAAGTTCGTGATACAACCAACGGTGTTTCTACAGCCCGACAACAAGGAGCAGCTCGACCTGACAGTCTACACAGATGCAGACTGGGCAGGATGCCAGGTTACACGCAAAAGTACATCTGGCTTCGTGATCCAATTCCTTGGGACCACAGTCCACTTTGGTTCACGTACACAATCCGTAGTAGCACTTTCTTCAGCGGAAAGCGAGTTCTACGCGATTGGTACAGGTGCTACAGAGGCATTACACCTCAAGAACTTCTTGGGAGAGATCCTACACAACAAGATCAGCCTCAAAATACACACTGACAGCACATCAGGCAAAAGCATGGCTACACGCATCGGCGTGTCCAAGCGAGCCAAACACATCGAGCTCAAATACATGTTCATACAACACCTCATTCACGACGGCATCCTTTCCATACACAAAATCAACACCAAACACAATCCGTCAGACATACTTACAAAGCACGTGCAACGAGAAGTGCTTCAATGGCACTTACATGCTGCGGGCATACGTCCGCCAGACAACTGAGGAGAATCCAGCTACAGCAGTTTCACACACCAGTATACGAACACAACAAGTGTACACGTATCTGCAGCCTACTTGATTGAGTATATCATGTACACGTTTGTCTACCTTAAGGGTTACATGGTCATTGTGATACAGTTTGACACGTACATGATCACCTCATCTTTCACTACATCATTCACCCCAAGGGTTACATGATGGATTTTCATTTCAGTTCTTTTTGCAGTACAAGTTTTTGCGGCGATACACTCCGGTGATTTACATGCTCATGCTCGTGCCCGACCTACACAAGGTGATGACAGCTACATACTACTCGATGGGCCGTGGGTTCAATCGTGGATTTGTGTCGCTTATGTTTCAACATGAGCAGCGATACATCTTCAACACTACAGAACATGGTTCACAGAGGGTACTACGCATCACTGTGGATTGGATGAGGATCCTACAGCAGTACAGCTACACCCGTGGCTACGTGTGGAACCAGTACATTCCCTTGGATGTACAACATGTTCTGGGCAGACCAGCGGCAGATCCGGTACATGCAGCTTTGGCCATGGCATTACATCATGCAGGCACGGCATTGTCTAGATTCATGCCGGCTGATGTACAGCATGGATTGCTGCAGTACACAGCTCAGTTCACCATACATGTGAAAGAGAATTTCGATGAGAATGAGCTCACAAGATACAAGGGACAAGCTACAGGCCAAGATTTCAGGATCTACAGCTCCAGCTACACTGCCAGGAGCTACACCCGAGACCGCCTTGGGTACATCCTGATCTACAACGGTGACGAGCTCTACAAGGCTGAATTTGTGAAGTACATGGTTGGATACTGCTTCAGTTCTTTTACAACGGTTTCTGACTACATGTGAGTAACTTTGCATGGATACATCCATCTGACACAATTCTGGCTACAAGATGTCTGTACATCAACACGGCACTACGTTTTTGATCGGTGTACAGGATTTTCGAAGGCAAAGTTTTGTACAGATGACTGATGTCATACATGAGTTAATACAGTTCATTTATACAATGACTTCTCAGTGTTTGTGAAGTACATGTTGCAGTTGAGGCAGGGTGTTAAGAATACACCTGCACATGTACATGAGCCATACAGTTGCTGATACAACATGTTAGTCTACTCTGTGTACATTTCATGGTACGATACATTTGGGCTCCATACAGGGCCCTTGAGCTAGCGTTACTCGAGCGCTACCGTGAAAAGTACAGCGCGTGGGCTACAGTTGCTGAGAGTACAGACAAGGAAGTTGTACACTTGATTTGAACAATGATGATAATAATGATGATGATGATAATGATGATGATGATGATGATGATGATGCTGATGATGATGATGATGATGATGATGATGATGATGATGATGTGTAACGCGTATTTACCAAAAAAAACTTGTTGCAAACACAGTCTTCTTTCCATCATTGCAGGGCAGAAGCCTCCCAACCTTCGTTAGTTGGTGGTTTCAACCCATCCCAAAAAGACGAGTCAAAGGTGATCATCATCCCAGCGTTGGATGGAAGATACCTTGTCTGTCTCAAGTAACTGTGATGATTGATCATCACTTCTTCCCCAAACTTTGACATATTTGATGGGATGTGCCCTGTTTTTGGACAAACCAAAAATGAAGGAGATCCACGATTTTTCTACTTACGTCACATTAAGTTTCTTGTGATGAGTAGCACCTTTCTCGAAGGTTACAATTGGCACCACCACTCGTCAGAGCTGTTTCGGTCAGTCTGTTGCACTCAGGATGCTGCGAGGCGAAATGCTTCCCAAAGTTCTGGGACAACATGTTTGCCTCGCCACACGGGCCCGATTCTCCGCCCCTTGCATCTGTTTGTCACATCCCTCAAGTCGTGCTGGTTGAAAAACCATATCTTTGCCGGACAAATCTACATTCCTGTTGGTTAAAATCTCAATTTGCGCTGCTCCAATCCCCATTGTTAATGGTTAAATCCCATTTTGCATGGTGAAATCCACGTTTTTCATGATTCAATCGCCGTTTCTGACGGTTAAAACCCCATTTTTCATGGCAAAATTCCCATTTTTGATGGTTAAATCCACATTTCTGACGGTTAAATCCCCATGAATCATTGAAAGGTCAACCCAATTCCGCCCCGAGATGTCCTGGCCTTCTCCACAGCAGGATCTCCCTCGCGCGCCTCATGGGTCGTGGGTACTCCACCAGGCTGTCAAGAATGGTTGTAACTTACAGAATTCTCTAGTTATAAGTGGGCAAAATGATCATAACCCTAGGGTTCTTATCCTAAATTGTGGGGATTACTACCATGGTTACCTTGATTCAAGAAAATGGTGGTTTAATGGTGATTCTAAGGTTTTTTACGGTGACAAAAATTGTGATTTCACCAACGGACCATGGCCCAAGAAAATAGATGATTTACGGTTTTAAACATGATCATTTCCCAGAGGTATTTTTAACTACCAAAAGGTATGTACATAAAGTACATATGATCAATATTGTAAACAACTATATAGGTGTGGTTAATCCTAGGGTCGTAGTTGGAGGACTGTCACCATGCATGGTTGTCAACCAGTTGTGCTGCCAGAAAGCCTTTATCCCACAAAGGTGCAGCAATACGAATCAAACATGTGGTATACTCTAAAAAATGGATGTTTGGAATGATTTAGCGCTAAAATCACCAGAAAATCATGTCAAAATCATCCAAACATTCAAACAAATCATGTTTTTAGCCAGGTAGACCATGAAAATCATTTTGCAGCATTACCATTCATCATCATTTTTCACCATTAAACCACTGTTGTTTTTGTCCGGTTCCCAGAAACACAGCGCAAGCGATTCGCTGGTCGCCTCCATTGCCAGGACCACATGGAAGGCATGGGATCCGGCGGCCTGGTGGTGACGGTCATCTTTAGTGATTTTACCCATTGGGTAATGGTGATTTAATGGTGATTTAATGGTGATCTAATGGTGATTTTATGGTGATTAATGGTGATTTAATGGTGATTTAATGGTGATTTAATGGTGATTTAATAGTGATTTAATGGTGATTTAATGGTGATTAATGGTGGTTTAATGGTAATTTAATGGTGATTGATGGTGGTTTAATGGTAATTTAATGGTGATTTAATGGTGATTAATGGTGATTTAATGGTGATTTAATGGTGATTAATGGTGATTTAATGGTGATTTAATGGTGGTTAATGGTGATTTAATGATGATTTAATGGTGATTTAATGGTGATTAATGGTGATTTAATGGTGATTTAATGGTGATTAATGGTGGTTTAATGGTGATTTAATGGTGATTGATGGTGGTTAATGGTGATTTAATGGTGATTTAATGGTGATTAATGGTGATTTAATGGTGATTTAATGGTGATTAATGGTGGTTTAATGGTAATTTAATGGTGATTGATGGTGGTTAATGGTGATTTAATGGTGATTAATGGTGATTTAATGGTGATTTAATGGTGATTAATGGTGGTTTAATGGTAATTTAATGGTGATTTAATGGTGATGTAATGGTGATTTAATGGTGATTTAATGGTGATTTAATGGTGATTTAATAGTGATTTAATGGTGATGTAATGATGATTTAATGGTGATTTAATGGTGATTTAATGATCTTTAACGGTGATTTAATGGTGATTAATATGGTGATTAATGGTGATTTAATGGTGATTTAATGGTGATTAATGGTGATTTAATGGTGATTAATGGTGATTTAATGGTGATTTAATGGTGATTTAATGGTGATTTAATGGTGATTTAATGGTGTTTTAATGGTGTTTTAATTGTGTTTTAACGGTGATTTAACGGTGATTTAATGGTGATTTAATGGTGATTTAATGGTAGGTAATGGTGATTTAATGGTGATTTAATGATCTTTAACGGTGATTTAATGGTGATTTAATGGTGACTTAATGGTGATTTAATGCTCGTTTAATGGTGATCTAATGGTGATTTTATGGTGATTTTATGGCGATTTAATGGTGATTGAATGGTGATTTAATGGTGATTAATGGTGATTAATATGGTGATTTAATGGTGCTTTAACGGTGATTTAATGGTGATTAATGGTGATTAATGTTGATTTAATGTTGATTTAATGGTGAATTAATGGTGATTAATGGTGATTAATGGTGATTTAATGATATTAATGGTGATTTAATGGTGATTTAATGGTGATGTAATGGTGATTTAATGGTGATTTAATGGTGATTTAATGGTGATTTAATGGTGATTTAATAGTGATTTAATGGTGATGTAATGGTGATTTAATGGTGATTTAATGGTGATTTAATGGTGGTTTAATGGTAATTTAATGGTGATTGATGGTGGTTAATGGTGATTTAATGGTGATTTAATGGTGATTTAATGGTGATTTAATGGTGATTTAATGGTGATTTAATGGTGATTTAATGGTGATTAATGCTGGTTAATGGTGATTAATGGTGATTTAATGGTGATTTAATGGTGATTAATGGTGATCAATGGTGATTTAATGGTGATTAATGGTGATTTAATGGTGATTAATGGTGATTAATGGTGATTTAATGGTGATTTAATGGTGATTTAATGGTGATTTAATGGTGATTAATGGTGATTTAATGGTGATTAATATGGTGATTCAATGGTGATTAATATGGTGATTTAATGGTGGTTTAATGGTGATGTAATGGTGATTTAATGGTGGTTAATGGTGATTAATGGTGATTTAATGGTGATTTAATAGTGATTTAATGGGATTTAATGGTGATTTAATGGTGTTTTAACGGTGTTTTAACGGTGATTTAACGGTGATTTAATCCTGATTTAATGGTGATTTAATGGTGATTTAATGGTGGGTAATGGTGATTTAATGGTGATTTAATGGTGATTTAATGATCTTTAACGGTGATTTAATGGTGATTTAATGGTGATTTAATGGTGATTTAATGGTGATTAATATGGTGATTAATATGGTGATTTAATGGTGATTTAATGGTGATTTAATGGTGCTTTAATGGTGCTTTAACGGTGATTTAATGGTGATTTAATGGTGATTTAATGGTGATTTAATGGTGATTTAATGGTGATTTAATGGTGATTAATGGTGATTTAATGGTGATTTAATGGTGATTTAATGGTGATTTAATGGTGGTTAATGGTGATTAATGGTGGTGTAATGGTGATTTTTATGGTGTCTTAATGGTGATTAATGGTGATTAATATGGTGATTTAATGGTGATTTAATGGTGATTAATGATGATTTAATGGTGATTTAATGGTGATTAATATGGTGACTTAATGGTGACCCAATGGTGGTTTAATGGTGATTTAATGGTGATTAATTGTGATTAATATGGTGATTTCATGGTGATTTAATGGTGATTTAATGGTGATTAATGGTGATTTAATGGTGATTAATGGTGATTAATGTTGATTTAATGGTGATTTAATGGTGATTTAATGGTGATTTAACGGTGATTAATGGTGATTTAATGATATTAATGGTGATTTAATGGTGATTTAATGGTGATTTAATGGTGGTTTAATGGTGATTTAATGGTGATCAATGGTGATCAATGGTGATTTAATGCTCATTAATTGTGATTTAATGGTGATTAATGGTGATTTAATGGTGATTAATGGTGATCAATGGTGCTTTAACGGTGATTTAATGGTGATTTAATGGTGATTTAATGGTGATTTAATGGTGCTTTAATCGTGATTTAATGGTGATTTAATGGTGATTTAATGGTGATTTAATGGTGATTTAATGGTGATTAATGGTGGTTTAATGGTAATTTAATGGTGATTGATGGTGGTTTAATGGTAATTTAATGGTGATTAATGGTGATTAATGGTGATTAATGTTGCTTTAGTGGTGATTAATTATGATTTAATGGTGATTTAATGGTGGTTAATGGCGATTTAATGGTGATTAATGGTGATTTAATGGTGATTTAATTGTGATTTAATGGTGATTCATGCTGATTTAATGGTGATTGATGGTGATTTAATGGTGATTTAATGGTGATTTAATGGTGATTAATGGTGATCAATGGTGATTTAATGGTGATTAATGGTGATTAGTGGTGGTTTAATGGTGATTAATGGTGATTAATGGTGATTTAATGGTGGTTTCATTGTGGTTAATGGTGATTAATTGTGATTTAATGGTGATTAATGGTGATTTAATGATGATTTAATGGTGGTTAATTATGATTTAATGGTGGTGTAATGGTGATTTAATGGTGAATTGATGGTGATTTAATGGTGATTTAATGGTGATTAATGGTGATTTAATGGTGACTTAATGGTGATTAATATGGTGACTTAATGGTGACCCAATGGTGGTTTAATGGTGATTTAATGGTGATTAATGGTGATTAATATGCTGATTTAATGGTGATTTAATGGTGATTTAATGGTGATTAATGGTGATTTAATGGTGATTTAATGGTGATTAATATGGTGATTTAATGGTGGTTTAATGGTGATTTAATTGTGATTTAATGGTGATTTAATGGTGATTAATGGTGATTAATGGTGATTTAATGGTGATTTAATGGTGATTAATGGTGATTTAATGGTGATTAATGGTGATTTAATGGTGAACAATGGTGATCAATGGTGATTTAATGGTGATTAATGGTGATTTAATGGTGATTAATGGTGATTTAATGGTGATTAAATGGTGATTAATGGTGATCAATGGTGATTTAATGGTGATTAATGGTGGTTTAATGGTGGTTTAATGGTGGTTCATGGTGATTAATGGTGATTTAATGGTGATTTAATGGTGATTTAATGGTGATTAAATTGTGATTAATGGTGATTTAATGGTGATTTAATGGTGATTTAATGGTGATTTAATGGTGATTAATGGTGCTTTAATGGTGATTGATGCTGATTTAATGGTGGTGTAATGGTGATTTAATTGTGGTTAATGGTGATTTAATGGTGATTTAATGGTGATTTAATGGTGGTTTAATGGTGATTAATGGTGATTTAATGGTGATTTAATGATGATTAAATGGTGATTAATGGGGATTTAATGGTGACTAATGGTGATTTAATGGTGCTTTAATGGTGATTTAATTGTGATTTAATGGTGATTAATATGCTGATTTAATGGTGATTTATGGTGATTTAATGGTGATTTAATGGTGATTTAATGGTGATTAATGGTGATTTAATGGTGATTAATGGTGATTAATTGGGATTTAATGGTGATTTAATGGTGGTTAATGGTGATTAATGGTGCTTTAGTGGTGATTAATGGTGATTTAATGGTGACTAATGGTGATTTAATGGTGCTTTAATGGTGATTTAATTGTGATTTAATGGTGATTTAATGGTGATTTAATGGTGATTTAATAGTGATTTAATGGTGATTAATTGTGATTAATGTTGATTTAATGGTGATTTAATGGTGATTAATGGTGATTAATGGTGATTTAATGGTGGTTTAATTGTGGTTAATGGTGATTAATGGTGATTTAATTGTGATTTAATGGTGATTAAATGATGATTAAATGGTGATTAATGGTGATTTAATGGTGATTTAATGGTGGTTTCATTGTGGTTAATGGTGATTAATTGTGATTTAATGGTGATTAATGGTGATTTAATGATGATTTAATGGTGGTTAATTATGATTTAATGGTGGTGTAATGGTGATTAATATGGTGATTTCATGGTGATTTAATGGTGATTTAATGGTGGTTTAATGGTGATTTAATGGTGAATAATGGTGATGAATGGTGGTGTAATGGTGATTTAATGGTGAATTATTGGTGATTTAATGGTGATTAATATAATGATTTAATGGTCATTAATGGTGATTTAATGGTGATTAATGGTGATTTAATGGTGATTAATATGCTGATTTAATGGTGATTTAATGGTGGTTTAATGGTGATTTAATGGTTATTAATGGTGATCAATGGTGATTTAATGGTGATTTAATTGTGATTTAATGGTGATTTAATGGTGGTTTAATGGTGGTTTAATGGTGATTTAATGGTGATTTAATGGTGATTAATGGTGATTAATATGGTGATTTAATGGTGATTAATGGTGATTTAATGCTGATTAATGGTGATTAATGGTGATTAGTGGTGATTAATGGTGATTTAATGGTGATTTAATGGTGATTTAATGGTGATTAATGGTGATGTAATGGTGATTAATGGTGCTTTAATGGTGCTTTAATGGTGATTTAATGGTGCTTTAATGGTGCTTTAATGGTGATTTAATGGTGATTAATGGTGATTTAATGGTGATTAATGGTGATTTAATGGTGATTACTGATGGTTTAATGGTGATTGATATGGTGATTTGATGGTGATTAATGGTGAGTTTAATGGTTATGATTCAAAATGGTGGTATTGCTGATTATTGTTAAATAATTTCCACTACCAATGGTGATTATTGGTGATTAAAATGGTGGTAATGATTTAATGGTTATTAATGGTTATTATTGGTGATTAACCATGGTTAACCCACTAATAGTACTAATTTTAATGATTAATAAATGGTTAATGGTTAATGGTGATTTTCACCAATGGTCATCATTTAAGAATGATTACTAGTGATTAATGGTGATTAATGATCAATTGAATGGTTTCTTACTTTTTGATACCTGTTTAAAAACCCCTTGTGATTAATGGTGATAATTGGTGACTAATGAGTGATGGTGAATCGCCAAGAATGACTAAAAATAATTCACGAAGTTCATTAATGATGTTCATGGTGCATTAATGGTGAGTGAATCGTGTATCAAAATGGATGCTCATGGGATCAATGACCATGGATGGATGAGTAATAGTGATAATATAAGGCTGGCGATCAATGATGGTTCATGGTGAATAGTTTTGTTTGGTCAGTTGTTAATAATGACTAATAATTAATGGCTAGTATGGTGATTAACTATCAATGGCTAATGCCGGGATGAACGAACAATGCTGATTAATGGTGATTGAATGGTTGATGGTAAGTAACAATGGTGATTAATAATGGCTAATCATAGTGAATAATGATTCATGATTCATGATTGTAATTACAATATCAATAGGATTAATAATGGTGATTCATGACTCTCATAAGAATGGTGATAATGGTGATCAATGTTTAATAATGATTCACGATGTTTAACAATGGTGATTAATAGTGATTCATCTGGCGTCATCAAACGTGGCTTGCTGGAAAATCCCTGAACTACATGGTTTTTTTCCAGCTTGCCACGTTTGATTACCGCATGGTATCCTGGGCGATCATTAGCTTGTAGGATGGGACTTTAAGGGGTGCAACCAACAAATGGAGATTCTAGATAAACAATTCTTCACAATCCACTACTAATTAGTATGGAAGTGATTTTGATATACAGTAACTGCAAGAATTATGGGATATCATGGGGACATACTTGTAATGATGGTGAACATATTACTGGATAAGGATAATTCACTCGCCTGGAAGGTCCTTGGGTGTGATCCCCGCGATCCTCATTGAAGGACCCTAACAGGAATACATCATAATTGTAATGATCACACACCAAACCAGGGGGTTTTCAAGGATGTTAAAGGTATGTTTTGACTATTAGGTGGAAGTGATAACTATCATTCGGATTACCACGTTGATTCCTCAAGATGGTTATTGTGAGACTTACTCTTGTGATGATGAGGATGGTGATGAGGATGGTGATGATGAGCATGGGTTGCATGGGTGTGCCATAGGGAGATAATACTGTCATAGGGATCAAGGAATGGGGCCATCCTCCCTTGTGCGCGAGGCTCCACTGCTCCATACTTATCCTGTAGCATGCCATGTCAAAAACAAGTCATGGGATGCCTTGGGTGATCCTTGGTGTCTGCAAGAATATGGGCCCGGATCACCCTAAAACAGTGCGCCAAACCGAAAAACAACTTTGAAATTCGCATCCGCGACCTGCGCCAATGATGTCAGAGTCTGTGACAGAATTTCAATATCCTGGCTGGTGGCTGAGTGCGTGAAATCGAAGCAGTGGATTTGCCCAAAGATGGAAGATATAAAATGATACTACCCAGAAAATGGACAAAGCGCCGGGATTCATCTAAGCATATATAGTTGAAAAATTCTCCTGACACTCCTGTTGGTTCTTTTGTAATTGCCCAGCTGGCGCCGGCAAAATCACCGGAGCATTCGAAGAGCATTATGAGACCCAAATGGCTGTTTCTGAAACTTATGATTTATGATCACTGATGTACAGACTTACTCCTGCAATTGCGAGGATTGCAGCTAAACCGCAAGCAGCTCTTTAACGCAGCGCACTGAAACTTCTCAGAACCAGGATCATCACATGCTGCATATGCTATTAAAATCTACTGAATGAAATCTGAAACTAATGGACACACAGGCCACAAAAACAATCCAACACAATCCAAAGCATCTCTTCACTCTATATATATTTTTATATTTATCTGGGTAAATTATAATAGTTCACTAACCTGAATTAAGGCCATTTGGGGATGATTTCCCTTGCTAACTATGATTATAGTGAGGTCGCAGTGAGGTCGTTATAATTTACCCAGGTTTATTATTATTATTATTAGATATACATACATAAATAAATATATATATATGTATATAAATATATATATATATCCATTTCTTTTTTGGTCCAGAAGTCTTGGTCGCACCGGGTGATCTTTGTCGACTTCCGTCGAAGCCCGGGCTCGACGGAGATGCGTGGAGCATTGGGATTCCCGTCATGGGATGACACCCAGAATTCAGCCCCAGGTTGAGATCCTACAAATCCTATGGATGCAGGGAAGAGACTGCACAAACAATGATATCATAATATCTAATAATAGTAATTATGCTATAAATGTAAATATATAGTCTATAGAGATATCCAGGTTCAAGAAAGGTTCAGGATCAAAGCATGGCCACAGACAACCCTGAAGCTTTGGGAAACAGGCTTCCAAGAAGACCTTGGCTGAATCTCTGCTCTAGAAATCGGGGGTGGCCACCATCCCATGACCAAACTCACAACCTGCCCAACTCACTTTGGCGCCACGAGCCGTTGGGGCCATTGGAGCCATTGGAGCCATTGGAGCCATCGCCCACCACCTCCCGGCCATCCTGTGGAGTCAACATCATTTGATTGAAACACAGCACGAACTGCTCATCCATGTTCATCCTCAATCATCCCAAACAAGAAAAACCCATAAAAACCCATGGGATTTCCAAAGAGGGTTTGTCTGACAATTCCAGGGTCCCCGAAAATTTGGTGGCTACTCACCATTTTCCCAAAATGCCATCTAGGAATTTGGCATATACCATAATATACCCCATTTTCAAACACTATCAAACACCCCATTTCCATTGTCAATTGGTCATGCCGAATCCCTATGCCCTATGTTTGATCATCAAATCATCTATTGATAAATTATAGTAATTCACCAACTGAATAGCTATTTGGGGACAGTTGCCCTATTATCACCATCATTCCAGTGAGGTCGCAGTGCGGCCGTTATAATTTCACTAGAAGATCCCCACAAATCCCCATAAATCTTCGTAAATCCCCATAAATCCCCATAAACCCCTAAAGGTCCCTAATTTTTGTGGTTAAATCCCCATAAATCCTCCAATTTTCCATGGCCGATTCAGATGGCGCTCCCTTGCCCACTGGATCCTACTGGATCTGGCCGCGGCACCCAAAGGCTGGCAGCTGGTGACTCCGGCCGCGCGGCGACGATGTCTTCCAAGCCACTGGGAGGTGACCTGAAGTCATGGGATGTCATGGGAGTCATGGGAATGGGGCCATAAAAAGTGATAAAAAACGTATCACTGGACTATTTTGAGCATCTTGAGCATGTTTCTTTAGCATTGAGACTGAACATGACTGAACCATACAAAACCATCCATTTGCGGGGGAAGCGGATATTTTTGACCCATTCCCACGGGATTCGAGGGGTGGGCGGATTTGGGCGAACTGTGGAGCGGATGCTTTTGAACCATACCCAAAATTATATCAAAATGTAAACCCGATCAACCTGAGTTTCCTTACATGACCAAGAATAGAAACATGTGCCAAAAAAAGGCCACTCAGCGACTGGATTGAACAAGCGGGCCCAATCGTTGCCTGTAGAAGCAGAGCCAGCCACGTCCTTGGTCGGCTGGTCTCCCCTTGACAGGTATCACATCCACGAACATGACCCAAATTCAACAGTACATCCTCAGACCTGAAGTTTCAACAACATGTGCAAGGGGAAAAAAGGACCAAACGCTGGACTCTTGTCAAACGTCGTGTGCTGTCACTATGTTTCAAATGTCAGGCATCTGAGCACTGCGATTTGCGCACTGTTTTGCAGAACAACGCTCGCAGTTTCATTGCCGGTCATCTTCTGACAAAGACTACCCAGCCATTGGCACCAAGTTTACAAACTTGTCCATGGACGTGTTGCTGGTGATGTCTGAATGTACGAAGGAACCAGGGTGGTGGTACTAGTGTACGAAGGAACCGGGGTGGAAGCAATGTACGAAGGCTCAGGATAATGATACTCCGGAGGGAACATCGTTGAGGTGTTGCGGCCAACCTCAAAAGCACCGGCATCCTTCATTAGCTTGCTCAAGAACTCGAAGCTTCCAGAGGTGGTGTTGCCAACAGCCATGAGCTGTAAACCTGGAAGTCCCGTGATTTCCCAAGTGTCCAGCGTCTCAATCCTCCTCGGCCCAATGTTGCCAAATGTATCCAAACATATCCAAACGTATCCAAAAGGTCGAGTTTAACGCAGATTCCAATACGGATGCACGTGGCATATGGCGTATGAGACTCTATGAGATTTTGAATTAGGATGGGAAATAGTGACATCCTAGATTGTGGAACCACTTTGATTCTTTGATTATCTTTGATTTACGCGTGGTGCACTCCCTGTCCCTTATTTAATTTATAGATGTTAAAGGCTACAATGATCTTCAAAATATTTCAAACATCAACTTCAAGAAAACATTTGAAAAAAAATGATCTACTGTATATGGCACCAATTTCCGGCATCCTGCTAAGGCTCCAGAAACTCGACTGAAGTATTGGAATTCAAATCATCATCAGCAACACTCTGCAGCATGACTGAAACGCACAACTTACAACACCAACTAAAAATACTTGTCAGAACAGTTTCGTGAGGAATACCTCTCTCGGTCAAGAAACTCCATCGTCGAAATGATGTTCAAGGTCTTCAATGCAATGTCGGTACCGCGGAGGGTTGCGGGATACATGCTGATAAGCGAGCGGTACAGAGAGACCAGTGTGCCATATGACATGTTCACAAATGGCATGCTTCGAATCAAATCTTGGCGAACCGATTCATCGAGCGCCACCTTCACATCAGCAGAAGCACCGGTGAAAAAGCTGAAGAGCTTCCTGGCCATAGCCTTAATTCGAAGGTCGCTACCAGGATGCATGCTCACAATACAACACCTTCGACCCACTGCTCCCGAAATGTTGAAGAAATGACGCAACGTCACACAACCGGAGAAAGCCAAGCAGCTAAGCCAAAGTATGTCTGAATAGATCCGACGTTGGAATACAAAATCATACAACATCATTCCTTAAGCAAAATGATGCAAAATGATGCAAAATGTGGACCACTTTGTCGAGCCAGGGGACCTGTCCTGAGAACGGTGCACCAGGAACTGTGGTGTCTGGCACCATTGAAGCCAAGAGATTCTCCAGAGCCTTTGACAGGGAGGCATCCACGGAATACCGAAATCCCTTGTAGAGCTCTTCGTAGAGAACCTCGTCACAATTGGACAAAGCAAAGATTCGACGATATTCGACGTGATCAGAGCATCTTTTTGACATGTTTTCACATGCTTTGACAGTTTGATTGTAGTTATTTCGCTGTGCTTGACTGAAAGCTTCTTAAACAAACAACAAAAAGGATACCTCTCAACATAGCCCAGCAGCCGTATCGTTGCTGAGATGAGCCATGACTTCGCGCATGTCAAAATCCAAATCGACAGAGGCCTTGGCTAGGATCTTGGAAAACTGGCATAAACTGGCTAGGACAAGTCGTGAAAACATGGGGAAATGTTGGAACATCATGAAACGTCAACAAGTGCCTCTGCAAAAACAGGTCAAATCAAAACCAACTGTCAATGCACTTCCTCTTTTCAGGACAGTCTCAACATGTCTCAACAGCCTGCTGTGAGTCGGCACGCAGTGTTGCTAGTATAGGCAGGAAAAGAGAGTTGGAAGAGAAGTTCGTGGTCTGCAAAACTGCTTGTTACACGCTAGATCACCCTATAGGTATCACGCTAGCACCAAAGGCAAGACGAAACAAGTCGGAAGTTGCACTGATTTTTGCCAAGTCACATTCACGTGTCCAAGATTGCTTGCAAATCCCTCGACTGCTGCAACAAAGTGTTGGGTGGCTTCTTTCGGGAATCCCTTCACCTTGATCAACACTTGCCGACCGGGGGCCGAGAACTCCAAGGTCACCTCACTTGAAAGAAGCTGCTGCTTGCTGTGTCTGACAGTCTGACATTGCTCTCCTTCTTATCCCAGTGGGTGTTTCGAGCATGGAGTACAGCGAGAACGGGTGACACATGGCTACACAATGTTACACATCCAACAAGGCATAATAAGGCTACAAAAAGAGGCACTGTGCTACACGATGCTACGGTATGCTACGCGCATCTGTAGAATAGGGTAAAACGTGGTAAAACATGGTAAAACCACGTAAAACCTATAAACAGCTCGTATCAGCTCGTGAAAATTCACACAGGTTCCATGCTCCTCATGGGTCCTCAATGCAATCAACTCGTGCCAAGTCACAGGGGGAGCACTCTTCGACTCCAACTGCGCTGCATAGTAGTCCGTCAAAGCCTGGGCAAAGTTTGTTGCAGAAACTTCGTCTTTGGCCGTGAGCTGACATACGATGCCGACCTCTGAGGCAGCTGTTGACACGTGTGACATCAAGAGCGTTATCCTGGTCTTGACAGGCATGTCACCCATAGTAGGAGCAACTTGGAAGGAAGCTGACAATGGGATGAGATGCCCATCACCACCATGAGGTGTGATGCTTTCAAGAGCTTCAGCCGTCTTCTCTTCAGCCTGCCCAACTTCAGGGGTCAGATAGCTGTCGCTGTGGCGTCGGCCAGCCGCCGCAATCAAGCAAGTCAAGGCAACAGCAGAGTGCAGGGCGAACATGGTCAACGGTTTTGATTTCGCAGTCGCACGGCAGATTGTTGTTTGAGACGATTAATGGCTGCATAAAGTGGTCAGCAAAAAGATGCAAAAAGTAAACCAAAACGCTCACTTCTCATTGAACCTTGCGCACATCTGTACATCATCACATGACTCGTCACCTCCAGTCGTCCGCTAGTCATCCGGTACAGTAGTGTCCCAAATTCAACAGTACATCCTCAGACCTGAGGTTTCAGCATGTGCAAGGGGAAAAAAGGACCAAACGCTGGACTCTTGTCAAACGTCGCGTGTTGTCACTATGTTTCAAATGTCAGGCATCTGAGCACTGCGATTCGCGCACTGTTTTGCAGACCAACGCTCGCAGTTTCATTGCCGGTCATCTTCTGACACAGACTACCCAGCACTTGGCTACGAGTTTACAAACTTGTCCATGGACGTGTTGCTGGTGATGCCTGCTGGAGCAATGTACGAAGGAACCAGGGTGGTGGTACTAGTGTACGAAGGAACCGGGGTGGAAGCAATGTACGAAGGCTCAGGATAATGATACTCCGGAGGGAACATCGTTGAGGTGTTGCGGAGAACCTCAACAAGACCGGCATCCTTCGCCAGCTTGCTCAAGAACTCGAAGCTTCCAGAGCTGGTGTTGCCAACAGCCATGAGCTGTAAACCTGGAAGTCCCGTGATTTCCCAAGTGTCCAGCGTCTCAATCCTCCTCGGCCCAATGCTGCCAAATGTATCAAAACATATCCAACCGTATCCAAAAGGTCGAGTTTAACGCATGCAGATTCAAAAATATTTCAAACATCAACTTCAAGAAAACATTTGAAAAAAATGGATCTACTGTATATGGCACCAATTTCTGGCATCCTGCTAAGGCTCCAGAAACTCGACTAAAGTATTGGAATTCAAATCATCATCAGCAACACTCTGCAGCATGACTGAAACGCACAACTTACAACACCAACTAAAAATACTTGTCACAACAGTTTCGTGAGGAATACCTCTCTCGGTCAAGAAACTCCATCGTCGAAATGATGTTCAAGGTCTTCGAGGCAATGTCGGTACCGCGGAGGATTGTGGGATACATGCTGACAAGCGGGCGGTACAGAGAGACCAGTGTGCCATATGACATGTTCACAAATGGCATGCTTCGAATCAAATCTTGGCGAACCGATTCATCGAACGCCACCTTCACATCAGCAGAAGCACCGGTGAAAAGGCTGAAGAGCTTCCTGGCCACAGCCTTAATTCGAAGGTCGCTACCAGGATGCATGCTCACAATACAACACCTTCGACCCACTGCTCCCGAAATTTTGAACAAATGACGCAACGTCACACAACCGGAGAAAGCCAAGCAGCTAAGCCAAAGTATGTCTGAATAGATCTGACATTGGAATACAAAATCATACAACATCATTCCAAGCAAAATGATGCAAAATGTGGACCACTTTGTCGAGCCAGGCGACCTGTCCTGAGAACGGTGCACCAGGAACTGTGGTGTCTGGCACCATTGAAGCCAAGAGATTCTCCAGAGCCTTTGACAGGGAGGCATCCACGGAATACCGAAATCCCTTGTAGAGCTCTTCGTAGAGAACCTCGTCACAATTGGACAAAGCAAAGATTCGACGATATTCGACGTGATCAGAGCATCTTTTTGACATGTTTTCACATGCTTTGACAGTTTGATTGTAGTTATTTCGCTGTGCTTGACTGAAAGCTTCTTAAACAAACAACAAAAGGATACCTCTCGACTCTCAACATAGCCCAGCAGCCGTATCGTTGCTGAGATGAGCCATGACTTCGCGCATGTCAAAATCCAAATCCACAGAGGCCTTGGCTAGGATCTTGGAAAACTGGCATGAACTGGCTAGGACAAGTGGTGAAAACATGGGGAAATGTTGAAACATCATGAAACCTCAACAAGTGCCTCTGCAAAAACAGGTCAAATCAAAACCAACTGTCAATGCACTTCCTCTTTTCAGGACAGTCTCAACATGTCTCAACAGCCTGCTGTGAGTCGGCACGCAGTGTTGCTAGTATAGGCAGGAAAAGAGAGTTGGAAGAGAAGTTCGTGGTCTGCAAAACTGCTTGTTACATGCTAGATCATGCTAGGTATCACGCTAGTACCAAAGGCAAGACGAAACAAGTCGGAAGTTGCACTGATTTTTGCCAAGTCACATTCACGTGTCCAAGATTGCTTGCAAATCCCTCGACTGCTGCAACAAAGTGTTGGGTGGCTTCTTTCGGGAATCCCTTCACCTTGATCAACACTTGCCGACCGAGGGCCGAGAACTCCAAGGTCACCTCACTTGAAAGAAGCTGCTGCATGCTGTGTCTGACAGTCTGACATTGCTCTTCTTATTGTAGTGGGTGTTCGAGCATGGAGTACAGCGAGAACGGGTGACACATGGCTACACAATGTTACACATCCAACGAGGCATAATAAGGCTACAAAAAGAGGCACTATGCTACACGATGCTACGGTATGCTACGCGCACCTATAGAATAGTGTAAAACCATGTAAAACCTATAAACAGCTCGTATCAACTCGTATCAGCTCGTGAATTTTCACACAGATTCCATGCTCCTCATGGGTCCTCCATGCAGTCAACTCGTGCCAAGTCACAGGGGGAGCACGGCCAATAAGCTTTATCTGCGCTGCATAGTAGTCCGTCAAAGCCTGGGCAAAGTTTGTTGCAGAAACTTCGTCTTTGGCCGTGAGCTGACATACGATGCCGACCTCTGAGGCAGCTGTTGACACGTGTGACATCAAGAGCGTCATCCTGGTCTTGACAGGCATGTCACCCATAGTAGGAGCAACTTGGAAGGAAGCTGACAATGGGGTGAGATGCCCATCACCACCATGAGGTGTGATGCTTTCAAGAGCTTCAGCCGTCTTCTCTTCAGCCTGCCCAACTTCAGGGGTCAGATAGCTGTCGCTGTGGCGTCGGCCAGCCGCCGCAACCAAGCAAGTCAAGGCAACAGCAGAGCGCAGGGCGAACATGGTCAACGGTCTTGATTTCGCAGTCGCACGGCAGATTGTTGTTTGAGACGATTAATGGCTGCATGAAGTGGTGTAGAGAACTCAAACACTCAAACAAGACATCAGTTGTTACTACCTTCCAAACAATCTCAAACAATTATGTCAGCAAAAAGTAAACCAAAACGCTCACTTCTCAAATGCCTGGAGGTTGAACCTTGCTGTACATCATCACATGACTCGTCACCTCCAGTCGTCCGCTAGTCGTCCGGTAGTGTCTCAAATTCAATAGTACATCCTCAGACCTGAAGTTTCAACATGTGCAAGGGGGAAAACAGAACCAAAGGCTGGACTTTTGTCAAACGTCGCGTGTTGTCACTGTGTTTCAAATGTCAGGCATCTGAGCACTGCGATTCGCGCACTGTTTTGCGGAACAGCGCTCGGAGTTTCATTGCCGTTCATCTTCCGACACAGACTACCCAGCACTTGGCTACGAGTTTACAAACTTGTCCATGGACGTGTTGCTGGTGATGCCTGCTGTAGCAATGTACGAAGGAACCAGGGTGGTGGTACTAGTGTACGAAGGAACCGGGGTGGAAGCAATGTACGAAGGCTCAGGATAATGATACTCCGGAGGGAACATCGTTGAGGTGTTGCGGAGAACCTCAACAAGACCGGCATCCTTCGCCAGCTTGCTCAAGAACTCGAAGCTTCCAGAGCTGGTGTTGCCAACAGCCATGAGCTGTAAACCTGGAAGTCCCGTGATTTCCCAAGTGTCCAGCGTCTCAATCCTCCTCGGCCCAATGTTGCCAAATGTATCAAAACATATCCAACCGTATCCAAAAGGTCGAGTTTAACGCATGCAGATTCCAATACGGATGCACGTGGCATATGGCGTATGAGAATTGGGAATTAAGATGGGAAATAGTGACATCCTAGGTTGTGGAACCACTTTGATCTTTGATTTGCGCGTGGTGCACTCCCTGTCCATTATTTAATTTAAGATGTTAAAGGCTACAATGATCTTCAAAAATATTTCAAACATCAACTTCAAGAAAACATTTGAAAAAATGGATCTACTGTAACTGTATATGGCACCAATTTCTGGCATCCCGCTAAGGCTCCAGAAACTCGACTGAAGTATTGGAATTCAAATCATCATCAGCAACACTCTGCAGCATGACTGAAACGCACAACTTACAACACCAACTAAAAATATCTAAAAAAATACTTGTCACAACAGTTTCGTGAGGAATACCCCCTCTCTCGGTCAAGAAACTCCATCGTCGAAATGATGTTCAAGGTCTTCAATGCAATGTCGGTACCGCGGAGGTGTGTGGGATACATGCTGACAAGCGGGCGGTACAGAGAGACCAGTGTGCCATATGACATGTTCACAAATGGCATGCTTCGAATCAAATCTTGGCGAACCGATTCATCGAACGCCACCTTCACATCAGCAGAAGCACCGGTGAAAAAGCTGAAGAGCTTCCTGGCCACAGCCTTAATTCGAAGGTCGCTACCAGGATGCATGCTCACAATACAACACCTTCGACCCACTGCTCCCGAAATTTTGAACAAATGACGCAACGTCACACAACCGGAGAAAGCCAAGCAGCTAAGCCAAAGTATGTCTGAATAGATCTGACATTGGAATACAAAATCATACAACATCATTCCAAGCAAAATGATGCAAAATGTGGACCACTTTGTCGAGCCAGGCGACCTGTCCTGAGAACGGTGCACCAGGAACTGTGGTGTCTGGCACCATTGAAGCCAAGAGATTCTCCAGAGCCTTTGACAGGGAGGCATCCACGGAATACCGAAATCCCTTGTAGAGCTCTTCGTAGAGAACCTCGTCACAATTGGACAAAGCAAAGATTCGACGATATTCGACGTGATCAGAGCATCTTTTTGACATGTTTTCACATGCTTTGACAGTTTGATTGTAGTTATTTCGCTGTGCTTGACTGAAAGCTTCTTAAACAAACAACAAAAGGATACCTCTCGACTCTCAACATAGCCCAGCAGCCGTATCGTTGCTGAGATGAGCCATGACTTCGCGCATGTCAAAATCCAAATCCACAGAGGCCTTGGCTAGGATCTTGGAAAACTGGCATGAACTGGCTAGGACAAGTGGTGAAAACATGGGGAAATGTTGAAACATCATGAAACCTCAACAAGTGCCTCTGCAAAAACAGGTCAAATCAAAACCAACTGTCAATGCACTTCCTCTTTTCAGGACAGTCTCAACATGTCTCAACAGCCTGCTGTGAGTCGGCACGCAGTGTTTCTATCCCGGTACGAGTTAACCCCGGAACCCGGAACCTTAGCACCCCTGGTTTTCTATCAGGAAATGAAGGGTCATGCAATTATGGTCCCCAGAAAAATGGTCTCTGACCCCAAAATAACATAGCCTCCCTTTGAAAACCATATACATTCAAAAATTGTTTTTTCCACTATGCTTTGCGCAAAATTCCTTAGAATTTCATGCGCGAACATCTGATGTAGGATCCAAACTGCGGAAATTGCGGACAAAATAACCCACTTCCGAAATTCAATTCTAGGTTTTCTAGAGGGCATTTTTCCGCAACATTGTTCTTCGAATATCGCCTAATTTCTCCCACAGCAGCAGCAGCTTCGGAAAATTCCAGGAGCTCGTGACACTTCTAGAAAATCATTTCCAAGGCATTTGATATTTGGATACTGTACTGGTGGGAGTGGGTCCCTCATAGATGACATTTAGAAAATTCTAGACGTAGACTGGAGTTTGCCTGTTGCACTATTGTCTACTGTGTTGGGCACCTCTAGAAAACCAGGACCCACCAGAAAATCACAATCTGACTCCTCAGTGTTGCAGTGTTGAACAGCTCTAGAAAACCTGGGTCCACTAGAAAAGCTCAATCTTACCTCTCAATTTCATGCGAAAATTTGCTCGCAAACTCCGATTTTTTGGTCTCTAGAAAAGTACGACTATACGAGTATGATAGGTTCCAATTTGTAAAAAAAATGCTCTCTAGAATCAACGGGTGCTGTAACATCAAGCTTCCATGTTTCCCCTAGGTATTTTTTCTCTAGAAACAGGATGTCCTTACAGGGGGGTTAACCTACCTGGTTTTCTGAGGGACACTCGAACGAGGATGTGTTTCTAGTATAGGCAGGAAAACAAAGTTGGAAGAGAAGTTCGTGGTCTGCAAAACTGCTTGTTACACGCTAGATCACGCTAGGTATCACGCTAGTACCAAAGGCAAGACGAAACAAGTCGGAAGTTGCACTGATTTTTGCCAAGTCACATTCACGTGTCCAAGATTGCTTGCAAATCCCTCGACTGCTGCAACAAAGTGTTGGGTGGCTTCTTTCGGGAATCCCTTCACCTTGATCAACACTTGCCGACCGGGGGCCGAGAACTCCAAGGTCACCTCACTTGAAAGAAGCTGCTGCATGCTGTGTCTGACAGTCTGACATTGCTCTTCTTATCCCAGTGGGTGTTCGAGCATGGAGTACAGCGAGAACGGGTGACACATGGCTACACAATGTTACACATCCAACAAGGCATAATAAGGCTACAAAAAGAGGCACTGTGCTACACGATGCTACGATATGCTACGCGCATCTGTAGAATAGGGTAAAACATGGTAAAACGTGGTAAAACCACGTAAAACCTATAAACAGCTCGTATCAACTCGTATCAGCTCGTGAATTTTCACACAGATTCCATGCTCCTCATGGGTCCTCCATGCAGTCAACTCGTGCCAAGTCACAGGGGGAGCACGGCCAATAAGCTTTATCTGCGCTGCATAGAAGTCCGTTAAAGCCTGGGCAAAGTTTGTTGCAGAAACTTCGTCTTTGGCTGTGAGCTGACATACGATGCCGATCTCTGAGGCAGCTGTTGACACGTGTGACATCAAGAGCGTCATCCTGGTCTTGACAGGCATGTCACCCATAGTAGGAGCAACTTGGAAGGAAGCTGACAATGGGATGAGATGCCCATCACCACCATGAGGTGTGATGCTTTCAAGAGCTTCAGCCGTCTTCTCTTCAGCCTGCCCAACTTCAGGGGTCAGATAGCTGTCGCTGTGGCGTCGGCCAGCCGCCGCAACCAAGCAAGTCAAGGCAACAGCAGAGCGCAGGGCGAACATGGTCAACGGTCTTGATTTCGCAGTCGCACGGCAGATTGTTGTTTGAGACTGTCACTGGCTGGCTGGCAGTCAGCTTGTAGTGCATGTATACCTTCCACGAAACGAGGTGTACTTTCATCTTATCTCTTGACTGTCACAGCAGAATGAAGTGGGACGCCAGTTCACCCTTCGATGTGTCGAAGCCGGTCACTTTGTTCAAAAGATATCCACTGATTGAATAGAATGATGCAGTTCATTCCAAGCAAGACTAAGACTTCAATGATGACAATCTGATGACCATCTAATGACAATCTGATGACAATCTGATGAACATACAGTAACATGTTTTTTTTGTTTCGCAGGCTGCAAACATCTCGTGATCACCACACAGCTACCGCCGAGGTTCTTCTTGAAAGCTCCAGCAGCTGATAGAGGAGGAGTCCCAACCTTGGCCGACCAACGGTCTCGTGGTCACCTGATGTCACCTGGTCAAAACTCCCATGATTGTGACATATTTAAGGACCCTTTGAAAATAGAGTTTTGCTGATTGATGTTAAGAAATTATTGCAATATGTTTTGTCATGTTTTGTCCATGGAAAATCATAACAGCACCACTCCAAGGATGATGTTCCTGATGTTCTCATGGGCAAAGCAATACAAATCGTTCCGGCAATGTTTCCTCTGGGGCTGGCTCTGCTGCCGGTTGACGACGCTAAGCTGCTGCAATGGACTCATGGCATTGAAATTTGTTGCTTTTGTCTATCCAATGCTGAACAGCTAGGAGATACCAAGTCATCCAAAGTCAATGTACAGTGGTTGAGGAACCAAAACAAACTATATAGTTGGCTAAAGGATGCTCAAGGATACTAAAGGTAAGGAGGAACATGCTTGCAATCATGCCCAACCAAAGCTTTAGCCATTTACAGTTGGAGTCCCCTTTTCCACCAGATCCATGGCTGTTCCTGACGAAGAGCAGTATCGAACACAGGAGTGAAGCGATCTGAAGCACATCTCCTAGCCACAGCTGAGCCCATCAGTAGTGTCCAGTCCCACTTCGAATGCTGTGCCAGAATAGATGCGAGCTTTGGATATCAAGGACTGCCGTAAAAATGGTGCGAGCGTTCACCCACCGACATAGCGATCGATGCATTCACTTGTTGGTGTCCATTGATTAGTTGGAAAATGTCGACTGTCCTGAGAAGAATGGCATGACAAGCAAAACCTCGGGATGTGCGGGTGGTTTCTCACTGTGTGATCACCGTTTTCCTCATCTACCCTCTGGTAATTTAACATAGCTATTGAAAATCACCATTTTTCATGGGAAAATCCACTATTAATGGTCATTTTCAATACTAAATGTCCATTTTGGAAAATGGTGACTGCTCAAGTTGACCTATGATGTCAGGATGATCCGTCACCTTTGGCATCCAATGCCAACACTTTGGATCTAAGCAATTGACCAAGCTTACCCTCTGGTAAACATACAAAAAGCTATTGAAAATGGCCATTTATAGTGAGTTTTCCCATTAAAAAATGGTGATTTTCCATAGTTATGTTAGTTTACCAGAGTGTACCATTGGCTGCAATTGCTTCTCTTGTGTCTTCTGCGATCTACTATACTATAATATACTATAATGGAATATCCGCCCTCTCCGTAGCTTGGGGTTCGGGACAATGCAAAAGGTGAAGGGCATGAAAAGCAAGAAGCAGCATGCCTTCAGCGGCGCTGAAGATTGGGGCGAGGCTACAGTATGCCGGAAAATTCTGAAAGATGAAGCAAAAATCGTGATCTCATGTGATATCACAGTCAGCATGTTTTCTGGCCAGTGGATCATGACATACCTCTCTTGCAAGATCTTCATCCCGGATCATCCCGGGCATATGAAAAATCATCATCTTCGGGGACCATCATCCCAATCCTATGGTTGAGAGTAGAAGAAAAAAACACCAAGAAGATGATCATCATTGGTTCTATAGCCACTATATCCGCATCTTAGATGGTCAAACCTGTTAAACCCCCATGTTTCTGTGTTTAAATACCAAGCATTTCACATCAATGCGATGGATTTTGGGGATATTTGGCATCCCAGAGCGATCATATCCTGAGCTCTGGGCTGCGAAGCTGCTGCATGGCACACGGAAAGGGCCTGGCAGATTTCGGCCAGGGTCCAGGGTGGATGGGCGAGCATTTTGAACCCTCAGAATTAGCAGCAGATGGGGATCTTTTGGGATTTCACTGATATATATGATATAAACATACGTATATAAACACACGCTTGTAATTCAAGAAAATTCAGGAAATGGTAGCCGGTATAGCTTCTGATGGTAACCGGTCGGCACGAAGTGTAAGTGGTTGCAATGGCGGAGAAGTATGGAGAAGTCACTGACTTTGCAAACCTCCTGGGATACAGCGCAAGTATTCTATAAGAAAGTCTTGCAATTGTGAGAATTTGAGGGGCTCGGCTCCAATCCCAACTATATCTTGGAGGCTACATCAAAATCATCAAATCATTACTACCGCAAGAATTTGAGGCCCCCTCATGTAAGCGCCTAAATTCTTAAGTTATTATTCCGCATTATAGGTTGTAGTCTAGGTATGTCAGAGTACCCGGTACTGAAGTCACCAAACCCCCCAAAAAAACATCCAGCAGCTGTAAAATCGTTTTTGCAAACTAACTTGGGCCTATGGCACTGCATCCAATACTAAATTAAGAAAAGTGACAAGAATTCGAGGGACCCTCACCTTATCCGTCCCTAAAAATTGTGACAATTTTGAATTAAGAATTTGAGAGACCCTCGGCCGTGGAATGGGACCTTTTAGATTCTTACATCACTCGGGCTGTGACTATGAATGACTCGGTTCTCAGTTCTCATCGTAGCTACCTTAAGGTACCATGAGCTACCCTCCGGGAATCAAACATGGCAATGGAAAATGCCATATTTAAAGATTATGTTCTAATTAAACCTCCACTTGAGGATGTTTTTTTGTGATGTTTGACGACGGTGATCCACCGGGATGAACACCCGTCCAGGCACGCTCCAAGTCATTGTGCTTTCCTGGGACGACAGCACCACTGAAGCAATGTTGGCATGCAGAATTGACTCATGATTTCAGCGCGTAAAAAGTTGAAAATTGATGAAAATAATTGCAGGCTTACGTTGTGTTATTTACCAAATTTTGAGAAATAACCCATATTGACCCTGCAATTTTCAACGCTGTCTTATGGTTGATTGAAAACTAAAAATCTACTTCTTGTGCGGGCATCCAGTCTCCAACATAAGAAGCATCCCTAAGTTTCGAAGTGGCACAAAACATCCAGTAATAGCCAGTAAAAGATTCGAGAAATCCTCAGGGTTGGGACACATTGGTCATGACTGGTCCACTTTTTTTTGGCTTCATCGCTCAATGAGGCCCAGATACTTCGCAAATGAAGAAAGGCTGAAAACTCGATGACCTGCCAAGAAATGGCCAGTGACATCCAGTGACACCGGTGGTTGAGCCACTCCATTGCCCGGTCAATTTCCATGAATCATCCGACGTAGCAATGGAACAGAAGTCTTTGAAACAAAAAGTGAAAAGAACCAGCAAGTGGCTGCTGAAAGCCCACGTCACAATTCGGAGAAGCAGCATGTCTTCAATGGGCTCTACATGATCAGCGTCGTTGGATCTAGGGCCCCATCCGGTCATTTCACAATCTAGCTATGCAAAAGCACCATTTTTGGGGGAGATTCTCACCTGGCCTGGGCCACACAGTAGACACCGTTCAGCATCTGGATGATACTTTGAAAGGATGAAGACATGCTTAGAACCTCAGGCGTCAGATGGCGTCGGGAACTCATCCCACTGGAACAAGAACGAAACCGCCATCAACCAGCAAATGCATGCAATTGCAGATTCTCACTCTTGTTTTGTGTGTTCATGTGTAGCAATCTTGAAGTTAAAACTCTGGAGATGCAAAGCAACACCTTTGGAATTTGGAGGGAAACAACTTCATTTTGCATCTTGTGGCTGTCTTCACATTCGATGAAACTTTGCACATGCTGCAAAGAAGTTCACACCATTCAATGGTTCAGACATCCCAGATCTCGGGGAGGGAAATAAACCATAGTAAACCACGACAATCCACACGAAAAACTTGTATGATGAAGATGGAACTTAACCACAAATCCATACAAATCATTACAAATCCTATTTCATCAGGTGATCTAAGCAGCTTGGATCCAACCAAGCTGGCATGATGATCCATTGTCCAGGTCGCCAGCACCAGGATAGTGATCACCAGCAAGGGCAGTGATGGAGTGTCGAAGCGCGAGCGACGCGCAAAGCAGGTGGGCAGCCATCCGTCCTCTGCCATCCCTGGCATGGCGTTGAAGTGGCGTCCCGACTAATCCGAACAAATCCACACGACATTCCGTGACTATGAAGAGTTTATCACAGTCAATTTTGATAGTTGAGAATATCTCAAAAAATAAGTTCCATGACTATGACTATATATGACATACTATGACTGTCTCAATTCTTTTTCAGATGTTTTTCAATGGCGAACGACTCACGACGCTTTAAGAGGTGACATGTGGCTTCCGTACGCACCGCCCAGTCGTTCCAGGTCGTTTCGGCCTTGGAGTTGGAAGGCGGCCTCAGCCATTTCCGAGAGCTGTTGTCCCAGGCAGCTCACTGCGGCACCGCAGATCACCCAAGACCTGGGCCGGAAAAAAGTTGTCAATGGATGATGTATGATGGATAGTGCAGGGTTTCAAAATTTTTCAATTTGTTCATCCCTGATTAATCAGATTGGGTGGTGCCCTTCTCCGAGGCCAAGGCTTTAGGATGCGTCCACCCAGCCTCACATGGGGATGCACAAGCTGACACAAAGAGGGGACAAAATCTGCAAGTCTTCGAAAACACCAACTGGGAACTCTGGGACTAGGAGAATGTTTCTCCCGCGGTGTGGGTTGTCATGTCCAGAATTGGCTGCATCGCACAGCCGTTGGACTCTCAGATCTGCCATTGATCCCCCACTGCATCGCCTTTGCCCCAGGAGGGCAAACTGCCCATCTTGCCAATCGCGCCAGTGATTTCCGGGGACACCAAGACCGACCAGCCTCAGGCACGGGCTTCCAGGAACTGAACTGGGTCCGGCTAAGACATCCGCCGACCCCGCTTGCAGCAGGGGGAGCGCGTCAGAGGAGAAAGTACATGAAAGTATCATCAGCAAGGGGCAAGAACTTATCCGCCGACCCCACGGAAGCAGGGGGAGCGCGCTCGAGAAGCAATGCCAAATGGAGAGTCTCAAGGCGAGGGACGAAAGAATGAGGAAAGGCTAGTTTCTTGTCCGTTCAGAGCAACGTCCGGCAGAGGCAGCCGTGGACCGAAAGTATGGTCCGTCCTTCAGTGGCATGGTGCTGCGCTGTGGCGAGGCTAAGGTTTTGGAGCTTTGAAGGCTGCAATTTGGAGCTAGTTTCTTGTCCGTTCAGAAAGCCACGTTAGGCAGAGGCAGCCGTCTGTCGAATGACCCCGTCTGGGACTGGGGGGCCCACGGTTTTGGAGCTACTTTCTTACAGCTTCAGAAAACAGCGTTAGGCACCGTCAGCCGTCTGTCGAATGACCCCGTATGGTGTTGCTAAGCACCGCCAACCGTCGGTCGAATGACCCCGTCCGGCCTTCGCTGAGGGCATAGCCCATACCCTCTGGTAACTTAACGTAGCTTTGGAAAATCACCATGTTGAGACGTAAATCATCATCATCATCATCATCATCATCATCTCCTCTAAATGGGTACAGCCATTGTCCATAGCTAAGTTGAATAACCAGAGGGTAACTGAACCGGTCTGGGTCCCCTGACAGCGGCAAGAAATAGGATAAGACCACAGCCACCATGGCCACAGCCAGAGCTTTGGGATAGGTCGTTTTGACCTCATCCACTTCTCCAGCTAATGTTGAGGCTGTGTCCCAGTAGTTCAAGTTCCAGAAGAGCGTGTTCCTCAATCCAGGAGCTGGTGGAGTTCGAGAACCAGTGGAGATGGCCAACAGAAATTCAGATAGAATCTCAATTTGATTTCTTCGGAAGTTTCAGAAGCATTTTTGACGTTGTGATTCATGATGCACTCCGACATAATTTCAAATGATGTTCATCCACGTGAAAGATCCGAAACCAGTGCTGCCTGCCTAGGCATGCCACCCACCATCGCCCCCCAAACCCACAAGATGCTTCGAGACACAAAAAGTCTGACCACTGCACTTCGGAGACCTCAGAGCATTGAGAGCCACGTTATCCATTCATCGCCGTGGGGTTGCCCAACAGCTGTGGTCGGTTTTCGTGCTGAATCATTGATGATTTATGATTACGATTTTGACCCCTACCCATATCATCCTATATATATAATATTAAATAATATACCCAATGTATTTATGCTGCATCGCTGATTCATCTGTCTGCTGGCGTTTCCCTACAGGTCAGTGACCGAGTAGCTGGTGGGCTGACCAGTAAACGTTCCATCGAGATCTGTGGCAGGCCAACCACCACCATATAAACGAAGGGTGACAGTACGAATCCTGCCAGGGAAGCCGGCTGTAATACATCTGTATCATAAAGTTTCTGGAATTGGGCAGTTTAAAGTGAGCAATTCTCTTTTGACTATCTCTAAACAGTCTATGCGTGCAAAGCTGACAAACAGTTTCCAATCTGTTGGCTGGGCAAGAATGAAAATTGGCAGCCAGCGTCCCCACTGTCCTGCAAGAAGAAATGCCTTGGTGGCTGATGGTGTTGAAATCAAGGGTCAACAATGCTTGGACCTGACGAAGGATTGATAGCCCCCCCACAGGTCTTGGCTTTCCGCTGGACAAACTCTTCAAGCGGGCCATTTCTAAGGAGTGATGAAGTCGGTATGAACCCAAAACAGCCTGAAATCAGTTTGAAAACCTGAAAAAAATTGGACAGCTAACACTCGCTGACAAGCTGACCTGCGCACCATCAACCTCAACCTCATTCGATCAGGGCAAGCTACTCCCAACCAACGATGTTCAACAACCTCAACGATGTCCCTTACACAACTTCCCTGGGTACTGTACAACCTCAACATGGCTCACAACCTCCCTACCCAAGGGCAAGCTGCTACCCAACCAACGATGCTCAAACCAGCATAATTCAGCGCTGCCATGAGGAGCCTCAAGGCGCATGGTATTGAGATGAACATCAGGCAGAATGGTTATATATTCGGGATATAATCGGGATATTATGAATAATGGGGTACAATGCATATAATGGTACATATACCAGTAGTACCGCACAAGGCGGTGGCGGAAGTTTCAAAAATAGGAAACCTATAGGAAAGGTTGGTTGTTGTGAACCCGGAATGGCAGAGCGAAGCCACTGATGGATCGAAAGGTGATTGATGTCTCCTCTCTTTCTCTCTCTTTCTCTGACTATCTACCTACCTACCTACCTATCTATGTATCTATCTATCCATCGATCTATCTGTCCATCTGTCTATCTATCTGTCTATCTATCTATCTATCTATCTCTCTCTCTCCCTCTCTCTTTCTTTCATCTGTCTGTCTGTCTAGCTGTCTACCTGTCAATCTGTCTATCTGTCTATCTATCTATCTACCTATCTATCTATCTACCTACCTATGTATCTATCTATCTATCGATCTATCTGTCCATCTATCTATCTATCTATCTATCTATCTATCTATCTCTCTCTCTCTCTCTTTCTTTCATCTGTCTGTCTGTCTAGCTGTCTACCTGTCTATCTGTCTATCTGTCTATCTATCTATCTACCTATCTATCTATCTATCTGTCTGGCTGTCTACCTGTCTATCTATCTATCTATCTATCTATCTATCTCTCTCTCTCTCTTTCATCTGTCTATCTGTCTAGCTGTCTATCTGTCTATCTGTCTATCTGTCTTTCTATCTACCTATCTATCTATCTATCAATCTATCTAGATCTATCTTTCTTTCTTTCTTTCGTTCTATCTATCTTTCTATCTATCTATCTCTCCATCTATCTATCGCTCAAAACTGTCTCTCTATCAATCTGTCTATCTGTCTATGTCAAACCTTGACGCCTTGAGTTGCGCTCACTGGAGCCGAAGAGGTTGCGGATGTGACGGTTTCAAATTATGTCGCGATGTACATGCTGAGGGACCAGTGACTACCTCAAGCCTGCACTGACATGTTCATGTCACGGCCGTGCATGAGCTACAGACTTTGACGCTGCCACATTCCTCTTGGCAGCTTGTTTTTTTTCGCGTCGCGTCGAACGCTCTGAGACTGGCTCTCGCAGCATATGCAGCTCAGTGTCTATGGATAAGTCTTAAGCTGCAGATGCCACATCGAGGGACGAGGATGATTCCCAGCACCAACAATCATTTGATTCGTTGAATATCTCTTTAGTTCTTGTTGAACTATTGCAGCACGATTTCTTGTCTTCTTATGAGCACGGTCTGCTTAGTTGCCTTCTGCTTACCATATGAAATGGGTTGTTCTCGGCTTTTCTCAGGGGCCTTATCAGAAATATAACGTGGAATCATCCTCGTCCCACTCCCAAGTCTCGTTGTTTCCCTTCAGGGACCACCAGAAGCGGTTCGTGTGAGGGTCAATGTAACCTCAGAGCAGCTTCTCGACGCAGTGAGTACAATGCTAGCGAGCACGTGGACAACCGTACTCCGATTATGCCGTCGACATGATGCTTCTGTCGGCGGCTTGTCTTGCAGTCTGAGGCCCTGGCAATCCCAGCGATTGCCCTCTTCGGTCGGCCAGTCATCTTCCGAAAACACCTACAGAAAACACAGGCTGCCATGAGAAAAGACGTTCAACCAACGTTGACAAATTCAAACCCTTGGTGTTTGAGTCGTGGACGTCGGACCAAGCTCCTTCTGCAGCGTACGTCTCTGCCTCGCTGGCCGCCACCTCGAAGAAACCAGCGGTATCGTCCCTATTGCTCCGCCATCTGTCCATGCATGTCTTGTATTGATTTGGAATTCCAAGACCCCCTGAACTTCGAACATCAGGAAGGTCCGGCTCGTAGTCCTCTTCAACCACATCTCCATCCACAGACCTTACAGCGTAGCAGAGAAAAGTCGAGCACATCAGTTGAATCACCTGAGGCCCTTGCAGCGCGTCCGTGTGGTCCACGACCTGGTGGCCAGATGCGGTCGCGCACTCCGAGCCTGAGGTTTTGCGAACTTAATTTGGACCAACAACCACACAAACTCTGAGGATCAGACACAGGTACCTTCCGTTGTGCCCGTGGTAGCCAGGGTCCTCTCCCACTTCTCCTGCTTTTTTCTGTTCGACACTTCTTTGGACCGTGTCCTCTCTTTTCGGGATTAAATAAAAAGCGTTCAAAAACAACTGTCCTTCGAATAAAGAGGGTTGAACGTGCAATGTCATGTATCTATTGATAGAATTTGATAGAGACATACGTACATGTAATGTAGTGTAGTGTAGTGTAATGTAGTGTAGTGTAATGTAGTGTAGTGTAATGTAGTGTAGTGTAGTGTAATTTAGTGTAGTGGAGTGTAGTGGAGTGTAGTGGAGTGTAGTTGTAGTTGTAGTGTTGTGGAGTGTAGTGTAGTGTAATGTAGTGAAGTGTAGTGGAAGGGAGCGTCGTGTGGTGTAATGTAGTGTAGTGTAGTGGAGTGTAGTGTAGTGTGATGTTGTGTAGTGGAAGGTAGTGTCGTGTAGTGTAATGTAGTGTAGTGTAATGTAGTGTAGTGTAATTTAATGTAGTGGAGTGTAATTTAGTGTAGTGGAGTGTAGTGGAGTGTAGTTGTGTAGTTGTAGTTGTAGTGTTGTGGAGTGTAGTGTAGTGGAATGTAGTGTAGTGTAGCGGAGTGTAATGTAGTGTAGTGTAGTGTAATTGAGTGTAATTGAGTGCAGTGTAGTGTAGTGGAGTGGAGTGTAGTGTAGTAGAATGTAGTGAAGGTGTAGTTGTAGTTGTAGTTGTGGTGTAGTGCAATGTATTGGAGTGTAGTGTGGTGTAGTGGTGGTTGTAGTTGAAAATGCTACAAAACGCTCACGTTTTGCTCACTTTTGACAAGGTGCACAATCCCTTGCGCCTGCCACGCGAAGCGGCATCTGAACCTCCAAAAGTGGTCCGAACCCCTAGTGTTTTTAACATTTTGACTTCGAAATGTGCTTCGCGCCACAACAACGTGAACTTTTTCGACATCTCAACTTCCAAAAGTGGTCCGAACGTGGTGTGCTTTGTACATTTTGACTTCGAAATGTGCTTCGCGCCACAACGGCGTGCGCTTTTTCGACATCTCAAGTGCCAAAAGTGGTCCGCACCTGGTATGTTGACTTGGAAATGTGCTTCGCGCCACAACGGCGTGCAATTTTTCATCTCTCCTCTGGCCAACTGGCTCCGCACCCGCCGCTTTAGCGAGCCTACTTTTCGACCCTCCGGAGCCACAAATCATTGGAAAAACACAGTGAATCGCGACTTTCCTACCTTTTCGCGCATCTTACTCTTGCTCTTCTACTCTTCTCTCTTCTAATCTTTCTCTTCTCTCTGCCTCTGCCCTGCTCTGCTTTTCATCTGTCCATATTGTCGGAAGTTTGACTTCTAAACTTCCTTCGATTACAAAATATTAAACTGATTTTATACAACTATACAAATAAAATGTGCAAATGTATATATATATGATATTTATATATATTTACAGCATATTTGCACAAAACCACATTTCAAGTTTCTGGTTTTCTGGTCAAAGAGTTTGGCTTTCCATGGAGAAAGTGCTTTTTCTGGTCCTGTCACACCGGAGATCTTTTTCGATCGTCCCAGGGAGACAGCTTCCCCAGAGAGTCCCCAGCCCCCCCCTATTCTAAAGAAGGTGTAGCCTAGATCCGTCCAGCAATTTCTCCATGGAATGCCAATCACAACTTTGAAATGGAGGAGTCTAGAGAAGCATTGCTTTTAGGGCCATCCAGCACTTCCCCTTTAAAGAAGTTCTGCCCTTGGCACCATCCAGCACTTTTCCATGCAATGCCAGACTCTTTGACCAGAAAACACAACTTTGAAATGGAGAACATATCCCCTAAAAAAGTCTTGCCCCTAGGGCAACAGTTTCCCTTTACAAAAAAATGCCTTCTGGGTAACCCAGCGCTCTCCCCATGAAATACCAAACTCTTTCACAATTCCCCAATACTTTGAAATGGGGAGCCTATTCTCTAAAGAAGGTGTGCCCCTACATACATCCAGCAATTTCTCCATGGGATACCAAACACATCCAAACATTTTGCCCAGAAAAACCAACAATTGGAAATGGAGGAGCCTCTCCTCTAGAGAAGCTCTGCTTTCAGGGCCATCCAGCACTTTCCCTTTAAAGAAAATTTGCCCTTTGCACCATCCAGCACTTTCTCCATGAAATACCAGGCTCTTTGGCCAGAAAACACAACTTTGAAATGGAAAACATGTCCTCTAATCTAAAAAGTCTTGCCCCTAGGGCAACAGTTTCCCTTTACAAAAAAATGCCGTCTGGGTAACCCAGCGCTCTCCCCATGAAATACCAAACTCTTTGAAAATTCCGCAATACTTTGACATGGGGGGCCTATTCTCTAAAGAAGGTGTGCCCCTAGATCCATCCAGCAATTTCTCTATGGGATACCAAACACATCCAAACACTTTCCCCAGAAAACCAACCATTGGAAATGGAGGAGCCTCTCCTCTAGAGAAACCCTGCCCCTAGGGCCATTCAGCACTTTCCCTTTAAATAAATTTTGCCATTTGCGCCATCCAGCACTTTCTCCATGAAATACCAGGCTCTTTGACCAGAAAGCCAGCACTTTGAAATGTCACAGCACCTTTGTAAAGAAAAAATAGCACTGCCTCATCTTTAAAGGATATTACTTTCCAAAAACTTCATTTTCGAGGTTCCCCAAAACGATCATGGAGCCACATATATATATATATGTACATGTATATATAAATATATAATATATACATATACTAATATATATATAATATATTTCCTTATTACTAGCCCCCCCAAAAAAAAATAATAACAATAAAAACTAGGGTCCATCTTTAATTCTGGAAAATGTCAATTTGACTTTTAATTGATCCCCTTTAGAAAACAATTTAAATTAAGCTACCATTTGTGGGTGTCGCCCCCTAATAATAAGAACTAGTCAACCCCGGGGTGTTTTTATTAGGGTCCGTCCGATTTTTTTTGCTTTTTATGTTAGGGTTTTCAATTTAATATTGCGGGGAAGCTTCGAAATCCAATTTTTGGCAATACTTTAATTGCGTTATAAAGGGAAATTTAATTGATTTTGAAATCGAAAAAACTAGTTGTTTTTTATTAAGGGTTTTAATTTATCATTAGAGTCCGCTTCGAAATCCAATTTTTGGCAATATTTCAATTGCGTTATAAAAGGAAATTCAATTGATTTTGAAATCGAAAAAACTAGGTTTTTTAATTAAGGGTTTTAATTTATTATTAGGGTCCGAATCGAAATCCAATTTTTGGCAATATGTTAATTGCGTTATAAAAGGAAATTTAATTGATTTTGAAATCGAAAAAACTAATTTTTTTATTAACGGTTTTATTTTATTCTTAGGGTCTGCTTTGGTTCCCTAATGATAAATACCACCCTATATAATAATAAAAACTACCTGAGGTGTTTATTATTTGGGGGGTCAGTATCCGGGGGAAGGGATTATACATATATTATGTACATACACATTATAATTATAACCCCCCCGCAAAACAATGGCGGTTTGAATCCCCTTCTTGTCACCAAGGTGCGTGACACCCAAGACAAAGATCTGCCCGTAGAGCCCTCCAGACATCTGTGGCCACAGCTCCTGCAGAGCAGTGAAACCCCTTCGTGTATGGCAGGCAAGATTCGATTTTCCCTGGTCTTGGTTGATTCCTCCACCAACACCAGAAAACGGGGGAAATAAAAAGTGTCTGGAGCTATCTTCCTGGTTGTCTATGAAAATTGCTTGACTATATTTCCTAAGCCACCATTTTGGGTCTGTGTGGCGAACCGCTGAAATTGCACGCTGAGCCTGCATTGGGCAAACCCAACTCACCACATCCCCAAATCAGTCACAACTCCAGTAACCCACTGTGTTCACCCCCTACCAGCTCTAATGGTCTTTATATCCCTGAAACGATTCAAAAATCAGCTCGCGCCGGTGCTGGAGCGTGGTCGTTTAGTTCCGAGTCCAGGTGTGTGTTGGATGACTGTGGGAGCTTCCCCCTATGTAATTAATGAAACCATCATCCAGGGTGATGTCAGTTGGAGAGGCCGTTATCATGCGCCATGAACTCTCCTAAATCATTGATTGTATTATATAATATTCTATTGCTAATGTCCCCATGTTTGACGATTTCAGCCTAGACTTTCTCACATGTGTTGGCAAAACCCCTAAGTTTTGGTGGTTGAACTCCCTATGCATCTCCAAAACCCCAACAAATCCTTAGTAAAACCGGACCCATCCTCAAGGTATTGCCGGAAGAGCACAGGATACAGGGCCGCATCAGCCACCTGGAGCACCATGGGGCGGTCATCCCACATCATCCAATCTTCATGGCACAGAGAGTATGATAAATGATGACAAATGGTGATATAAATGAACATATGGACCCATAGTATAAATGGCAACTCTTTGGGCAGAACAGATTCTGTTCAACTTTGGCGGATCAAGACTTTCAGATACGAGCAGCAGCTTCCAAAGTGTGACCCATCCTGAGGGGCCATGGGCCAGCTTCCAATTGGCCCCGTATGCATACATAAGCCACATTTCACATCCCCAAATCCGCCAATCTGCCACGTTTTGATGCAGAATTGATGCAAAGTCACAGAGCTGATCCATGACAGGAAGCCTTCCTGAAAGCCCCAGAAAGGTCCAAAGGCAGCCGTGACCCACTCCTCAGAGAAAAAGGCTCGAAATCAACATACATCCTACTTTTGACACTGCCCTTGATAGATTTCTGTCAAATCTGTTTGCTTGAGTGGTGGGGTTGATGGTTTTTTCAGAAGCCGTTCAAACATGTTAAAACATGTTAAAACCAGAGGTTGTCTTTCTGAACCCCACCCTGTCCATCAAACTTTGATGGATCACTTGGATCCAAGTCTCAACAAAGCCAGCGTTGCTGGGAAAGGTGGTGGCCAGCTCTGCCGTCACCAGCGCTTCAGGTAGGGACCAAACTAAAGGCATCAGCAGAAAACCTGGCTGCTGGATGCTGCTGGATGCTAAACAGGACTTCAGCCGGTAGGAAACCAGCCAGAAAAACAATGCAGAGACTCAGAGAGTAAATTCCATGTGTGTCTGAAAATGGGCTGCACCCAGCCAATTGAATGGGAAATGCTGCATGGAAATACCATGATTGACCAAGAGATGTCGTGGTTTTCCTGCAAATTTTTGGAGAACCCAAATGGATTTGGGCGTCCGTCGCGTCCGCCCATTACCTTCCCAGTGCCTAACACCCCTGCGGCACCTGCCAAGGAAAGCAAGGGACCAGCCGAAGCGACGGCATCCTGGCACGCAACATGAGAAGCACTGTGCTCTGCTGAAATCATGCTTGTTGATGTGGCCTTAGAGACTTTGATACAGCGGACGTCTACTTGGTGGCTTCCATCCAACAAACAATACGAAGTTACGAAGTAATCCCTTCCCCGTTTTTTAACATGTTTTAACTCACAATATCAACCATGTGTAACCATGGTTTAGGGTTTAGGGGTGATTTCATCACCTTTTTTTGGGCCCAGCCCAGCGATAAGGTGTTGAAAGGTGTTGAATAACCATGGGCTGAGTCACGTGCCTCGGCTCCGTATGGGCCACCAGACACCGAGTAGTAGATGATGGCGGACAGGGCCAACAGGGACAGCCTGTCACAACGATACCACCGGACACCAGACTTACCGACACTTACCGACACTGGAAATGATGGAAATGGGATGATATGAAGGTGAGGTAGCTAATGTACTCATGGCAACTCCACCTCAATCATCCCAAATCCATCCAAAACCCCATCAAATATTAAATCATATTAAATCCACTGGTTAATTATCATGTTCATTCACTTTCCCTATGAAAATTGCCATGCGTTGGGGGATATATGTACTCGATGTTCAATTATTTCAGACGCACCTAAATGTGCCCTTCAAACTTGACTCCGTCATAAAGCATCAAGCTGGAAAGAGGCACAATGCGCCATCTTACGCCCTTGTTTTCCCACCAGCTTTCTGCCTCAAACAACCATGCCAGCGACCATTGAAACTCCAGATTGGTTCATGAAGCTTTCAACACATGTTAACCATCCAGCTACAAGTTCGTGGTTCCGAAATGTATCTAAATTGTCAATGTTGTTGATAGTGAAATCCCCCATAAACAGCTTGCTTCAACCCCAAACTGTATTTAATTGCCAAAGAAAATGTCCGATCTTAAATCCTATGCAAATCTCTGGGAGATAGTTGTAATTTCCATTTCCCGATATATCCCATGGATATCCCCAAAAATTATCCCATTAAAGCCCCACTATTTCCCAAAGGGATCTCTGTTCCAACACCCTTCCCATCCCCAGCCTGGGCCGCCGTGGGGAGACTGGGGCAGCCATCCGCCATGGAGAAAACGATGGCTGTGTCTGGTCTGTCTTCTGGTGTGCCATTGAGTCCAAAATTGGAGCTATCCACATACAGTAGTCATCTGAAGGGGGAAAATTATGGAAAATTGGAACTTCTGAAGAATGCATTTGGATCATTTGGGGGTAGTTTTGAGGCTTCAGATGGCTTCAGACACATTGCAGTTACTGTTGCTGTGCCATTGGAGATCCCCGGAGTTGGTCAAACACAAGGGCGATGACACGGGCCATCCTTGAAGAGTTCTGGATTTTGACAGGCGGCTTGACTGAATATTTGTTGGAGAAAAGATGGCTATGGGATGGTAGTGAGTCACAAAATGTCACAAACGCATGGATGTGATCTTCAAAGCCATAAAAGCGCGGGTAAAACTGCATCCACAAAGCTGGCTTTGTAAAGATGATGTTAAAAAATATCCTTGAACTTCCAGCCGTAGCTCCAAATGTCAAGTCTCCCTGCCAAATCCTGAAACCGGCACCTCCTTGTAATTTGCAATGACAATGACGTGTTGAATGCCTTCCTCCTGGCAGTTCCGTTGCTGTGTTGGGGTGACCTTAAGGTTTTCTTGTATTGGAAGCAACACTTGATTGCAAAGATGATGATATGGGTTTGTCTTGAAATAATGTACCCCCAAAAAAAATGTTGGTTGCGTAAGTTGCGTATATATCATTTTCCCTATTGAAATAGCCATGAATTAGCCTATCCCCCATCCTCCAGACAGACAGAAATGTCCATCATCAATTGGTTAGATCTCTATTTTATAATATTTCACAGAGTCCTCATAAACTGGTTCCGTAGTTGAATCACCCAAAATCCATGAAACTCCATCAAAATCCCATATCCAAACTGTTCAAACTGTCCAAACATAGGGAGTTTTGCCCTAGTTTCGCACTTCGCGGAACGTCCTGCACCACTTCCACGGCCTCGCTGCGCAGTTCCTGCGCCACTTTGCGGATCCCCAGGAGGCATAGGACGCCAGAGTAGCTCATCCCTAGACCTGGCCATGCGGCGATGCACTAGGAATGTGTTTTAACGGGACCATGGAACCATGGAATGTCTCAAAGGTTGGGATGATTTTTTTGCTGTCGATTCTGGACATCTGGATATTCCTTCCCAAAAAATAAGTGAAACCTATCGAAATTCCCAAATCAAGAAAAGACAATTTATACCTTACAGTGAAAACGATGTGCTGAGCTGCCAACAGAGACTCACATTCAGGATGGCCTCAGTGCCACGAGGTAAATCCCAGGCGAATCCCAGGGCTCGACCCTGTGGCGTTATCGAGTTCCCGACGCAGAAGGTCAGCCTTGGCATCCGGCGGAAGACACGGATCAACGTGGGGAAAACCCGCAAGGACGAACTTTCATGGATTGGTCACATGCTTGACATGGGTCAGCATCCCTGATTATAGTCCACTATTCCATTAATATCCCATGTAAAAAAAAGAAAAACTATAGTCAGCACTATTCCATTAATATCCCATATTAATATCCCATATTAATATCCCATATTAATATCCCATATTAAATTCACTATTCCATGGAAACCGTCAAATAGATTCAAGCCCATAGAAAGGGCGGGGCACCCAATTCAATCCACTTAGGTCAACACGGAGAACTCCTGAATCGCTTAGGCACCAAAAAACCATGTTTGTTCGTAGATGTTTTCAAGCCACATTGTATTACATCTCCACATGCAAAGCCACCGGCTGGTTACCAAACTGAAACAGGAGTTGAAGTGAAAAGGGATGCAATCAGACAAATATGTTAACAACAATGATTACCCTCTGGTGATAAAACACGGCAATGGAAAATACCCCATTTAAACATGATGTTCCCCTTAAGAACCCATTGAAACCAGGGTTTTCAATGGCCATGTTTGATGATAATACCACCAATCGCCATTAATCAATCGCCATTAATCACCGTAATTGACCATTATTAACCATTGTTAATGGTGATTAACCATCAATCACCATAGTTAATAATAATGATAATCATCATCATCATCAACCATTGTTAGCAAGCATTATTCACCAATATGAACCATTATTAATCACCATCGACCATCCAATCACCATGGTCTCTGGGATCCCTCACAACATTCTCTCGGAGAGTGCAAAGCTGACAGCTGCGCACGCCACCACCTCGCCGCAGCGGAGGTATTAGACCGTCCTGTTTGATGAGATCTGCCATACCACATTACATCATATGATATTATTTGATTTAATCTTATAGATGTATATATATATATGTATGTGTGTGTGTAAAAATATATGTGTATATGTATATACATGTATATAAATGTATATATATATGTATATGTATATATACATGTATATATATATATGTATATGTATATATATGTGTGTGTAATTACATGTATATATATATATGTATATATGTATATATATATGTGTGTAATTATATATATATATGTAATTATATATACTATTATATATATAAATCATTGTATATATAATACATATACTCTACTGGTGGTTTCACTCTGCTTCACTGTTGGGCTCGTCTAAGCACAGATGGCGAGTTTCATAATACTTGGAGGACCACCCCACGAAGCGTAACCGCTAAGTAATTGGGGTTGTAATTGATAACATGGTATAAGTGACATGTAAGTTATATATGAGTCATTATATAAGCTATATGTAAGTTATATATAAGTTGTTATATAAGTTATATGTAAGTTATATATAAGCCATTATATAAGTTATATGTAAGTTATATATAAGTCATTGTATGAGTTATATGTAAGTTATATGAAAGTCATTATATAAAAGTCATTATATAAACGATATGTAAGTTATATATAAGTCATTATATAAGTGATATGTAAGTTATATATAAGTCATTATATAGTGATATGTAAGTTATATATGTTATATATAAGTCATTTTATCAGTGATATGTAAGTTATATGAAAGTCATTATATAAAAGTCATTATATAAACGATATGTAAGTTATATATAAGTCATTATATAAGTGATATGTAAGTTATATATAAGTCATTATATAAGTCACTATTTAAGTGATATGTAAGTTATATATATATGCCATTATATAAGCTATATGTAAGTTATATATAAGTCCTTATATAAGTTATATATAAGTCCTTATATAAGTTTTATATAAGTTATATATAAGTCATTGTATGAGTTATATGTAGGTTACATATAAGTCATTGTATAAGTGATATGTAAGTTATATATAAGTCATGTTATAAGTGATATGTAAGTTACATATATAATCATTATATAAGTTATGTGTAAGTTATATAAGTTGTTATATAAGTTATATTTATATATACATAATATGTTATATATAACATTATACAGCTAGCACTCATCAGCCATTGAATGGACATCAACAACTTCCCACCCAACCAACACATCCGACAGCCAAACAGATCCCACGAATCGGTCACTCACCGGTCCAAACTGGTCCAAAGGACTCCCAGGAAGCAGAAGAGCGGAAAGAGTCTGGCCTGAGCTTGGCACCGGTCTCAGTTCGCTGCTTAAAATACCATGGATCTTGCTGCTTGAAATCCAATCTTGTTCGTGTGAACATCTGTTGGCCATAACATCTTAAAACATCTTAAAACACCAGAGGAATTTGGCAGAAATCCCCATAAATCCCCGTGTTCGCACCATGTTTGCTATTAAGAATTCCCCAAGCGTGGCAACGAACGACTCACAACCGCCTCACCAGGTGTCCCGACGAAGGTGGCCAGGCGTCTTCGCTCATGGATGTTGCTGCGGTGAAAGGTGAAGCCATCAGGCTTCTCCTAGCGATTTTCGATGGGACGTCCTGACATTTCATGACATGATGGAAATGAGAAGAGTTGGTAAGCCTCAAAATATATAGATAATAGCTAGAATATATACTTATTATATTATATAATTATTATATATTATATATATGTGTGTGAAAATATGCAGGAAACATCATCGTACTACTATCCTGGAAACACGTTTCTATCTTTTTGATTCTTTTTGGTTGCTATATATGGGTTAATAAAGATAACCAATTTTTGCTTGGTTTTCGTGCTTGTTTATCCAAGAGGGCAAAGGACAACCAATGGTAGCTCTAAAGCAAGCCTAATTAGAATCGGTGTGTTATAAAGGATTTAATGTAAAACATCCGATAGTAAGAAACAACCTGATATATAATTGTAAGTACAATGTACGTATAACACCAATTGATTGGTTTTGAATCATGACCCAAATGTTAAGTATAGTGTTGCTTAATCACGCCAAAGTTACAAAAACAATCATCAATCCCTGTCGGATTGGTCTACAATACTGACCCTATGAATTTGAATATATATATATATACATGTGAAACCCCAAAAAATGGCAACTAGAAGCTATATGGTGAAATCAAACATACTCAATCAAACTAGATGGTTCATAAACCCCGCAGAAAAAATATTTACACTGGCCAGTAACTGGCCAGTGTAAATATTTTTTCTGCGGGGTTTATGAACCAGTACATTGCTTGGCATCTAACAATGGCCCAGATTGTCGGTTTCGGTTTGTTTATAATTGCTGATCCCCAAATGAAAAAAAAAATAGTTCAGTATGCTTAATGTTGATGATAGATTCAGATGTTTGACCTGCGGACCCACAGCCACATTGAAACACGTGAAATTGCCTCCCAGCGCTGGGGTCCACACAGAAACTGCGTTCGACATGGCCAAGACAATCGACCCAACGGACGATTTCGAAAGCCACTGTAATTACAAGCTTAGCGATTCGTGAAAGTTCATGATCAGTGAAAGATTCCTACGTTGACATGCATTTTTTGTAAAGCTTACATTCAATGTCAAACATATTTGCCTTTGCCCATAACCCTCCTTGAGTTTCAGAATGTATACTGGCGTCGGCACTAGCAAACCCTGATAGGAAAACAGCTGCGGTTGAAAGAGTGTTCATCCCCATAGCTAGAGACCTTCAGCTGCCAAAAACGGCAAAACAGCAACAGGGATGACCAGCAGGCAGCAAACCATTCTTGGGTGAATGCTCATGTTTAAAAATCATGCGACCAAAATGTTGGAGACTTACTATCACTACAAATACGAATGAGTGACTACGCAAGTTTGGGTAAATTATGGCGCATGTAGGGAACTTAGATTTATTGTAAACCCACAAGTGTTGGACAGCCGGGACGGTCGCCCAAGTATCGCAGCACCAGTTTTCCGCGCACAAAGTCCATTAGGGAGCGCAATGGAATTCGCACCCGTCCTGCAAACGAATGTGCTTTTCCCAATGCCATGAAGCATCTCCAAATCATCACCATGTAAACATGGTTACTGGCTACTCACATTTCGAAGTCAACATGTACAAAACACCACATGCTCAGACCACTTTTGGAAGTTGAGATGATGAAACATTGCACGCCGTTGTTGCGCGAAGCGCATTTGGAAGTGAAAATGCTAAAAACACCACATGTTCGCGCCACGTTTGGACGTTGAAGCGTCGTTTTGTGTGGCGGGCGCAAGGGATTTTGCACCCTGCGAAAAGTGAGCAAAACGTGAGGGTTTTGTGGCAGTTTCAAAAACGTTGGCAAGCGTAGGACATGTGAAGAGGATCTGGAAAGATGCATTTCGCGTGGCAGGCGCAGTACAAGAGACATGGTCAGCAGAGATGTTAGGAGATCAGAGCGCTGATTTCCCCAGAGAAGTTGCATTTTGGAGCATCAGATCTTCAGGTTTGCTAAGATGTTTTGCGTGACAGGTGCAACACTTCGTATGGCCTGGCCTCACTTTTTTGTGGCAAGCGCAATACTTTACACACATGAGCTGGAAAAATCGCAAAACGCATTGGTACAAGGCCGTCGGATCTGCACTCAACTTTCCATTATTGAAGGAAGTCTCGCAGAATTGCTTCGTTTTTGACATTGTCAAGTTCAAAACTTGAGGAAGTCTCGCAGAATTTTTGTGCTTTTGATGTTGTCAAGTTGAAAAGTTGAGGACGTCTCGCAGAATAGCTTCGTTTTCAATCTTGCAGATAGATAGATAGATAGATAGACAGAGAGATGGATAGATAGACAGACAGATAGCTAAACAGATAGAGAGATAAACAGACAGACAGATAGATAGACAACTGCAACTACACTACGCTACATTACAGCAACAACTACCACTACACAGCAACTACAAATACAACTTCAACTCCAACATCAACTTCAACTACACTACAGCTATATCTACCACTACCACTACCACTACACTACCACTACAACTACATCTACCACTACCGCCACAGCTACAAGTACAACTACATCTGCAACTCCAACTACAACTCCAACTTCAACTACACTACAGCTACAACTACCACTACACTACACTACAACATACTACAGCTACCACTACCACCACGGCTACAACTAAAACTACAAGTACAACTACAACTACACTACAGCTAACACTACACCTACAACTGCGCTGAACAACACTGCAACTACAACTACAGCTACAACCACAACTACCATTACAACTACAACTACCACTACAACTACAACTACAACCACAACTACAAACTACACCACACCACACTACATTCAGCAGTTGTGGGTGAGGTGACCACTGCAACCACTCCAAAAAACACAACTCCAACCACCTTTCGGTCCATCAGTGGATTCGCTCTGCCATCCATGCATCACAACAACTCACCTCTGCTATAGTTGTCTATCTTTGAAACTTCCGCCACCGCCTTGTGCGGTACTACTGGTATGCAGCAATACCAACAGTACCAATGGTCATCCAATGATTGTGTGAGGCTCCACAACTACATTGTAGATCATATCAGTCAGATATATCAGTATATTCATTAACCTGAAACAAGGCCCACATACTTCGCAATCTGCCCTCCCCCAACCTGAAACAAGGCCATTTGGGGATGGTTAAAAATCATCCTGTTGCGCAGGTATCTGTACAGATGGGTACCCCTAAATCCGGTCATCATTGTCAGATGAAAATTGCCATTAAAAAATGTCAAAACTCCCCCATTTTCACACAGACCTAGTGTCCATTCCTTAAATCTTTATGATATCTATGCTGGTTAAATCATGTGATAATCATGCGAAATACCCATCAATTGGTTCTTGAAATCCAAGTTTGTTCATGTTTTTTCTGATCCGACCCGACCAGAGTACCATCCTTCTTCATCCAACTCTAACTTCAACCAGTGGTGTTAGTGTTGGCTGTTTCCCCGTGATATCCCCAAATTTTAGATGCTTAAATCACCATTCAATCACCATTTTTTGTTGCTAAAAATCCCATTCAATCACCGGCTCCTTGCTTCTGATGAGCTTCCACTTGGAGCTCCTGCAGTAGCTGCATCACAGCAGGTTGTAGGATCGACTGTCCACCTGGCGGAACTCGTTCGTTGATAAAGAATTGATAGATTTAGTAAACTGTTTGGTGGACACTAATTAGATATTATATATATATTATATATATGTATATTATATAGATTATATATATAATATATTCCAATGAATTCTGTTCGTCATATATATATATATATAAAGAGAATAGCTAAAGGATGCTCAAGGATAGAGAGGAAAACGTGACAATGGATCGGTGAAGTCATTGTGGGCCATGGCTATGAGTCCACGCACAACGCTTTCCCAGTTTCCTGTTGGTATATGTTGGTTATACCGATGTTGGTATGACAGGTATATATCATGATCATACCCATATATACCCATTACATACATTTACATGACAGCATTCTATATCATTCTATAATTCCATAGCCATTACATCATTACATCTAAGCTTGGGTATATAAGTCCATGACATCTGTTGCCATCGTGCCATCGCAGGTGCCTTCGGAGTGGCTGCCCCGGCCGGTGATCAACGTGAGACCTGCGAAAATTGCTTTGGTCATCTGGGAGGAATCGTGATAAACCTGTGACTCAACGTGATAACATCCCAAAATCCCATTAAAATCCCATTAAAACCCCATTAAAATGTGCTGTTAGATCGCTTTTTAATGAAAAATAATGACGAATTTACTACCGCTGACAGGGACAGAAGCAGGATGGGGTGGAAATGATTGTTAATGGTGGTTCATCCAACTGTTCCCAATCAAACACCAACAGGGATCCCCCAAAGCCCTGCAACTGGCAAAATTCATCTTTGCACTCTTCCGGGGTGGTCGAGAGGAACCAAAACCCTGTGGTCTGGTAAACACTCGCGAACAACCAGCACAACAAGCCTGAACAATGCAGCATTTAAAAAAAATACTCACCATAAAGCAAGCACGGAGTGAAAAGCTCATGTTCCAAAAAAAGATGCATAAGAAACTATCTCAAACCATGTCATCTTGATAATTGTATTTGTAACTATGATGATGTTCATGACCCATGCCCTTCATGACGGTTATCTGGCCGAGATCATCTTCGGGATGGCAAGTCCCCCAGGGCAGAAAATATAGGCTATCCCAAGACACCCCACCAATTAATGATCCACCCATCAATTATATAATGGGCCAACAATTCCCATCAATTAATAATCCACCAATTAATAATGATTATAATGATTATAATCCACACTATCCATCAATAATGAGCCATCAATTCCCATCAATTAATGAACTTCCCATCAGTTAATGATCCACCACTTGTGGCACCTGATGGAGGCCATGGCTTTGACTGCACCAAGTCCAGCAAGGCACAGCGCACCGCCAGGCGCGCCTCGTAAAAAACAGACACGTTGCTCCAAGGGGCGGTCAAGGCAGTGGTCAGATTTCGATGGGATTTCACCAATTTACAGGATGTGATGGAAATTTTGGAATGAGTTGGGAAGTTCATGGGGTTTAATTGGAGTTTATTGGATTTGGAATGGGATCTTAATGGGAATTAAGCGACCAAGTTATTGTGTGCATATATATATATAATGGGATTTGACGAATATACGTACTGATATACTTCGGATTTAAGGGGACACGTATAACCAACTATATCCAATTTAGGATTTAGTTAAATGAGTTTAACCAATTGAATTGGGGGATTCAGCTAGTGATTAAACCATCAAAAAATAAGGATTTAAAGAATCTATTGCGGAAATGATTCAAAGAGATGGGAAGGTGGCTGTTTGTCCTTCAGAATGGCCGGAGATCAGCAACGTGCAACAAAGGAGGGGATACAACCGTGATGGACCATAGATCACGGGTGTGGCTTGCTTTCCTGCTTCTCAAACCCACTGGCTGCTTGATATGTCTGAGGTGATATTGTATGAATATAAAGGGCAATATATAGTATATACCTTGAAACCCATCTTTGACACCAAGTTGGCCAAAGCAGAAACTGGGAAACTACTCTTCAGTATATTGGGGTATCGCTTTACTGAAGAATATTACAGTACGGTATGTATGGGTTATAGATGTTATAGCTATTGGAGACTTCCTAAGTGGCGCTACCTCCATTTCGGCCTCCTCGGGCTGCAAGTCGTGCAAATCGAGGACATTCCACCGTCGACCTGCCGCCCCGCGCAGGGGCAGCTCACGGTACGCGGCCTCGAGGCTGGAAACGGCTGGTTCCCAGTGACATTGGATGATGGATCATGATCATCCCCAATACAGTATATCAAAAACTTGCATGAAATTGGGTGAAATTGACATCCCCAATATATGTAAAGATTATTCTAAAAAAATAGTAAAACATCGTAAACCCACCCCCTACAATTTGTACAATATTGTACAATCATGAACCAACGTACTGCAGAAATGTTTCATCGGGCATCCCCACCAGAGCCGAAGGCAAATCACCAGCATCGACACAGCTGGCCATGTGAGCTGCACGGAAGACGTGGTCCAAGTGGCTGTCCTGCCAGGCCAGGCTTCGTTTCAGATGTCGGATCTGAATATATATATATATATAGAGAGAGAGAGAGCATTTTATAATGCAATAGTATGCATTGCTTTTCGTAGCATGTTACATAAATGTTATACTGTATGTGTATGTAATATTATTGACATATGTTTGCAAATAATATTGCAAATGTAGCAATAATTTTGACGGCTAAACTGCGGATGACTGGGGCAAGATACCCCTCCATTCCTACAGTCAAGCGGTGGTTCAAGACCCAGGGTCGCCATACATCAAATGCAAGCATCTGACATGCAAAAATTATAATATATAGCCTACCATCTATAAATCATAGTTATATAAGTTATATAAATTATATATATATATGTATGAATGTGTATATAGATATAAATGAATATAAATGTGTATATAGATATAATTATATACATGTTCGTATATAGCCTATACTATGGATGCCTATGGAAGGTTTCAAGCTGATTTTTATATCGGGAGCACGCTTTGCTGTCAACGGCACCAGCCCCAACTGAAGTCGGATGGTAACCACCGCTGTAAATCGACTGTGAAAACCAAGGTTTGTCCTCACTTCGAGCGGCTCACTCTTTTTTGTATAGCCCAAGAAAAGATACTAAAACGTTAGTTGGGTCTATGACATATGCCTCCATTTGAAAAAAAAATGGCTAGATAAATGGGTTTGTCTGAAAATAGGGTGCCCAAAATGCGATGGTTCCCATTCAATGGCCAGATATTGGGGCTCAATCTCCCATTTTCAGACAAACCGAAATAAACTGCTCCCGCTAGTTCAATGATTTCCCTCACAACCCACCTGATTTACCGGAGCTATCCAAACGAATACAAACGATTACCAGAGGGTATATCCATTATTTCCAGATGTATCCCGCATGAATATCCCATTAACCAAATTTGATGGTAAACATTGGTAAACCAACCAACCAACCAACCAACCAGCCAGCCAGCCAGCCAGCCAACCAGCCAACCAGCCAACCAGCCAACCAGCCAACCAACCAACCAGCCAACCAGCCAACCAACCAGCCAACCAGCCAACCAGCCAACCAGCCAACCAACCAACCAGCCAACCAGCCAACCAACCAACCAGCAGCCAACAGCAACCAACCAACCAACCGCCAACCAAACCAGCCACCAACGCCAACCAACCAACCAAACCAGCCAACCAAACCAAACCACCAACCAGCCAACCAGCCCACCACCAACCAAACCACCCAACCAGCCACCAACCAACCACCACCAACCAGCCAACCAACCAACCAGCCAACCACCCAACCAACCAACCACCAACCAGCCAACCAACCAACCAACCAACCAAACCAACCAACGCCCAACCACCAAACCAACCAGCCAACCAGCCAACCAACCAACCAGCCAACCAGCCAACCAACCAACCAACCAGCCAACCAGCCAACCAACCAACCAACCAGCCATGATAAACCCATGACATCATCCCCCGGCCTGCAGCTCTTCTAACAAGGCCATCACTGAATGCCATTGCATCGCCTTGCGACTCGCGGAGACCACCACGGCCATGGTGAGCCTTAGGTCCACCGAAATGAAGGACTCTCATGGAGGAACAAATTGGTGGATTTTTTTTCAGATTTCTGGCAGATCTATTCCTTAATGAGATAGCAATGGTAGTGGCACCAATTTAATTTGATGATTTTGATGTAAAGGTTATTTGATGGTGACGACTTAGGATGATTTCCTAAAATGTGGGAAACCCCATGCCATAAACCTACCATTTTTGTGATGAATTGGGGATGGTCTACTACATTCTGGCAATTCGGTGTTCACCAACAAATAGAAGATGACTCAGATCTCAGATAACCAGATTTTAACACCAAAATATGAAAAAGTGAGGTGTTGCTACCAAGAATGGCCATGGGAAAGTTGGACATTGAACCAACAACGCTTACAGCTGGAAAGGCTTTTAAAAAAATGCCTATATCTGGCAAGATCTGGCAAGATTCTGATGATTTTCCTAACATTGCCACTCGTATCTCAGCTACAGGGGTGCTCCCGAACGGGTACAAGATGGTACAAGGGGGTCGGGTAGATCAAGAGGAACACCCCCCTTTGTGGCGCTACCTCTAATTGGTTGACTGGGATCCCCTTGGATCCCCTGGGTCAGGGACGAACTCAGCTGAAGTCCTGCAACATGAAAGGCATACCAGCAATAGGTGGGGTGGGCCAGGGTAGGGTCATTGAATCTCTAGGACCCTAGGATGTATTTAAAAATGACCGTAGATAAAAATAGATAAAACAGTTTCAGACTGTGTGAACCATGAACCTATGTAGTACAATCATATACAATCATATACTATCATAATATTTAATATTCTGTTTGACACCACTAAGTACCCTGCACCACCACCACCCAACGAGTTTCTCAATTCCTGTCCCCTCGTCCTTCTTGGGCTGCGACTGCGAGACATTGCAGGGCATCCTCCCAAGCAGAGTTTTGCTCATAGACCGAAGCCAAAACATTGAAGCTGCTATCGCTGAATCGAAGCTTCCTGACCAGCTGTCAGAATGGATCTGCATCTTTCAAATTGACTCCACTAGCATCAACTTCCTGCTCTTGTGGACCTGCTGATATCTGAGTGCACTGGAAACAGGAAATCTTGAGGTAGCATCACCCCTCAACGTCTACCCATGCAAGTCACAAACGGCCGTTTCCCAGTGGTCATCAGCTGTTTAGTCACTGTAGCAAATGGTTTTGTCTGAAAATACCCCTAAATTCATTGCATTCATTGCTTCATCATCATTATCCCTACTACAATAGCCATAAATTGGGCTGACAAATGACAAATCTGGTCACATCATGTCACCTCCATCTGCCTCCGTCGCATCTCTGCCATCAGCTCCAACACCAGTGGCCAACGCTGCCCACGCAGGGCAGATGTCATGGTGGTGTTGTATGAGATCGTGGTTGGTCTCAACGACCACCTCACAGACATGGGAAAGGGCGTGGCAGATCTTTTCTGAATCCGATCTGCTTGCGGAGATTTATCCATAATATACGGTGAGTATAGGTGGGTAAAACTTTGGGAACCCCCCCCATAAAAATGGAAGACATATAAACCATCTTAAACCATGTTAAACCCATAAGAAGCCAAAAGAAACAAAAAAAAATCTGGACCTCCCTTGTTCCACCAGTTCTTTCCCGTTCCAATGTCTGACCCACCAAGATCGCCTTGGAAACGACTGCAGCACCTGCAGCGTCTCCTGCCATCCCGAAGCCACTTGCCATGCCGTCAGCAGCGTGTTGGCCTGACAAAGGACGGGACAAGTCTGAGCCCAGGAAAGGTAATGGCAGCCATCGTTAAACTGATCATATATCACAGACATAAATTATACATTATATATATACATACAATATATATATATAATTATTGTTATTAATATCATCATAATTACTATGTTTGTTATTGTTATTATTATCATCATTATTGCTGTAATTGTTGTTGTTGTTGTTGTTGATGTTGATGTTGTTGTTGATATTGTTGTTGATATTGTTGTTGATATTGTTGTTGATACTGTTGTTGATATTGTTGTTGATATTGTTGTTGATATTGTTGTTGATATTGTTGTTGATATTGTTGTTGATATTGTTGTTGATATTGTTGTTGATATTGTTGTTGATATTGTTGTTGATACTGTTGTTGATATTGTTGTTGATATTGTTGTTGATATTGTTGTTGATATTGTTGTTGATATTGTTGTTGATACTGTTGTTGATATTGTTGTTGATATTGTTGTTGATATTGTTGTTGATATTGTTGTTGATATTGTTGTTGATATTGTTGTTGATAATCATTATATATATATGTACATATGGATAGATGATATATATATATAATTATACATGACAATTATATAGTTATATATATATATACACATATGTATACACATTATATAAACATTATATAAACATTTTATGTGCATTATGTATATTATATATATATACATTATCATTATTCATATATACACATACATACCCATTATATATGAATACATATAATACATATATATATATATACATGTATGTACTACATATATCTAATACATGTATATGTATATACATATATTACATGTATATATACACATATATAATTATATTATATATATATATGTACATACATATGTGTATTTATATATACGTACATATATATATGTATTTTTATATATGTATGTACGTATATATCGCAAGGATGATGGCTGGAATGGTTGGATGATGTTGGATGTCCCTATTCGCACGAATAATTTACCAGGATAATAAATTCAGGATGAACATGTATCAACGAAGTTGCTGCAAAATCACCATATACCCTGACGATCCTTGACGGCAAACAGATCTTAGGGAACTGCTGTTTTTACCCAAGTGTTGTTTGCGTCTCACTTTTCTGCAAGAGGGCACAAGCATTTTCCTTCTCTGTGATCTCGAGACTGCTTTGCATGAAGACCCATCCAAAAATATCGATATTGAAGCTGAAAGCCTCATGCGATTCCCAGTTCTCGGGGGTAGTATAACTCATCATCAACCAGCCCCCGGTGGAATCGCTTCGCTTTGGACCCTTCCGGCGCGCCGTGACCAGATCGGCACGGAGACTTCGCTTGGGCAACTCTTGGAAGAGAGACAGAGCGGAAGGCCAGCCTGAGCCTTGAGGGATGGGCCCCCCGGTCATGCCAATCCAAATGCTGCATGGGTATATGATAGTATGATAGTAATTGATGGATATTGATGGTATATGGATGTTGATGGCCATCCCCCATTCATCCCGCAAGAAATGGCTTATTTATGCTTATTTCATGTAATTTCCATGACGTTGGCCAAGTGTTGACCATGGCCTCGCACAGCCGCCGTGGCGGTGGCATTGACCAGCACCACGTCGGGCTGTAGGGAGAAGCGATGGGCACCCTGGGATCGGATGATCAATTGATCCAGATTCAGCCCATTTTTCCCCCTGATTGGTTCAAAAGATCCCCCAGATATTTCCTGATGATCAAATATATGATTTGCTCGTGCAATTGTTCCCTTTTCTTCAACAACTTCCAGTCAAAAAAACTTCTGTATAGCCATGTCGTTGTTTCATGTTGTTTCATGTTGTTTCAATGTTTCAACTTTGATCAGCTTCGTTGGGAAATCCCCAGTCCCCCCATCCCCACCTGGAGGCTTTGCAGCGCCTCTGCCCAGCGCGTTCCGTGGCCATAGGCCTCCACCAGCTGTGCCAGGGTCACCACGGAGGGTGTCAGCTGTCGCCGGGCCATGCTGTGGTGCAACAAGTACTGGCAGACCTCCGGTGGCACCAAAGAATGGTGGTTTCAAGTAGGGAAAAGCTGCGAAAAATCATGAAAAGTGCTGGTTGCACCATGTGGAAGCTGGGCAGTGGGGAATTTTCGTGATCTTGATGGAGGAAAAGGTCCTAGCCCACACATCCCCACAATTGAAATTCCACGGTAGATGCTACTTTCATCTATGTTCCTATTGGAAAAACGAAGCAACATATGGGCGAGCAGAGCACCACATGAAGATGGCAACCCATCACGCCACGGTGGCTGTTTTGGACCCGCAAAATTGTTGATCGTTGTTCGTGGCACGTCGATTTTAGGGTCAAATTCTGGTGTATGGTTCCAATCAAGCCACGGCATATTCCAGACACAGCCAGATCAGGGATCAAGGTATCCCCATTATATTCCTAGTATTAGGATCGTGTTCCCAATGTAAGATCATAGTCCCATTAATCCTCCCTAAATATACTAAATGACACTATAAATATATATATATATCCATCCCCATGAAAAATCTCCATTACATTCCCAACGAAAAAGCCAACAGAGTCTCAGGATTCAAGCAGCCATTAGAGGATGATTCATATCCCCATATAAATATGTAAAAAATATGTTTGTTAAATGTTGCCAATCAACAATTTACATAAAAATCCCCATTAAAAAGCTATTATATAATATTATATATTCATTCAACATCAGACCACCAAAGAGTTCCTCTGCCACAAGAAAATCCCATCGCTTCGCTCCTCCCAGGCGCTGTGTTTGCATGCCATCATGGCAGCATTGCCTTGGAGATCTTGGTGCTGGGAATAGGATCACGCTGGGGAAATGGAGCTTTCCCCATCCCCTATGGATGATCCATTGGGTCAAGTCACCAGGGGCCCCCCCGGGTGATACTGTGAAAACCCCATGTAGGCGGTATAGCTGGATCTTCATCCAAGACATGGTAGTTTTTGAGGTCCAAAATCTATCAGAGCTGGAGACTTTTTTTTGGGCTTGATGTTCATCCCGAATTTATGGAAATAGATGGAGATTCATCCCAAATTCTATGGAAACTCAGTTGGCAACTGGATGTTTTGATCCGCCCCGTGAAGATCCACAACCCATGGATGCCCAGTGGCCCAGTCACATGACACGATATCCAGCTGCAGCTGATGCTGCTCGGCATCGGCCAAAACAGAGATGGCCACCTACCGAATGGGTAAACCCACCCAGCATTTTGATGGGGATTTCAGCAACAAAAATAGGATGAACATGGATAAAATATGGAGATGTCACCCAAAATATGACTGGAGACTTCGCGACTCACTGACTTCACTAAGGCTGCCTCTAGCAATCAAAAGAAAAATCAGAGCAAATTGTATGACTCTTTGTGTCTTGGATGCCTTTGATGGAGTTGTCAAGCCAGGGAGTGCCCACGTAACAATCAACCGACAGGGTTGGGGGCTGCTCAACGAAATCAGCACGTGGAAACAAAGGCTCACCATGAGGTTGTTTGACAAGTGCTGAGACGCAACAATATGCAACGATCAAATCCAAAACCATTAAACATGCTCAGTGTCAGCACGAGTCTCATCAAACTGACGCCACTTCATCAGTTTGTCAAGTTGCAGCATGGCGCCCTACAGAGCCTGCCTGCCATTCTCTGGCTTGCCCACAGCCGCTGAGAACCGCGCTAAAGATCTTGAGGTTCAAAGGCACATCGCCCCCTGGTGCCACCACTGGGAAGCTGATACACCAAGAATCCTCATCTTCCAACAGTCCCCACCCCCCACCAAAATCCACAAAAATCCAGCGACCATCGGTCTGAAATGTCACAACAAAAAACAACAGAAATCATCAAACAACGTCAAAAATCATCCAACATCCACAAGAGATCCCCCAAAAAATCCTCCAACATCCACCGGTTTTTCACGGTCGCTGGTTGGGCGCCTGTCATATCTTGGATCACTTGGAGAGCTTTGCTCCACTGCATGCTTCGTCCCAGCGTTGAGGCCACCATGCCATAGGCCGTGGCACTCGGCCTCTGGAAATGTCGGCGAAGCGAAAATTGAAACAACTCCTGGGAGCATATTGGTATGTCTAAAATATATGTCATAAATGTAGATTTAGATTTACAGTAGATTTAGATATAGATATAGATATAATATTATATATATATAATATTATCACGTATTGTATTATATATATTGTATATATATAATATAATTGTCTTTGTAACACTATGATGTATTACGATGTATTGACAATTTATGGATCAAATATACAGAGGAAATCTAGCCGCACATGCCTGTGGCTGTGGATTTGCATCTCCTTGAGCAATTGGACACACCAATCCTGGGATGCGCAACACATCACAGCCGAGGGGTGGATGCAGACATGTGAGTCCAGCTTAGAAAAGAACCTGGTCAGAAAAGCATCCTGGTGGGAGCTGTTGCAGTTCGTTGGAGGAAAATGTGTTTTTTCCACCTTGGGTTTACAGGATTTCAAGTCCCACTAGCCCTTTTGTGCCTGTTCCGGACACAAATCTGCTGTGCATCCGATCAAACGGCGACCCACAACTGCGACCATTCAGACAAGGATCCCATTGTGAACCCTGGCGGCAGGCTTCTATCGCATTCTGATACGTTCGCCAATACGGCTGCCTTGGCGATTTCAAGATGGCAGTATGGTAACAACCTCCACAAGTTGGATATAGCCTGCTTACAGCTATGGCGAACCACAACCACTTAGTTCACTGGAACTGCATCCCCAAGTATGTTGCTTTGAAGAATCACTGCCCCATAGTTGGATTGTGATTTGGTGACAAGGATATAACCTTTAGCCATATGCTACCTGTTTTATTGGGGACCATCATAACCCAATATGGGGATCTCTACCTAGCAAATAGTACAAAGGGATGACAGATGGGGTTTGAAAAACGCTCAACTGGGATAGTGTTCAGTGCGAGTAAGGATCGGAACCCCAAAAGTAGCTGGGATGTATTGGGATATATGAAACGACCATATTTTTTCTGAACTAGGTACCAACTCTGCTCGTGGCCCTCAAACATCTTGCAAGAAGCTCGGAACCAAAATCTGGCTAGTTATATCAATTAATAAATACTATTAATACCCATGAATTACCATTAATAACCATTCTTAAGCATTACTTGAGGCGAAGGGGTAAGGGACGAAGGCTAGCTGGGAAGGTAAAGGAGAAGGAGGAAGGTGTGGTGAAAGAGCGCTGTGTGAGGAATTGGGAGATACAAGGTGGAGAGTAAGTCTGATGATGCTGATGATGCTGATGATGCTGATGATGCTGATTGCAACGATATGGCGACGATGTCCCAGGCAGCACTGCTTCCGAAAAAACAGGCGGTGCGAGTTGTTAAGTGTGAAGTTTCATGTGATTTGCGATTCGAGCCCCTGCCAATACCTTGCTGAAGCAGGGACTTCGGCTAGCAGAGGCTGGCTTTCGTGACCTACTTGGCTTCTTCTTATGGAAGATATCACATGTTATCAGATATTTTATCACCAATTCCCAACCATTTCCTAACCATTTCCTAACCATTAATGGTTCAGCATGGTTCAACCATCTTCAACCCATTAATCCCAAGTGCATCCTGCACCCATCGACGCCTGCGCGCCAGCTCCACCGCATGTGCCCAGCGCGTTTCTTTCGCCAGGGCCATGACCACATCGCCCATGTCCTCGTGGAAATGCGCCAGCTGCGCAGTGCCCTGCCTAGCAGCAACAAATGTGGACCTGATGTCCATCTTGTATGATCTTGTGTCATTTAACCAACCAAAAGATGACCAACAAATTGGGATTTAAGTGACCTGACCATGAATAAATATGGATGTACAGGGATTTAACATGATTTAAACCATTCGCAAGGGTTCAAAGAATGGAAATGGGATGAAATGGGGTCTGGAAATGGGGTATATACCCCAGAAAATGGCAATTTAACGGTGATAATCAGGAGAATGATGATTAGCCAGTGGATTGCAGGGGTACTGCACCCTATTTTCAGACATATTAACTGTATTGGTGTTGGGATTCCATTGAGAGTGTGATTCAACGATGCTTTGCCTGAGTTGTGGTGTAAACAAAGCGGTTTTGGGGCCGGACATTGGCGAAACAGGGACAGATGTTGTATGTATCAGCATAATCGAGATTGAGGCACTTCAAAAACGCAGAAGGGTACCCGATTTGCAAGACCATAGGGTGGTGTATCTCTTATCTTTTGCAGACTCTGTCCTGAAAAAAGACAGTGGCATATAGCCCACTTCTTGTCATGAAGTAGGTAAAACAGTTTTTTTTAACCCCCATTCTCATAGCATGATAGCACCCCCAATGTTTGTTCATATTGGTTGTATCCCCGAAATATCCCCATCTTCTGGTTCAACCAGCTGGTTAAACCACCGGTTTCCCCATCTCCCCATCTCCGTCTCCAGCTGAGCCACTTGCCCCAAGGCCACCGGCCCCACCGCTCCGCGGCACGGCCCAATCGCCATGGCCGGCGCCAGGCTGCCAGCATGGGCCATGAAAGCCCTTGGAGATGGGGACAGGGACAGCCCCAAGATTCAGATTGGGGATGTCTCTGATGTCTCCAAAAACATCCGAAAACTAATCAAACATAATTATAGAATATTATAGATATATATTATATATATAATTGTTATTAACTGTTGGGGTAGCAAATATACAACCTGTCAGATCTGTCGGCATACTTATCCTAACAACCTCCACTTCACACCTAAACTTAATGGATCTTAATGGTGATCTGCTTCAAGGGTAATCTAAATCAGTGTGGCTCTTCTCTGCAAAAACAGGAACCATTTCCGGTCGCAGCCATTCAAAGGTCTGTCAAGCCGTTGGCTGCGGACCATGAATGGCTGTCTGATATGGTCTGACATCATCTTGGTCATCACGCTCATCATCGTCATCATCCTTCTTCCTGTTTTATTCATGTGTATTTGGGGGGTTCCTAAAATGGGGGTAATTACCGGGGTAAAAAAACCGGGGTAGCCCTTAATCATCCATTTTCATAGGGTTTTCCATGAAATCACCATCCAGCTATTGGGGATACCCCCATTTATGGTTTCACCCACAGCGGTCCCTCGTTTTTGGCATCTTGCTGGACGGATGACCATCTTGGCCATCCGCGACATCCGTGGCGTTGGACGGGCATTGGCTGATTCCAATGGGATCTTCATGGGATTTTGATGGATTTTGATGGGATCTGATGATCTAAGTGGGGTTTTAATGGATGATATGAATGTGAATGGGTGATCCCAAAATCACCAAGTGTAGCTCTTGATTACGACCCACAACTGACGGGCTGGAGGATGACTCGAGTTGACTCTGGCTGCCTTGGGGGGCTAGCCCCAGCGGAGCTCAGAAGGGCAATTTCTTGAACATCCAGGCATCTTCCTCGAGTCGATCCACCTGCCAACTTGGTTTCCATATCCCTTGAATGTGGTATCGGTGTTCAGTCACATGCTCTAGCGTGTGACATACAACGTTTGCTCAAGGATGAAACGAGTCGACCATTTCGACCCTGGCGCCTCCCGTCGCAGTTCGACCATGATGCCCTCCATGACCTGACGGGGTTTGTTCGTGGGTGCCGTGGCCAAACAGCCAGAGCAAGGAAGCAGTCCTTGGTGGATCTTTAAACTGGCCTTGAAAATCAGCGAAGCAGATGAATATTATAGGATATATAGTTAGGATATACTATAGTATTATAGGAATTCATAGGATGAATCTTCTCTAAAAATCTCTAAAATGGAAGATCAAAGAGCAAAGGGAAAATCTTGAAACACCAGATCCGCCATGGTGAAGAATTTCAGTGCGGATTCCTGGACCCACTATCAAAATCAAATCCGACCGATGTCATCGAAGTCCATCGCTATCGAGTGGGATTGGAAATCAAACAAAATGGAAATGATATTAAAAAAATTATCAGATTCTATCATAATTCAGGATCTAAAAATCTATAAAAATCTGCTATTTATTGAGGATCTAAAATAATCTGCTATTTATTGGATCAGATCCTATCAGATCCTATCAGATTCTATCAGATCCCCACTGGTCCATCAATCATTGCAGGGCCTTCTGCTTGATCTTCTTGTCTCGTTCTGTTTCTTCGTTGCGTTCACGGACATCTGGGCGCAGCGAAGAAACCCCCGGTCAGCCGGTCAGCGGAGCGGAAAAAACGGCAAAAAAATGAGAGTTGGATCCCTTGGATCCCTTCAACCGCATTTGACCATGGCTGGTGATAGCAAATCTTCCAACATTTGGAGTCTACCCCATAGGATCCATGTATGCTATAGATTCTATAGATGGTAACATTTACCATCAATATACCCCAAATGTTAGCATACCATACATGGATCCTATGGGTACACTAAGATCGCCAACTAGTCCGACATCTAACGACTGTCTGGAAAATCCCACTGGTTCACGCTGAGCCGCTGGTTGGAAACCTCAGCGAAGCAATGGCCCCGCGACGGAGTTTTTCCGGTACTTTCTGGAAGCTTTTTCTCCATCGAGCATGTCCAGTGTTTTAAGGTCGGCTGAAAAATAAAAAAGAAGTGACTGGGCGGCCGGATGGGGATGAAGATTTAGCCCAAAATTACTATCAATGTGAGTCAAACTTTTGATTTATTATCTTAAAATGCAGTTTTTTGCCACTTTTCCAAGGTTAGAACATCCCGCATCCCCTTGGAACATCTGACACCCCCAGGTTCCCCCAGTGTCCAGTCGGGCTCGCGACCCAAGCGACCCATTGCGGCCCAGCCAGTTGGGCCATGCCACACGACCTAACCGTGGGGTGAGACTTCGTGACCCTGGGAGTTGGGATTTTGAGGCTTTAACATTATGATTTCATGTCATTTCATGTATCCAGATATCCCATATAGAATAGATCTAGATCGTAGTCAATATACTTATACTTATAGATGATGATATTAGGGAAAAAATGCCAATATGCATGCCAATACATAAGTCATCAATAGTCATTTTATATCATCGTAACATATGTAACATATCCAGTTGGCCAAGACAACGGTTGTGATTTCCACGAGCCGAGCGGCTCCCGCTGGACACTTGGCCAGCATCAAAATGCACCACGGGCCTGGACGAAATCAGGGCAGGAGGTGAAAAAAATCACTGCAGTTGCAGAGCTACTTTCATGAAACTTCATAAGATGGGTGTCACTGGTGGAGTTATGAAACTTCAAGACTTCATATGTTGTAGAGCTGAGTTACTGGTTGGGTGTTTCAGACATTTTAAGACCCGGTTTTGTAACACCTGCTGATTTTATACTCAAGGTCATTTTCTACAGTTTCTGAATGTTTCCGGTGGAACGAACGGAACAAGCGTGTCACAAGTCACAGTTGGAAGACGGGGCTGCAACCAGCTCAGAAGACCTGGCTGTGACATGCCGGAGAGCAGGGAAGAGGTGCACGTATCAAGGTGGTCAAACAGATTCTGCCAAGTCCCGCTGGAAGCGTCCAAACAGCCACCAGATGCTACAATGCTACAAGATGCTACAGATGCTACAAGCACAATCGGACTTTGTTGGGTCTTCAAATTGCCGTGATGCACCAGCTTTGCTGTTTCGCTATGGCATGAATTGCCCCGGGACGACACAAGGCCACCCAAATTCGGACAAAGGTCCAGGACTTGCCAGCTTCTGCAGTGCTGAGATTCTCCTTGGTCTTCACCATGCCAGTGCACCTCCTGGTTGCAGCACTCACAGGATCTCTGGAAAGACCAGTTCATCCATAACCTTTTCAGTGAAATAATACAGTGAAAACCAGGAATAGACGACGTCAATGTGATTCTCCTCAAACGGAAGCGCTCAGGAAGTAAATGCGGAACTGCTACAATCCCATGGTCCTCCAATGTTCTCTCATGGATTGGCAAGATGTGGTGAGGGTTTGTTGCTGCCCCTGCTGCAACGTTTCCACTGAGGCGCGCTGGCTCTTAGCAGGCCTATCCAAGTGTATGAACCTTGCATAACATTGCATAACCATACCTGGTACAATCGACGGTCCATGTCTCCAGAAAAATTGGTTCGAAGACGCTTCGAAATGGTCACTCCTTTCATGGCGTTGGTTCACACGGACGGGGCTGACAACACCCCTCGTTAATGATAGAGTTGCCAAGATCGTCCAAACGTGACGTGATGGATGTGCTGATGAAGTGGTCTCTTGGTGAAAGAACCAATCGTCGACAGGTTGACCAGAAACGGCGCGAAGTGCAATGGCGCAGATGCCAGAAACAGATAGCATCATTAATCGTTCACTTCTGGCATCTCTGCCATTGCACTTCGGCCGAAGTCCGGCAGAGATAGTGGCCCACATGGCCAGCACCAGTTTCATCGAGGATCAAGAGCACGGGCCATTGAGTGGAAGGGATGGGATTTGGAAGATTTGAACCGCACAAACCTGAGCCGCTACGAGTTGTGAGATCTGCACGGGCTTTTCTGATGCTGGGTTAAATATGTTAAATCGCTAGTAGCAGCTTCTGCACCACTCGTTGCACCTCTCTCTCTCTGCTAGACAATCAGCTCGAAACAAGGCTGGGAATTCGCCCCCCTTCACATGCGCATCCCTTTTGGGCAACCGATTCTTGGACCTCAGCCTCAACGCTGACACCAAGCAACAAACAGGTCAGGCGCACCTGAATGTTCTTCGGAAAGCAGGACAAGTCCGACAAGTCGGCAAATTGTTGTATACAGAAACCAATTTAGACGATTGATTCTGATTTATAGCAAATATCTGCAAATATAGAATTCTCGCTTTCTTAACTTGCAGCTGGAAGTGGCAAAGATCTTTGGAAGTGTTCACCTAGCTATGTGTATCTTATGTGTATGTTATGATAGGTCCTTTGCGAGGTTGAGGAGGAAGCCCCATGAACCCAACTCAAATGACTTGGTTCAAGTCTCCGTGTGCCATCAAAATACCATTGAAGATGCGCCAAGTGGCAAATGCTGGGTGTCAAACCCATTTGGTTTGCACAGCAGCTTATTTTTTGTTGAGAGAAAGAACTGGTCGAAAATGGTCGAAACCTCAACCGGATCTTTTGAACCCTACGGCCCTACGCTCCACCCGAAGCCTCTGAGCATCCCGATTGAAGCCCCATTGCGGCATCACACAGACTGGCGACACCAAGGGATCAAGGTTGAGATTTCCCCACCGGCAGTAATTCTGAAATAAAGCAGAATAATTGCAGAATGTTCCTCTAGATGGCTTTCTGATGTCTCTTTTCGTGTTTTTACCAGTCAGACATCTAAGATCATCTAAGTAAATCCATGCTGTTGATGCAATCTTCTGCCACGGTCATCCGAAGCCGTGGTATATCTTTCCACCAACTTGGCCAAGTCGTTAAACCCCTCAGCTGAGCCATTCAAAACGGCAAGGCTGAAGATCCTGCCGAGACATCAACTGCAGCATCTCGATTTGAAGAATGAGACGACATGAGTCATTAGTCAGATAGAATTGGGTGCCCAATGAATCAAAAAAAATACACTAACTTATTTTCAAAAACATGCGTCAAGGTCAAGTGAAATGTGTTCTATGGTCATCCCACCATGAATGGGATTCGATTCCCCAATTAGTTACCATGGGCATATTGCGGTCATACACCCCGTATTTTGGTGAATGACCATCCCCTGGTGGCCCTCCAGCCACAGCGGCCGTCCGGAATTTTGCTCTCGCTCCATGTTGAGCTCTGTCCGGAACAAGCCTGCACGTGTGGGCACTACACCACAAGGCCAAGGATCAGCCAGGGTGTTTCAATTCCACAAGAATGAGGGATATTGACTAAGAAATTTGGATATCCCAGAGAAATTTTGAACTTTCACCATATGTGGATACTCTTTTATAATTTCTGGCCATATTTATCCATATAGTATGTCATCAAATAGTTAACACATATTGTAACCATTGTGTTTTTCCCAGGGATCGCAGGCCTGGGCCGCTTGGGCAATGTCCAGCCAGAATTAGGCTGTCGCGATGGCGGCACATCGCCACAGGGTGGCTGTCCTGGGGCATGTGCACTCGCCATTGCCTCAGCTGTGGGAAACATTGGGAAACTGAATGGTAAATGATGGTAAATTTTGGTAAATTACACCAATGATGGAAAATGATGGTAAAGGCAAAAATCGAAATTGCATGGGGTGTACATTGGCGCAGGGGGTCTTGTAGAAGTTTGCAATTCTGATGAATTCTCTACAGTTGTGACTACTCATAGGGCGATGTTGCATGAGGTTGGATCGCATAGATTTCGCGAAAGGCCAGTGTAGTCAGTCGTCATGCTGGAGCCTCTCGGAAACTTCAACAGTAATGCTGCAAGGGGGCCGTTGAAGCACAGGCTCCATCTGGAGAACGTCATAGGCATTCAGAAACGTTCGGCCATCGCTCTTGGACAAAATCCAAAGGAAACCACCTGGGCGACATTGGGCATGGAACAAGAGCCACTGGACATTCTTGGCGTTCGCCATCCCTGTTTTTTTTCATGGTGGATACCCTCCAGTAATCATGTAATCAAACATGGCGATTGAAAACTACCCACCCTGGCCTGAAACACAGAAGGCAGCCAGCTGCGATGTCTGCTGTGGGATGAAGTCCACTCTATGTATCACCTGACTCACGAAAATTCACGGTAGAAAAAAACCTGTGTTCTCAGTATTTGTGCCTGCCCAAAATTCCGAGGCTAACCCAGGAACTGGTTTTCCAAATCAATATCTCAAACCAATTTGATTTATCCCCAATCAATCCCAACCATACTTATTTGAATTTGAGCGATGAAATTACGAGTTTTGAGGCAAAAAATGACAAAAAGCTGAGGCAGCTGCATGAAACGAGGACACGTATTTCGTTTCGCCTGCTGTGGTTGGCACCGTTCCTTGCATCACCGCTGGGTGCTGGGATGATGTTCGAATTCAACAGTACTGCAATTGGGTTGCAAGAAGAAGCAATCATACATGAGTTTGTTCATTTACCAAGCATGCATCCTAATTTCAGCAATCACATCCAATAGAACACGAAAGTGCAATCGAAGCAAAAAAAAGGTCTCCGAGCAGTTCTCCCCTTTTACTGGCTGGTGAACAGGAGTTCTTAGAATCATATAACAATAATAACCCTTTCTACCACTTGGTATAACCGCCAATCAAGCATCATATCTGGTTTAGATCCCCGCATTCGTTGGCATATTACATCCTCCCGTTTGGCGGTTCCATTCCCATCTCTGGCAGTTGAATCACGATTCGTTGTTTCTTAAGATCCCCCTTTTGTGCAAACTCCTGTTCAAGATTGTTCACAATCCTACCCAAAGTCTTTAAAATTTTTAAAACTCCAAGTTTAAGTTCAGAAATCCATTCTTCATCCATTTCAGCATAGTGAGCTAAGGTCTTCAAAAATCCAAACATCGTTTCAGAAATTCAGAGGTTTCAACAACTCTTATCCCTTAAGTTATCCCAATTCTTGGTGGAATCACCATGCCATGGTGAAATCACCATGCCGACCAGTCGCCAGGCAATTCGGCGTGCAGGATCCGCAGGTGCCCATTGTCACCTGGACCTGCGGCAAGCCGCTGGGGAAAATCGGAAAATCCACGGGATTCGATGGAAAATCATCCAACACAGGGACGGGGAAAATGGGAAATTCATGGAAAATCCATGGGAAAACGTAGGGAAACATCTAGGAAATGGGGCAAACATATTGGAAACATATGAGAAAAATGTTGGAAAATATTGGAAGAATGTCGGGAAAATGTGCAAAACATCCTGGACTTTTTTGTGCAAACATACTGGAAAAACCAAAACTAGAAAAATATGGAATGTCTCTGGCCGGTTTGAACACTTCCTGTTCTTCACTGCAATGGGTGTGTCCAGGGTGTGTCTGAAAAATAGGGGTCAAAAAAATGTCACGATTGATCAGAATCTTCCCCTTCAAAATTGCCATAAATTGCGAGATCCAACCAATTTTGAGATAACCCCAAATTAATATATATATATAATTATATATATATATGATATGTATATATATATATATTTCTTAGTTCTTAGTGATATCCCCGTTTTGGAAAGTAAAATCCCCAGCCATGCCATCCAGATCATCCAGGATCTCCTCGTGGCCCGGCCTTCGACTAGAACTAAACACAGCGCGAGCGGATCCATCTCGGAGATCCTGAGCGCCACGCAGCTGGGGGCGGAGCTAAACACTGTCACCACGGTTGTACAGGTAGATGTGCCTCTGAAAATGGGACACAGCCTGGAATTTTCATGAATTTTCCATGTTCATGGGGGAAGATATGGTAAATTTGTGATGAACCAGTGGATTTAGTGGTATTCCCAGACAAATCTGTATGTTTTGCTGCATCCTCTTACTTCTTTTCGCATGTTTGTCGGTTTCAAGAATTTCTTTTTGATGATGCAAACCCCTCAAGTTTGTTGCTCCTCCACTCATTGTATCTCCCTGTTGTTGAAACCCCACCTCTTGCCCTGCCGTTTCCTGGGCTCCACACCGCGCTAAAACATGGCACGGCTCAAGCGCGCCGGACAAGTACCGCCGCCGCGGCGGCTTCAAGCCACCTGGAGCATCGGCACGCGAGGCGGGGTTGGTCATGGTCCTGGGCATAGGATATCAATTGTTGGTTATGGCGGTTATGGTCCATGGTTGGTCCAAGCTGCTCCCGTCTCAAGGAGATCAGCGCCATCCCGGCCCCACCTTGACCGAACAACATTGGCCAGTCGATCCTGGTATCGGCGGGAAAGGTGGTGGTCCGGGAACTTTGGGAGCAAGAGATCTTGTTAACCATCTAATTACTGGGAAAGTTCTACTTTTTGCCATCTTATCATCTTTATCATCTTTGGCATACTCCCAGTTCCCAAGAGTTCGACTTTTTGAAGGGATGACATTCCGGCATTGTCCGGCGTACTGCGGAATGTGGTGTGACTCCCTGCTGAAACCTCTCCATCCATCTGCTCCTGGGTGCCAAGTCTACACATCCCAGGTCGCCGCAAAACCTGCCGCAATAGGTTTTGAGAGTTGAGTTGTCTCATCAAATGATGGCAGAAGTGTTGCAGGAGGGTGAAAGTGAAAGACTGAGAGACAGATCGAAACATCAAAATATCATGAAATATCATGAAATATCCCTTTTGAGATCCTGAACTAATCAAAATTTGAATAAATCCCCCTACCATGGTTACCATCCCTGGAGTAATGTGAAACCCAAATATTGGAGGATTTCAGTGATTGAATCCCCCTGTGGCATTGGGGTTTCATCTCCAGACTGCTGGCCACGGCCTGTGGCTGGGCTCATGCAACGCCACCAAGTCTTTCCCTGTGTACGGAATGGCATAGGTGGCCTTCAGAAGGTCAGTGGCGCAGACCACACGGCATGAGGGGATGGCAATGATCAATTGATCTACGTTGAATATGTTTCCTCGATAATATAAACATGTATCTGTATAAACCACATTAAACCACTCGCCAACTTGGTAAATATAAAACCGTCTAACATGATCCTTCTCAAGAAGCAAAGCGTACACTGACTGTTTTTTTCCCAGGGGATGGATTCCCAGAATCTGAAATTTGACCCCGTGCCACTGCGGATCATCTTTTTACAATCACTTGACCAATGTTCAAATAAAAGACACATCTCCAGAACGGGAGGCCAAAGAGCTACAGGCTAGCGATCTGATCTTGTACCCCAGTGATGTCTCCGCCACAATATGGTTGGCCCCACGTCACCACTGAGCCATCTTCTTTGATGGCGGCAAATGCCCCATCACTTGTGGCCTGAATGTGCAGCACGTTCCTGAGCTGATCTTTGACATCAGAACTATCACCACCATCATGTGGATTGCCCCACGTCACTACTGATCCATCTTCTTTAATGGCAGCAAACGCATCAGCCGTGGCCTGAATGTGCAGTACGTTCCTGAGTTGATCTTGTACCCAAGTGCTGTCTCCGCCACAATTTGGTTGGCCCCACGTCACCACTGAGCCATCTTCTTTGATGGCGGCAAATGCCCCATCACTTGTGGCCTGAATGTGCAGCACGTTCCTGAGCTGATCTTGGACCGCCAAGCTGTCACCACCGCAACTTGGATCACCCCACGAAATCGCGGATCCGTCTGCCCGAATGGCGGCAAATGCTCCACCAGTGGCCTGAATCTGCTGCACTCCCCTGAGTTGATCTCGAACAGAAGAGCTATCACCACCACACTGCGAATTGCCCCAAGTCACTACTGATCCATCTTCTTTAATGGCAGCAAATGCGCCACGACTGGTGGCCTGAATGTGCAGCACGTTGCGGAGCTGATCTTGGACCTCCAAGCTCCGGCCGCCAAACAGGTTGCTGCCCCATGTAGCAACAGATCCATCTGTCCGGATTGCTGCAAAGGCACCGTCATTGGCTTGGACCTGCTGCACGTCTCTGGGCGTGAAGTAATCCTCGTCTGCAAAGTCATATGGGTCACCACCAGGGTCAATATCGCCCCACGCAACAACTGAGCCGTCAGCCAAGATCGCAGCAAATGCCCGGTCTGTGGCCTTAACCTCTTGCACAGCCTTGAGCCGAGCTTGGATTTGGGAACTGTCACCACCCGAGAAGTCAGAGCTTCCGTCTGAACGGGACCACGTGACGATTCTGTCACCCCCACAGCACCACAAAGCAAAAGCTTGGCTCGTTGCTGCGAGCTTTCCTTCTTGCACTATGGCCGTAAGGTGGTCCTCGTCCTGAAGCCCGGCTGCTTGCAGAGATTTATCAGGGTCAGATAGCACCTTCCCCTGCGTGGTGACCAGCTTCAGGAATCCTTTTCCAAAGGATTTCTGGGCGAGACTTTTCAAGTCCCCAACTTTGGAGGACTCTGGAACTTCAAAGCGTTGTCGTCTTGCACTCGACAAAGCAACATCTATTCGAAGCATCTGTGCGCTTGAAATTTTTGATCTTAAGCTGAGCAAACCGCGCTGTGAGCTGAGCTAGCGACTAAATAAAGTTTGTACATGTCATCAACATGCCATCAACTATATATCCTCCAATCAGATCTTAGCTTCTAAATCTGGTTAGTGGCAGATGACTCAAATCCTGGCTCATCAGGGTGGCTGGTTACTGAGCTTCCGGGCAAAGCGGGTGCTTACCTAAGAACAGGAAGACTTTGTTTCAACACGTCCCCTTGCACTGCAAGAGGTCCCCTCCGGGAATCAAACATGGCAATGGAAAATGGCCTGAAAATCCTCCATTTACAGTATATGTATATAGCCGCTGATGTTCCATTAAAACTGATTAAAACCAACTAACATAACTAACCCCACCATTTTGGTTCGGGGATTTCGGAGATTTCCCAGCCAGCCATGGATTAACCGATTAACCACTGAGGCCCCCGGCAGCCGTTGAATTCTCCATGCACTCAAGGGCCTCGATGCGAAGAAACGAGCCGAAAGGCCATTGCACTGGAAGCTCCTGGGATCCACCACCACGTCTGACGGGGTGTCTGGAAATGTAACGTATACCGAAAAAAACACGAAAATATAACAAGTGTAATGGGGAAAGCATGGGAAAGTCATGATTAAGCATCAAAATTTGAGGGTTCTCCAGATTCTCTAGTTTCAGACAAAGCCACTTGGCATCTGCTTGGCATGGAATTTGGAGCTCTAAGTTTTGGTATTGCATCTCTGCGTATCAGGGTGGTCTGTGGTGCAAACAAATCTTTCCAGATATCATCACCCCACTCCAAGGCTCGAAACCTGACAGCCTCGCCACACCGTACCCTTAGTCCTTTCACCCCATCTACATGGAGTTGTCACAACAAAATCCCAAGGAACCGCCTCTCCTTTAACCGCCAAAAATATCATCCTAGTCATCCAGCCACTCCATCCTTCACCAGCTTGGCTCCTCCAGCATCAGCTCTTCCTCTCCCTTGAGGCGCCGTTCCTCCACGATGTACGACACCTGGAAGTCGAACCGCACCAGGTCGGTCTCCCGCAAGGCCGCCATGATGCCAATCCCTGGGGGCTGGGAATGGCTGGGGCGCCATCCGGAGGTGGAGAAAATGAGAGTTGGATACAGTTGGATGGGGAAAATCAAAGCGAAATCATGGCTAAAATGCACCATGACGCTGGAACTTAGATGAAGAATTGAAGCTAACTGCAGCACAGGTGTCCCCTGGCCTAGCCACATAAGCTGTCCGGTGCGGGTCAAACAGCTGACAGCCCGCCAGGGCAATCGAATGGGCTTGTAGAGTTCCTCCAAGCAGTTGCTTGTAGTTGGAAGTCACCCAAGCCACTTCCCAATAGTTGTTATGCAGTCAGATCAGTCAGCTATTGAAGGGTAGATCATCGATATTTGATTGGGAGATATAGAGAGTATAGGATCTTCAATGAGCATCTGGGAGGCCCAAAAGCTTGGCTTGAGAGCTGCTCGTTTCATCGTCATCTACATGTGCAACCGACAAGATTGCCATGTTATGTGCGATTCTTTCTGCCCTCGCCCTCCATCCCCCAACAAAAACATGGATGTCATCCTGGAAGAGGGGTCAACCTATAGCCCAAAAATTCTCGGTTTTCCAAAAAAAACATAGTGAAAATGATTATATACACCCACCAAAACCTCGGAGTTTGATGGATGTCATTTAAATGTTCCCTGATTTTCTTTGGAAAAATATCCTATCTACCCGTTTCGAATTCATCATCCCCACAACATGGACGTTTTCCCAGGTGTAAATCCCGTCGCATCTCCTGGGTTTCCTTCTTGGAGAAGGCGCCATGGATGGCTGCTGCGCGGGGAGTGTCGTGACCCATCTTTGGGGTTCCTTGCAGTCGGAGGCTGATGGGATTTCACCAATGGGATATTCATTGCGATATAAAATGGGATACTTATTTGTCATATATTATATATATATACATTGTAATGTATTATAATGTATAAGTATATATATATAAGCAACTATATCCCATGTTTTTATGGGAGTTGAGCAACCAATTTGTGAGGTTTAACCATCAAAAATTGGGATCTCGCCAGTTGATGCTGATTAGTTGGAACGGTCACATGTTTCCATGGGAATGATGAAACCGATTCTTTGGGGTACCCTGAAACCACCAGCCTCCAACTTTCAGCGATCCGGCCAGCCACCCCCCAAGAAGGTATATTGCCGCAAGAGAAGCCATCTCAAATCCAATGAACATCAATAAACCATCAATATATAAAAACATCCATGAACATCAATATATAAACACCAATGAACAGCCATCTTCACATCATCAATATATAAACATCCATGTTTACATCATCATCAATTTATTCCATCAATATATACAGTAAACATCAATAACCATCAATAACCATGGTCAAAAATCAGGGTCAAAATCCAGGCCGGCCTCCAGGCCCACAGAGCGGCTCAGACTTCACCTTGGTGGGTTCGTGCCCGCAGAGCCTGGCATGGTTTGTGGATACCCCAGCTGGATGGTGTGTGGAAAATCCTGATGGAAAATCCGATGAAAAAATGGATGAAATGGATGGTTGGGGGGTACCTGTGGGTACCCCCCATTTTTGGAAACCTCCAAATGTTTGATGATTTTTGGGAGAATCTCAAATTCTCAGCGGTTGTCGGATGTATGATCTATGAGAGAATCACAAATATGCACTTATTGGCATCCTGTTGGCACAGTCACAGCCAGTTATTACATTTTAGATCAACATCCCAAATTACATTCATCGAGGCAACGAATCCCATCCCTACCCATGACCATCTGGATATTTCTACCCGTGAGCCACTTCTGTAACAAGTTGAGTTGGCGAGATATGACCACTTGCGGCTGCAGTTGGGGTTCTTAAGAGGATATTTATGCCAATAACCAACTTGGAATATGGAGCCCCTGTAACCATGGTTCTACAACCCAGTTAATTCACTGGAACTGCACCCCCAAGCATGAGCTGTGCTGATACCCCTGCGTGCCATGCGCCTGTGCACGTGCTGCACCAGTTGTTTGAACTTTCTCACTGCTTTGAGTGTCTCTTCCAGTGTCAGCACCATAGTTGCACCTGGCGCGGAAGGGTTCGCCTTGAAGTCGTTCGAATGACCATGGGTTAAAATGGATATTTGGTGGGATATAGTAGAATATAACATGATACAACCATCAATAGCTGCCTAGCCTGAACTATCCTTAACTATCAAAAATGTGGTGGTAATCCCATCCCAAAAATATTAAATACGCCCCATGTGGCCCTCCAAAAATGAATACTTCCAATACCAAACCAGGGTTGCGCTTGGCACTCACCCCATTAAATCCCTGGTCATCTGAGGTGGTCAGTGGTTGGTGGCGCCTGGAATCTCGAAGAGCAACTTGTAGTTTCCTGTGTCTGGTGTTTTTTCCTCAGCAATGGTAAGACTATGTAAGACTGGTACTCTGGGAAACCTGCCCACAAGTCATGCGGAAGAAGAAACAGTTTCTCATCTGCCCTCTCACCTCACTAAAGCCGAGCCTTCAATCAATAAGAGATCTCAAGACAAGGTCAGAAAAAGAAACCTTGGTGTTTTTTTTGTGATTCCCACGGATTGGTGCCCCCGACTATGATAAGTTTCACATAGTTTCACTCTTTAATGGAGCACTACACATACAGTCTGATTGCAGACGAGGATCGATGTCCCAGTAGAACGTCTGTGTCTTCCCTGCTCTTGAGAAGTAGAAAGGGCCCAAGATGCTGCCTGGCAAGATTCGGCTGTGTCGAACTCCTTGGGATCCAAAAAAAATTGGGGATGACATGGGATGACTAGCAATGGCTAAACAACTGGCCGTCGGATACATCAAGCTGCAAGCATAGATCAAAAATGATCAAAATACTGATTTGAAGTGAATCAAATGGCGTGTAATGTCCAACCTTCAGACACAAGATTTACCATATTTGCCAAAGCCTTTCTAAGGCCACCTGTCGTGTGAGCTCTCTCTGGCCCAAGGCAGTCTCTATCCTTGGCAAATCCCAACATATCACTTGATCAAAATTGGGTCAAGAAATGGAACTAATTACTACAGAACCAGCTCAAAGGTGTCCTTCCGAATCGGTAGGATCCGTAGGATCTTAGATCATCCTTGAAGCAAATAGCCATTTTTTCCACCCAAGCCCCAACTCCCCTCATCCACGGCGACCTGCGCATGGCTCCACCAGTCGCTCTGCTTCGGGCAGCTCCCGCCAGGATCTTTCATCCACCTGGCAGCTGGACATACTCAGAATGAATAAATCTGTCACTGATTCATCAGTGATGACTCTTCTTCAGCTATACTTTCTCAGAAGATCCGAAAAAAAAATGAGAAAGCAAATGTTGCAATCACAAGTACAAGGTTGTTCCTCTCATAGCTAAAATAGCCAATAGAAGACCTGTTGTTCAGTGGAATATCAACCACATCTAAATTCCAAGCCTGCATCTCTGAGCTGATTCCATGGAGAATTTCGGAAAATGCATCCTGTGGCCACCAAGATTCATCGTTGGGGGAACTGAAAATGTGCTGAATCCTGCAACCTTGAGAATGAGAATCAAGGTAATTCATTCTCATAGGCATGTCCGCAACGCCAATGCGTCTGAGCGGGATTTCCGGATGTCCGTTTTGGGAAAATGCAACGTGCGTGAAGCGTATCTGCTACTCTGACCCTTTGACTCAAGGACCTCAGTTTATGACTTCATGCGGAGAACATCGTTTGCCGTGGGGTGAAGTTCCCCGCATCCCTAGTTTTCATGTTTGAAATATGTTGCGTCAGTGGAAATATGGTTTCAGATCTGATGCCACACCATGCCACACCACCCTTTCAGAAACAAGGGAGCACCAATCTCCTTTCCGGGATTCAGAGTGCCAAGTAACCATTTCAAGCCGCAGGTAATCGCTGGACTGCTCAAGTTCCCTCTTCCTAAGTCAGGGCAGGCTGAGAAATCACCAGCAAATTGTCAGGTCCTACCAGGGTTACCATCCTCTGGGAATGTTTGCCAAGCAACTGCCGCATGTGCAACCAGTCGCCTGGTACCTACAGTGAGTCAGAACACATGACTCAGAAGGAAGACACATCTTCTTACAGGTTCGATGATTTAAAGAACAAGTATCTGAATTCCTGGATACTCTCTCCATGCCAAATCCTAAGAAAATCCGTGCTTCGAAGTATGATTCAACAAAAATACCATATTTCGGTGAATATATGTCCATCATATCCCCAGTATATCCCATTGAACCCCATTAAATCACCCATTTTTCTTGGGAACCAACAAGTCCAACGGGTACCGCAAACCATCCCGTCCCGGGAAAGATGTGGCACCTCTTCCCAGCGACGCAAACAGCTTCGTGCCACCTTCAGTGCCTCGAAGGACATTTGCACCTGCCGTGACTCTGAAAATCCAAAAAGGTGTTGAAAAACTATGGCTACTATATGCTACTAGTCTCATCTATTCTCTACCAAATGTTAAAAAATATCTTAGCTATAGCATGCTATAGCTATATATATATATGCTAAGGTCTATAAATATATATATATATTGATAATGATATGTGGATTGAAAAATGATATACCATTCATAAATATGTTAAGAGCTCTATACATTTATCATCTATACTACATGTTAGTTATACCGTTATACCATTACCTGCTGGATCAATACCTGCGGGATTTGCTGGATTGCCATGCAGTACATGGGTAGCCAAATGATAGGTTCATCATTTGGCTTACCACATTACCCCCTAAGGTGTTGATCATGTCTGTGATCATGATGTTTTCCTGTGAGAATTGCAATTTGGCTGAATGTTTGGACAGTACCATGTAAGAACTGAGCTTGTTCACCTGGCTCATAAACCAAATTTCTTCCCACGTCGTGCGCCCGATCTAGAAGCTAGAAAGCGCATGATTGATTGACGGGACAAAAGTTCGATGAATCAAACATAAAAATGGTCAGACTAATGACCTCTTTTTGTATGCTCTGACAGCTTCAACCCATAACCCATTTCATCCCGTGTCTGAATATTCCATGTCCATCACAAAAACAACACAACAAAACACAGAAAAAAAGATCAAAAATCAAGCAGCATTCAAAACTACTCAACATCATCTGTTTCAACATTCAAAATCCATCTATTCAAAATCATGGCCAGCTCCATTCTTGGGACAATCCAACAAAAGTATATACATATATACACAACATATACAGTATGATATACTACATACACTATACCAATCAGTATAATCTAACAGTTGATGTATGTATAAACTGTTCATCATAATCTAACATCACCAGCATCAGCATCCCCCCCAGACGCGCATTCCCCTGCCGTGACCTCCGCCAGCAGCTCCGCAGGATCCGCCAAGCCCCCGCTGAGCGTCTCGCCGGTGATGGGATCTTCGGCGTCACCGAAGACGTCCTCGTGACTCGTGATGATTCCAGCTTCTTTCGGGATTTAAGATTGATTTAAGTATATATATATATATTATACGTGTATATATATATATATAATTATATATATATAATCGAAATTTTGAGGATATGTTCTGATGTTCAAGGGAAGTTTCTTTGATTTTAACTCTTAAATATTGGGATTTAAACAATTTTAAACCAATTGATCATGGAAATATCTGAGTTTCCATGAGTTTCCCCCGTCAACCCCCGCAACGTCCCCAGTCGGTCGCGGCCCGGACGTTTCCACCACGGCACCATGAAGAGCACGGCCCGGAAGTGGCGCGGCACCGAGCTCTCCGAGGAGGATGGAGAAGCCACCCAGTGGAGCAGCTCGAACCAGGCGATCTCCTGGTGGGGCAGGTGGGGGGATGGGGGGATGGGCCATGGGATGGGGGGATGGGGTGTGGTTTCCAGTAGGGCTTGGTCACCTCAATGGAAATATGTAAATGATTGTAAATGATTGTAAATGTAAGCGTGAGAGGCTTCACGATCCTTCACGTGCTTGCGGTGCTAATGAAGTAGAAAAATTGATTTTTTTTTTAGATGGTCAGACTGTGTCAGACTGAGACTTGGTGAGGCTCTCCCCCACAGCCAGGCGTCCAAGGGATAGATGGCCACAGAGGCGGGATATCTGTTGTGCTCATCCAACAGTCCTGCAATGGCACAGCTCAGGTCCCATGGTCGTGGCTTTCCTGCAGATCCATGCTGTAAGTTGAAGCCCACATGGTTTAGAGAGCCATGGAACCTATGACAAATATGAACTACATTGAACTACTAAGCCATAGGACTCAGGAAGCACACTTCACATCTTTGAAGTGCTGGGAACTTTTGTGACCATGTACCCACCCTCACATGCGGTTTCTCAAATGTTCCCAGGTCACCTTCTTCATTTCGGGCTGCCAAAAAGAGCGCAGTACATGCAAGCACCGCAGGTACGAAGCCAATAAAGGACAGATCAAAAGTCCTCGCAAGGCACTTTTGGATTGTCGATCCAGGATTGACATATCAAGGTATCGAGGTATGGAGGTCGGCTGGAAACTCAAAACTGAAACGGTTGAAAGGGATGTGTTCAATTGTGTTTATTCACCACAGCATCATCAACTTTCATCAAGCAGCCACATATCTAGATGATTCATGATGATTCCAGATGTATCTTACACTAAATAATGGTCCAAATTATGCCTTTGGCCATTGATGTTGCAGCTGGCCCCATCGACATCATCGACATCATGGGCGCTCCCGAAGCAGGGAAGGCCATGCACGTCCAGGATGGTGATGTTCACCGCCAGAGCCTCGATATCCGCGAATCGATATCAGCAAGATCAAGAGTCAACAACTGGGTACCCTCTGGTAAACTAACATAACTATGGAAAATCACCATTTTTTATGGGAAAATCCACTAAATGGTGATTTGCCATAGCTATGTTAAATTACCAGAGGGTAATGCAGCAAATGTATATGAATGTATATGGGGCTTTCTTAAGTCATGGGGGATCCCCAAGTCACTATCACTTTCAATACGAAGTCATGGTCATTCATGACGACTGGATGATTTGGGGTATCCCACATGACCCCATGACTTCAGAAACCTATATATTTGATTATATTTGTAAATGTTGAAGGCTGATGATATGTGGCAACTCCACACCACCTGGAAGATGATCGTGAGGACAAAGCCGACATCTGGAATGTATGCTTGAACCATACCTGGCTATCGCAATGCAGGGAGCTCCTCTCCTCTCGTCTTCCCTGGTTTGAAGTCCAAGGATGTTTGACACATGCCCTACAGGTAGTCTGTTCAGAATGCTTTGTTTTGTTTCGTCTCCTGTCACTGTCAATCACAATCTTTGCGCGGCTCAAAGATTCGTCCGTCTTTAAAATAAACCCTGGTAGCCTCTTGACTCGTCAATGTCAAGCCATGAGATGGCCAAGTGCAAACAGGTTGCAAAGGCCCAGCAAGTAGTAGTTAATGGATTGCAGCATGTGACGCACCTCACAAGGTGGCGGATGGCTTGGACACAGCCGGACACGGCTGATAGGTCAAGCTCTCCGAAAGCGGCCAAGGAACGCCAAAGGACATGCAAACCCGAGAGTAGGCATCAAAGCACTGCCACCTGGGCACGTCGACTTTCAATGGCTCGAGGATTGATGTGAGGGATACTATGGCCATCTATGGCCTAAGGCACCTGGTGGGGATAGGGATTGTAATCGATCCAAAATCCGTTCAGAGAGATCTCGAACTTTCTTAGTTTCAGGAGAGTGCGTTGTTAGGCGTTGGTTACACTTACCAGAAGCTACCATGCTGGGACCGTGGACATCCCACCTCCTGAACGCTCCTGATCATTGACGACACAAACAGAAAGCAACTTCATCTGCCAGAGATCCAGCTGGGAAACAGCTCCAGCAAAGCCACAATGGATTACTGTAAATATGATTTGAATCGCCATTATTGCCTGGTTGATCTCCCTATGTAAGTCCTACATATCCCCTATGTTTGCTGGTTAGGCGAACCCTTCAACCACTGTCCTCCCAGGCCTGGCTTGCAACTGCCGAAAGATCTGCACATGTCGATGTGTTCGAAATTCCACAGCTTCCAGCAGCTCCTAATGGCAGATAACTCGAATGGAACCAATAAACAGTCAGAAAGGTGGATAAAGGATGATAATGGATGATAAAGGATGATAGTTAGGTGGTTCCTGAACTATCCTGAACTATCCTGATCCAACTGTTCTTTTCATTTGATGCGATGTTCTTCTGCTTCAAATCATCGGGCCGCCCTTATTCTGAGAATGTTCCTCCAAATGGTGTTTACCTTCGGATCTTCTGACGAAAACCATAGGCCCGACCTGCTCCCTGCCGAGCATGTTTGACGCACCGCCGTAAGCGAACTCACCCGTCCTTGCTGTGCACGGGTCATTCGGTGCCAAGTGGAGCCATTTGGAGTTGGCACTTCCAACCACATGTTCCAGTTGATTTCAGCTGCAATGCGTTGATTTTTGAATGGATTTCATTTGGATTTCACTTGAGCTGTGTCCAAAAGGTCTTGTTCTTCTGAAGGCGCTAAGGGAATGCTTACGCCGCAGCCTACGCGCTGCTTACGCACCCGCAGTTTTAGCTTGCGCGCAGGAATAGCTAACGCTGATGCTTACGCGGGCTTACGCACACCAGGATCACCAGGGTTTTGCTTACGCGAGGTCCTTCTCTTACTAAAAATGAATAAGGGGGGTCTTGGACGTGGCTCACCTGCTTTTAGTTGCAATGTGTTTGGTGTTTTTTTTTGAAGCCACCCACTCGCAACGAGACGTGATCCGGAGAGAGGTCTGCAGAGTTGGTTTCGACCAGCGAAACCCGAAACCCGAAACCCGAAACCGACTGTTAAAGTTGGTTTCGAACTGCGAAACCCGAAACCCGAAACCCGAAACCGACTCTGAAGACTTAACTTCCCCAGGACCGATCGAAACCCGAAACCCGAAACCCGAAACCGACTCTGAAGACTTAATTTCCCCAGGGCCGATCGAAACCCGAAACCCGAAACCCGAAACCGACTCTGAAGACTTACCTTCCCCAGGACCGATCGAAACCCGAAACCCGAAACCCGAAACCGACTCTGAAGACTTAACTTCCCAAGGGCCGATCGAAACCCGAAACCCGAAACCCGAAACCCGAAACCCGAAACCGACTCTGAAGACCAGGACCGATCGAAACCCGAAACCCGAAACCAGAAACCCGAAACCGACTCTGAAGACTTAACTTCCCCAGGGCCGATCGAAACCCGAAACCCGAAACCCGAAACCGACAGCGAAAGTGGGTTTCAATCGACGAAACCCGAAACCCGAAACCCGAAGCCCGAAACCGTTGCAAGCGACGAAACCCGAAACCCGAAACCCGAAACCCGAAACCGACAGCGAAAGTTGGTTTCAATCGACGAAACCCGAAACCCGAAACCCGAAACCCGAAACCGACTCGAATCCGACTTTTGGGTGGCTCTCCGGATCGGAACTCCTCGCAACTGAACAATGCGATGGTCACGCAGTCCCAATGGATCCCTTCTTCGCTTCGCCCAAGCATCTCCAGATTGTCGGAGCTGGTCGCTGCCATGGTATGCCCCTCCAGGGCTGGCGCGGCACTGGCGGCACTGGCGGCTTCAACCTCGAAGTACGCAGCATCCCATGATCCCATGGCTTTGCCAGGTGCATTTTGTATATTTGTTGTGCCACGGTATATAAACATCATTAAACATCCATTGTTTTATCATGAATTTGTGGATCAAAATGGGCGATTGAGAAAAACATGTTTCTTGTTGGTGACTCGAAGTGCCATCAATGGGCTTGTTCATCAACACTAAAAACAGCAAGATCAGCAAGCCACCCGCTTCCCAGGCGCACCTTTGACGTTCGCTCCTCCCATTGGTTGTCACCTGGCCACTGACACCACAGATTCAGATTGCCACAGTACGCGCAGCACACGCAGCTGGCAGTTCCCTGCCTCGCCAAAACGGCACCCGCAACATCTGTCCACCTTGCCCTTCGAAGTCCGCATAGCGTGCATTCAAAAGGTTCAGTTCGCTGCAGCCGGGGATCGGTAGACGCACGAACCTCCGGCCATCGCGGACCAGTGGTGACTGACTTGGTGGCACTTGCCCACAATCGTCGGATTCCGGATAAGATAGACAAGCTAGTAGTTGCTGAAAGTCAAGCTGCCATTTCTCCAGAAACACCATCAAGATCTATCAAGTCATATCAAATCAGAGACGTCCCAAGCAAAAGAAACATTCTGGCACAACATGCCGCTTTTGACTCCCCTCTTGGAATATTTGCGATCAACCACCACATCCCCTGCCTGGTGAGCAAGCGAGTGGCATAGCTGTGCGACTTGATCGAGGCGTGCATGGACAGCCAAATGGCCATCAACAGGTACACCAGCGCACAGGCCTCAGGGCTTGGACCAGTGGAAGCAGCAGATCAATGTCACCTTTGGCCCAAAACTACCAGTAATCAACCAGAAACCAACCAGCTGCAGGTGCCTGTGAGAGGTAGTATGCCACCTGCAGGAAGGTTGGTGGAGGCTCAGCAAAGAAGCCCTCAGAATAGTAGATGCTGATCATGCGGATGAACAGCGCGCCTGCCAACGTAGCGAAGCCGACACCAACGACCGAATCTCTGCGTTGAAATGTGTATGGAAATGTGCTTGGGCTCACCCCTGAGAAACAGGGGAAAGAAATGCAGTTGGAACGATAAAAGGAATCAAACCCACCACCCCATCCAAGTTTGCAAAGCCCTGGCCTACCATGTGGTATAAATCCATCTTCTGTACCGTGAGCTCCACCAAGTCCCGGATATCTTGCCGGAAGAGCCGGAAACGTTCCACCTGCATCTTGAAGCGCAGCTCATCGCCTGTGATGAAACAAGTTTGGACACGTTCCATGGCTGGTGCCAGTTGTGATTTGGAAAATCATCTTACTTAGTAACTCGTTGGTGAACCATAATTCGTTATATAACAATTATATATATTATATAATCATATAGAAACTATTGGGTGACTGCACTCCGTCGCTGTTAGTAATCTGCCACATTCTGCCACCATGATCATCCCAGATACCCCAAGGTCCAAGCCGGCCATCCGAGGCACGGTTGAAGCGCTGATCCTGGTCAAAGGCGAAATTCTGCCGGTTGTAACGGAAGATCTCCGTGGCCACCAGGCCCAAGCCTGCGAAGGCCTGACAACTCATGACGTCTGAGAGGTGGGGAACGTTGGTTTATAGTCAATATGGTAGTGGGTCAAAACCCTATCCCCCTGGTGAACATCCAAATAGCTGGTAAATAGATGTTCATCCCACTAAAAATGGTATTAATAGGTATTAATCCATAGTCAATATAACTGTGGTTTATGGTGCGTTCACAAGACTTTTACCTGAGGGGGGTCCTGTTTGAGCTTGTCTTTTGATGTCTTTTGTAGACTTTTTGGGATTTCTTCGGCCAACAAGTGATATTTTTTTCGTTAGCCTCTGCTGCCAGTTCGTTGCCTCCATATCTTCACTCCATCGCTTCTCTACCACCCACCATCTGCTTCGCTGGGCTTCACTTTTTGGGGGGTCAGGGGGATGGAGTTGGTTGAGCTGACCCAGTTGACCCCTGGTATCATTGGGCGTTGCCACGTTGCCATGAAACTTGGAGCCGTTGAGCCGTGCCAACACCCCCAAACTGAGGCTTTGATGACAGAGTTCTTCAAGCAACCACTGACACACATGATACACATCCAAAGATTCCAAAGATATCGCACATCCTTAGGTTCAGAAATTAATGAAATGATTCACAGTACAACAATTTGATTTTGCAGAATCCAAAGGGATTGGAATGACCGGCCCACTTTAGAGCCGCAAACGACCGCCCTGCCCACCACAGCACTGTTGGCTGAGGTTGGCTGGGGGAACTGTTGAACTGTGCTACTGCAATGAGACTTGAATGAGACTACCGTTCAGTGCTACTCTTTACACTTTACACATGGCCCGAATTGGTTTCTCACCCTTCGGGGTCCACGGCGACCTAGGTGGTGCTCAATGTCCCATGTTGGGTGTCACAGGAAACCTCAGAAGGGTTCGAAATTTTGGGCACCCCCCGGGCACCAAGTGATTTCCTGGGCCATGATGGCCATGGCAAACACCAAGGGACGAAGCTGCACACCAGGCGGGACACATCGTCCTGGGCCAGGTTGGGATCACCGGGATCACCGATGATTTCGGCTGAAATCACGACTGGATCCATCAGCATTGGGCCGAAATCACCATGTGATCATCGTTGGATTACAAATGGTTAACAGACATATAAATTTAAAAAAATACCATAACTGGTTGGTGGTTTTATCCCATATATTATGGAAAATAAAAAATGTTTGAAACCACCAACCAGATAAAAAACCATGTGGTGCCAAATGCACCCTTTCAAATCACCATCTCCACAAAGTCGCCGCCATGTTGGCACCTCCAACGTGGCCAGGGGCCGCTGCCCTCGTTGCCGTGCTCGTTGCACAATACTCAGCCGAAGCCTCACAGTGGAACGGTCATGAGGATAGGAAACAGAATGTGTCTTTTACATGTGCCCACCACTTTTAAGGGACTTTCCATGATTTTCCCATTAAAACATATTAAAACTTATTAAAACATATGAAAACCTCCAATTTTCCCATGATTTTCCCATTAAAACCCAAAAATGTCCAGGGTAAAATCCCTCAAATGAACACCGGGGACCTGCCCCGCTGCATTCGGCCTGTTGAGCTTCCAATTCAAGCGCTGCTTGGCCGCCTCAGCGGAGTCCTCTGTCACAGCCAGGTCCTGGGAGTCATAGGGAGTCACTGGAGAGTTCAGGGGGGGTATAATTAATGACTTAACTATTTATATATTAATTATGAATAGTTCAGGTATAAGTCATTAATTATACCCAATAATTAATGACTTATTAATGACTTAACTATTGGGTTAATTTGGGTTACCTTTAAGTTGAATGGTGGTATATTCTTAGGTACTTCATGTTATTTGTTATATTTCTTATTCCATTAATCTTCCATTTAAAATTATATAACTGAAGTTGCCTTTTTCATCCTTTTTCTAGAAGGTGTTTCATTGTATCCTCTGGTCATCATTCCAGACCACCGATAAGCTGATGGTTTGGGTGGAAATGTATCCAAACAAACAGCGGATGTTTTTCACAACATTCATTGGGTCCACAGCAACCAACAAACGGGTTGGTTCGTTGGGAGTTCACCAGCTTTTACAGCAGCAAATGACCTCTGCCCCATTTTGGGGATGTTCTTATTGGCTTACCTACTCGTAGTCGTGTATGACATACCGACCAGCTCCCAGTTGATCTCACTTGTGGCTGCTTCCCACTCCTGCGTTCTGGTCCAAAGTTCCACCTGGTGGTTTTAGCATGATGTGACCAAGCACACAATGAGAAACAAGCCGAAAAGTCCAAAAACCAAAGGTGTTGGTTCCAAATTTGGGTCCTGCTTCTGGAAGTACCAACGTTGGAGAATGAAACCATTCAATGATCCTGAAAGCAACTTCTTGCACTGCATTTATCACCTGCTTCTAAACACAACCCCTGTGTCATCCTTACACCGAGTTGCTTGCTCCGCGGGATTTCAACCATCGAGGAATCCCCAACTTACCAGCAGTATCCAGCGGTATAACAGTATTTACAGTGTAACACGCAACCCAAAGACCATCATTGGGGTGGTGTTGGCCTTGGGGCCGCGCAACGCCACAGCTCCAGGGAAAATTGCTGTTTTTTGTTGGGACGCCACGGGACGCCTATGTTTATTTGACCGAAGGATGCCTAGTGAATAGATGCTGTGGATGTATAGTGATACCTCCCCAACAAAAAATCGTCACGATAAAGATGAGGTGCTTCGGCCACTGATCGTTCTGAGGATTGCACATTGAAGCCGTTGGTGACCAAGACTCCAATCGACGTTTTCGACCGAAACTGCACGGCTGTTGGCAATGCCCAAGTTGGAAGTGGTCGGATAAACCCAGTTGCCCAGTGGGAACCAAAGATTTCTGGAGGTACAATGGGGTACAGTATAATCCTGCTTGGTGGACTCCAAGTACTTCCAGCTAAGTAGTGTGTTGCACGACCTGCTTCAAACAACGCCCGCGGGGGTCACGATTCAACATTCATCACTAGATTTCCAGGTTGCCAACGTTCAGAGGTTCAACTGGATCCTTGTTACAGTAGTGACTCATTGGGTGATCCTTTTTTGCTGCCACTTGGATATGAAGAAAGTGAATGACGTTGAGGTACCCTGCCCTGTTAACGAAAGATCAATGATCATACTACCACAATGTACAAGGTTCACACCTTTTCGGGTATTTGGATGCTTTTGGAATATGAACCAAAACAAATGACCCACAGACCAATGCTCAGTGCATCTCAGGACCTTCTTTTCTGCAGAACCTTCCTGACCATCAACTGGCTCGCGATATCCTGAAGGACTCTTGGTGAGCAAACATGTTCGTCTTTCCATTCGCTGGGAACATGATGATTTTTCATCAGTCTTCAGACAAAGCCATGTATGAATAACCCATACAGTATGAATAGTTCTGAATGATTCTGAATGGTTAAACATGGTTAAACCATGTTAAACCTTCAAAGCACCAAAAAATGCGGATCTTCCTGGGATCTTCCGCTCTGCCGAGCCGCGAAACTTGATGAGTTCCGGTTCCAACCGCACGTCGCGCACGAAGCGCACATGCATCTCGAAGATTTTGGCCAAATGGAGCGAGCTGGAGAGCAGCTGAGCCCACAACGCCTGGGATGATGGGGGGACTGGCGGGACTGGGGGTGATGCGAAAAAATCGCAGGACACATATCTCGAAAAACCCACCCAAAAAAACTGGGCGAAAGGGGGGATGCCAAAATGAATTAACAGGTGAAATTCTGCAGGAAATCTTCTGCCCAAATAGGAAAGGACCACCTCAGATCCATGGCTTGCCTTGGGAATGTCCAGAATGAGGTCATCTTTTCCTAAGCGAAGGGCTGACGATTCCGGCACGTCAATAAGAGTAACATGGCCGCATGAGGAGATTGACCCAGTCGAAGTTGTGCAAATTAAATTTAAATGTCAATGCTTGTGCAGACTACAAGACCCGCTAAGCCTTAAACTACCCGTCGGATCCCGTCGGGGGGAAAACCGCGCCAGCGGTTGTGAGCGTTTTGAAAAAAAGTGACGTTTTCGCCATAGCGAAACTGTTGATCTATTCCAGAAAAAGTGACTAAAATTCCCTGGGAAATTCATTGAATTTTTGATCAACTCCTGCAATTCGCAGGAAATCTGGTTTGCCAAACTCGCGCGGTGTTATCTCCAAAAGGTTTTTTGCTTTGGAGTTTATCATACGTAGTTTATCCAGCGCCATTGCCAGACCCCATCAGCTTTGGGTTCACTTGTGCGTGTGCGGCAAGTTGACATGAACGTTAACATACCCTCCCCACCCCAAACCCTAGCGTGACATAGCATTTGCATGCATTTGCGTGTTTTACAAAACGTGCACAACTACTGGCGCGGTTTTCCCCCCGCTGGCTTAAACTAGTATAAACTACTGGTAGTGAGGTGCAAAGGATATTTAGCATGTCAAATGAATTCAAATGAATGCTCAGATTAAATCTAAAACAGTCTCAAGGAAAATTCAATTCTTCCTGTTTTCCTCACCAAAGCATGAGCTCAAGCTCACAAGCTTTATGTAGCTATGGCCAACGAGTCTGCTGAGGTTCCTTTCAAATCCTCCATGGCACAGGGGTCCGAGACGATCAGGAAACGAAGGTCATTCATGACCTACGGGCTTGAAACATGAAACACTGGACAATGGTGACCACACTGTCACACATGGTTGATCCCTTTTTACAAAAACGCTGCAAAAAATGGAATCAAACCATTGGACTGGATTGAAGTTGTTCTGTCAAGTAGACTCTCTGCCTGATGTCTAAAACGATCCGATGACTGATGTGATTCCAGCCCATCTAAAACATCTAAAACTATGTCATCCCCTCAGTGCCTTGTCCAGCGTTACGCTTCTTTGTTGTAAGCCACCGGACCGTTGGATCACCTGAGGCATCAGCCATGGGCTCGGACTCTCGGCGCGGGGTAAGGCACCGCGCCTCCAAAATCTCCTCCCCGCTGAAGCGCGGATGCACCAGCTCTGGCAGAACCGAGGTCCAGCAATCTGCAAAGGACCTCCAGGGAGCACCAGATGAGATGATCCCGCTATCGAGATATTGTTTATAATGGGATCTACCCAATTTTTGGGGGGAGATAGGCCTGAGGCTTTCCAACTCTAAAATCTGCAAAAAGGACCAGTTTTTTACTGAATCGCTTTAGCTTCTGCCCAAACCCTTGGCCCCCAATAAGGCCCACCACTTCGGCGGTGCCTCTCGGCTTCGGCGCTGGGTAAGAAGGCGGACAGGTACGCCCTGTCTGGCCAGTTGGAGCTGAAAAAGATCTCCGCACCGACCTGGCTGCATCTGGCTGCTAGGCTTCACCCAGAAAACTCACCACGGAAAAACACTCCGGGAATCAAACATGGCAATGGCAAATCCCCCACGTGGACTTTTAGTTCGATGATTTTCCCATGAAAACAAAAAGTCCACCTGATGGAGATTGGGAATTTCCCATCCCCATCCCTTTTAGTTCGATGATTTCCCATGGGGAATTTCCCATTGCCAACTTTTGATCAAGGGCCCATTCCCCCAGATTCTGCTCCTGCCTCTGCCTTCTGAAGGTGCAGCGAATGTTTCTGTTGCACCTGGGCCCCAACAACCGTGAACCACCTGTCCCTTAACCCTGCCTTTGAAGGTCGCTTGAATAGAGAAGCAAGATGCAAAGCTTCTATTAACTATCTGTTGTTGGATTATCCCAATATATAGTTGGATTCTTCCAGCATGTTATCATCCAATATACATATCTATATAACATGTGTAATCCAAGAATGTATAAATCAAGAATTGCTCTTTGACACGTTTTTGTTCTTCTTTCCTGTGGGTCAGGATGGCAGCAATCTCCATACCCGGTCTATCCGTCAGCTGCAGTCCAGGAGCCCATCCAGTTCTAAGCATAGTCTTTACCAGCTCGCAGGATTCCTTGAGAACATGGGCAGCTTGGTTGATGCTGTCGGATAACTGGGATTCAAGCATCAAAAATGATCCCAGTGAGGATCACCATCAAAAATCAGGATTCAAGAAAGTGATAGTTTGGTACCTGAAAATGGTGGATTTACCCCCAACCAGTGGCAATTTCTTCAGAGGGAAAATGATGATCAACCAGTGGATTTGGGGAGTAAACTCCCCTGGTTATCTTCAAACACCTTTTTTGTCGAGTCAAGCCTCCAAAAAATGAGACAAATTGCGAATGAAGTGAAACCACCAGATTTGGATCCAGACAGCATCAAAAAGCAGCTTTGAACCATGATTCGAAGTGGTGGCAAGACTTTTTCTATTAGTACACAGATGTACACAGTAATAAATGTGCTAAACCAAACAATGAGACAACCCCCAGTGACTTACCATAAATGGTTGGTTAAAATCATCCCAAATGGTAGACCCCCCAGCACTAGCTTGGCTCTGAGGACGGCTCCGTGTGCAACAAAGGCGCCTGCGTGGCATGACAAACAAATGGCAGCTGTTGAAACACACTGGGCTGGAGCCCAAAAAAAAACATTGGGCATCTGGAACCTTCAATTCTGACCCGAAACAACCAATTTGATTATGGTGTTTCATCATCTTCCGCATAAAGATTGCCGTAAATTGGGAACACTGTGCCGCGCGCCTTCTTCGCATCTAAGGGCCAGTACTGTGCATAGTGAAGCCCATGGGTATCCGGCTCCTCCCATGTGCACGACACCTAGGCGTCTTGCAGTCGACACCCGGTCGACACCCCTCTTGAAGATCTTGAAGGAACTGATATGACATGATATGACCCATTTTTCTCACTTACAGAATTGATCAGAATTGCAATTCCCAACATTTCCCAACTTCAGCCACTGAAAAAAACCATTAAAGGAGCACCCCCTCAGGGCTTCGCCGCTGCCAGTGTCACCGCAGAGCCCTGGACACCAAAGGTCCGGCCACCGCCCTGCGGTAAACGCAGTCGATGTTTGGAGGGAAAAAAAGGTGGAGGACCTCAAAAATTGGATAGCTAGATATAGTTAGCATCGTTTTATATGCTTAATTATGGTTATATAGCTAGTATGTTCTTATGTAGTTGGTAAGCAGCAAGCAAAAAATGGATAAATTGGATTGTTGTCAGTAGTTCATTCATGGTTTGTGTCGTATATATGTGTTGCTGTTTGACAGATGTTAAAATTCAAGATGGCCAAAAGAGTCCAAATTTTGACCACATGTCCCTTTTTTTTTGGGGGTGATCCAAAGTGTCAAAAGAATACCTTTGTGGCAGCGGATGTTCACACGGCTTGTTCAAACGACGTGAAACTGAATGGGTTTTGGGGGGTTGTGTGATATGCTTTATATATTCTGGTTCCACCTTGGTAGGAAGTGGATGAAAAGAAGGTTGGAACTATGCAAAGCTGCGACTTGCCACGTGGCTTCGGGTGTTCAGGCGGGGATTGATCAAAAGAACCTCAAAGGCTTAAAGGGCGGGCGTTGCAAAACTTGTTTGATATGTCAAGACCGGTGTCAACCAACCAATTCAATCCAATTCATACTTCATTTCTTTGCAAATATCTTGGAATATCTTGGAATCAGAATGTCTCCCCACCCTCTGACTACAAAATCGACATACAAGAATTGTGGTGGCGTAGTTCCCCCAATTCTTGAGCGAAAATGGGCTCTTGACTTCCCCCTAACCCTCAAATCCACTAAAACATCCAATTCAATTTTAGGACAGGAAACCAATGGGTTTGGGCACATTGTGTTACCCACCCAAACTGGATAGTGAGATAGTCGTTGATCTCTCAATTTATTTGTTGTTGATATATTCAGGTTCATATCCTCTCATGTTTGTTTCATGGTGTTCCATTGGGTTTTCCCCTTGGCTTCTTCGCCCATCCTGCGCCATGCCTGCGGCCAAAGTCCGGTGATGCGCACCACAAAGCCCACATCACCGGGGCGGCAGCGATAGTCCTGGTAGGTCTGTGGAAGGGAATATCTTAACCGGAAGCCAAGATTTGGGGAGTCCTGAAAATCTTTAGGGAGTATATCTGTGGTCTGTGGCGATCTATGGTATGGTTTGTGTGAAAAGCGTTGAAAACTTGATAAGACCTAGAGAGAAGAAGGGTGTTCGTACTTCGTACTATGGTATATCTTCACTAGTTGAGAGTTTTTCTGCTTTGTTTTCATGAGCTTGTACATTTCACAAACACATGCCGTCGCTCGCTTGCTGGCTACCAAAAGTTAGAGCACTTCCTCACAAGATCTTGCCACGGTCTAGAGCGTTCTTGCAGAATCTTGCAGAAGTTGGGCATGAAATCTGAAGATTCAGACCTGGACATCTTGAAGAATCTTGAAGAAGAGCATCATCCAAGTCTTGTGAAAAGTTCCCGGGTCTTCTTCCCAGCCTCGTAGTTGGGCATGAAGAGAAACCGCGGATCCGTCGCCAGACGTTGGCACATGAGCAGATACCGCGGCTCAAACAGATTCAGACCTGGACATCAAAAAATCCAAACAGTTGTGGGTCGTTTCACTTTGTTACTGGGTCGTTGCACATCCCAAGACTGAACTGGAGAGATGACATGTTGGATGTTCGATGATGTTAGCATATGTTAGCCTATCTGTTTCTGGAATTGTTTGATGCTCACGTGCACGAAACATCAGAAAACCCAAGAGCAGAGTTGAAAGGATTTGCCCTGACTTTACCACAACATGCCATGCCCAAAACTGGTTCATATCTTGGCATGAAGAGATGCAAAAGCCAAACAAAAAATACCTGCATTGTTCTGAAGATCTTGAGCTGTGACACTCCACAATTGAATATCTGTGAGAATCACTTTGATATTTGAATCCACTATATATCTTGTAATTTGAATACGTTAAGAATATGTGGATCTATAGCTACACCTCTCGCACTCCAGTATGAGACCCAAAAAGGAAGGCAGGGCAGTGGCCCCAGTGGCCGAGAGGCCAATGGTGTCACCAATGTTGGACAGCAGCATGTCATTGTAGTAGAACACCGGCAGCACTTCCGGCTCCATGGTGTCCCTATGTCTGGAGCTGTTCCTCTGGAGCTGAAAAAAATGTCACGATGTCTGGGCCATGGTTGTAGCATGTTGTAGCTGCGAGGTTGACTCATATCCAGGAAGTTAACATAACATAACATAATTGACATATCCATAACATATCCATGTTAATAATAACATAACATATCCATTATCAGTCTCGTGTTGGGGAAATGTTCTGCTTGGGAAATTGCAGTGAGGTGATCTCTTGATACCTCCTCTCGGAATGCGAATCGCTGCCCTTACCCAGCCAATTCGATTTTTGCATCTCTCCAGCCACTTGAGCCGGGATCCCTGCAGGGATTCACACTATGGAAATGATAGGGATCTGATAGAACTGTTCCGGAAGGATACTCATAGCAAATGTGTGACCCTCAATGTGTCTGAGCAAATGTCCAATGTTGCCGCATCGGGGATGCACAACGGGCAGGTTTCCGGCTTCTGCAACCCCATCGGAGACAAGCAAAAGTCGCCCAAGGCTTGAATAAATTGTCCATCCCGGCAAAATCAGCGTGACATCATGTTTGTCCAGTTGATATCCAATTTTCGTCGTTTAGAGAATGAGTTCGGGTGGGTTGAAGTACCCATGAAACACCCATGTTTCATGGTAAATTCAACCATTCTTGGTGGCAAAACATGGGTATGGCTGGGTCAAAATTGGGGATTCCAATAGTTCTTTGGTGAATATTAACAATAACTAGTCAGTGTATTCCAATGTTAGTCTAACTATTTTCGGTAAAATGTGTGGTCCCCTGGGTCGTAGCCATTTTGAGCCATAGCCCCATAGCCATGTGCCAAAAATTCCCATCCCAGGATCGCCGGCCAGACATGGCCAGACCATTTTTTCACAAGGCGCCGGGGGTCTCGAGAGCCTCGGAGACGGCACCGGGCCAATAGAAGCGGCCGCGGCCGCGACCTGTGGAATCGATGAGGATTTCGGGTGTTGGAGCTTTGGGATATCGTAGACATTCTGTATGTATGATATAAGAATTGATATGTTCTTTTCTATGTTCTTCACGATTTTCGTCTCTACTTTTTTTCCCGATTTTCTTTTCTATGCTCTTGCATGTGCTTTCCTCCCTATTTTCTTTCACGTGTTCTCCCGGAGTTTCTCCCCTAGCTAATTCCCTATTTGTTTCTCCCTCGAGCTAAGGCTTTCACACAGAGTTGCTTTTTTGGAGGTTGTCATTGACAACAACCTGATAGTTGGTTCTCTTTACTACTTCATCATCAGGTGCTGAAGCGTCTTTTCCAGCAAGCCAATTTGCTTGCGATTAGAATCCTTCACCTGTAAATGTTACAATTTCGACTGAAAGCAAAATTACTGTTTTGGCATCAATCAAGTTGCAAAAAGACAGGCCTGACAGGCACAAAAGCATCATTGAAAACAAACGGGTCCGGTGGATGGGGTTCAATTCCCCACCCGCAGAACGCCCTGCCTGCTTTGGTGGCCAGCAATCGCGTCACTGCCACATACCTGAGGTCCAGTCGTCTTCGACCAGAGGAAAATCGTCTTCACAATTTTTTTGGAGGCGACCCCTGAAAGCAATCAAGATTATTGACATTTATTGACTGCGAACACGTCGCAAGTTTCAAGCTGATCTATCTGAAGTTTAAACTTAAACCCATGTCATTCCATGGGAATCTATGCAACTTCATTTGAAGGCGTTTGAGAGATGCGTCTCCAAGTTCTGTTGAGAGCCCGGCGCATTCTTCAAGTGCCAGTCCTTTCTATGCGTCCCTGCTGGACGGCCCAACCCTTGGAATGGTTATCCTTGTCTCAACAGAGGAAACGACACTGGGCGATGATCCAAAGAGTCTGAACATGTCTCAACAGTTCTTTTCCCATCTCTAGCACATACCCACCTCCGAGGCCCAAAAAATGTTGCTATTTTGTGCCAACAAACAGGTCCAAATCAGTCACTCCTCCCCCTCCGCAGTCCTGACAGGTTTTGTTGAACTCGGATTTGTTCATCTCCAGCCAGGACCACTCCACCCAGCTGGGCGGCCAGGCGTACCAACAGCGCAACTCCCGTCCAGCCTCGCGCAGCTCCACCATCCTGCGGACAGCTTGCGGTAGATGATGATGTTTGATGATGATCAACACCACCAGGAGTCTTCCTTGCACCCAAGATCATTTCCACCAGTGATCTCCAGAAAACCTCGAATCGCTGCGGATTTCCCAACAGCTCCTGTCGGAGTTCTCGACCACCAGTTGCTTGAGGTAGTCCACCAGGGCGTCCACCTCCAGTGGAGAATCAGAATCGACTCCCAGGCGACCTTGTGGATATTGCTAGTGGCAACCCATTCATATCTGCTAAGGCCCATCACCGGCCCAGTCCAGATTTTATTGAAAAAACTGATGCATCAAAAGAAATGACAGCAGAGTTCATTTTGGATACATCGCCATTTTGGATCATTTTGGCAGGCATCCAGTCATCCTGCGGATTTTCATGGCCCACAGGAAAGCAGCTACTAACACTGCTGCAAATACAAATACATGCAAATACCCAAAGAATCAAAAGTGGTCTAATTATGTCTAATTGCATCGATTCTCCCTTAGAGACCCATTTTCTTGTACCTTTTTTGCCCTTTCGAGCCATGTACAGCACCAGTAACCAGCTGTGGCTGGGCCTCCGTCATGGGCCACTTGATCACCGCTTTGGGCAAGTCCACCTGGGCCAAGAAGTGGTTGGTACTGGTTGGTAGTTCACCAGCCAAAATCGATCGAAGTCACCCATCTTGGCCACAAATGCAGCCCAGCAACGATTTCTCCGAAGGGCGGCTCGTAGCGATCGTTCAACAACACAGGGATGCATCCTTGCTGTTGATGGTCAAGTGCCATGGTTCAGGGGTTGGGATTGCGGGGATTGCTGGGATTGCTGGGATTGCTGGGATTGCTGGGATTGCTGGGATTGCTGGGATTGCTGGGATTGCTTCGCCGAAACAACCTTTGGACAAGTCCTCAAGAGTTCGTGAAGGTGGAATCTGTTACGAAGTTACGACATGGCTGCCATGATAGCGATGAAGTGTTGATGCTTGAATGATTGGTCATGTTTGATAGTTGGGGATGGCTACCACCGACTCCTCATATAATTATAGTGACACCATGTTTCACCCCCTTTCTTTAGGGGACGGTTGCCACCTCTTTTGGGTGTAAAACCCTGGGTTGTAGGGAAATGTTGCCACCCAACTGAACGCCCTCAAGAAGATGTGACTGCAGTTTTTTACCAGGTATACAATGTACTATGCGTACAAAGGCAGGAACAACAGCGGCAAACAACTGGCATGCTGCTGAGAGGAAGGCAACTTTTGGATACAGAAGAAGGGGCCTCCACAAAGGAGGTCAAGCGACGTAGTCTTGGATTAGATACGCTGGTGGTCGCCAGCAATCGCCAGAAACTGAGCCAAGTCTCCAGCAAAGAATGTCTGAAAGAAGCGGGAAGACCAGGCACTCTTTCCACGCGGCACAAAGCAAAACCTCAAGGGATTCGAAGCGATGAAATTGAAATATGCATGTGCTTGGGATAATTTGGGATATAAATATACACACAAGATTTTGAGGCGTCAACTCTTGACTAAGGAGATACTCGCAAAAATGCCATCAAGCTGTTCGGAAAATTATGATGTTCTAAACAGCATGGGGATTCCAGTGGCTTCTCCCTAAATTCCAAACCTGCGGTTTTGCACCAATACCCTCTGGGAATCAAATAGTGTGCTATGGAAAACTACGAAAAAATCATAAAAAATCCATGATTTCCCTATCAAACATGGTGATTCTCCATGTCCATGCAGGTCACCAGGGGGTAACTCTCAATCCCCCCTCGAACTCGACGCCGAGGCGCAACGAGCTGGTCAAACCCATGAAGGACTCCACGTACGGCACGTCCACATCCACGTGCAACATCTCGTCACCCTGTCGACATGGCTCGACATTAGGAAACCAAATTCGATACACCAAAAAGCAGCCAAAGATGGCGCTTCAATGGTGGTTACTCAGTGGTTACATGATTCCATGATGCTTAAATGGTAGATGGTGGTTTCTCTGCTACAAGAAAATATGAATAGAATGATCCATACCACGCCCGCATGATGTTTGTATACTTCTGACTTCTGTGAAAACTGCAGGTTTTACATCAGAAAACGTCAAGAACCATCTATACTATCCCTTTTCACATCCAACATCTTACATCATCTTACTAAACCACAACAACTGATCTTCCAGACTTTCCAGACTTCCAAACCTTCATCGGTGCCTTCTTGGCCAGCAACACGGAGCGCACGTTCAAGGGGCAGCTGCTATTTTGGCACTGCTCCGGCGGCATCACCGAGGGGTGTGGTGGCCTGTCGCCGATAAGCCCAGTGTCATGATTTGACGTGGGTAAAAAAAATAGAACATCAAATAAAGATGATACATGATTATTATTAGTGATAGTAGATACACAGTGATTGTCAAAATTGAGGATGGTCAAGGTGTTTTTTCAGTGCTGCCCCCCGGCTTCAGCTGCCACATTGACGGCCCGTATCAGTTGCCGCGTTGACGGCACCTGGGCCATCCAATGAAATGACCCAGGACGCTACGCTCTTCGACCGGTTTGGCCATTTTCCTCAGCTGCACGGATCATCGTGCACAACGACAATGTTGTGAGAATAATAGTAGTAATAATCATCATTGTCGTCGTCTTCTTCTTCCTCCTTCTTCATATTATTCATCTTCTTCATCTTCTTCATCTTCTTCATCTTCTTCATCTTCTTCATTTTCTTCATCATCATGTTCATCATCTTCATCATCTGCATCATCTGCATTATCATCCTCATCGTCATCGTCATCGGCATTGGTATCGACAACGTCATCATCACGTGGTGCCGCTCTGCTCTCAAATTCTGCGGCACAAAAAAAATCAGTTGGTTCAATGGTTCAGGATGTTCCATCCCTTTTCAAACCGCAACCTGCAGTTGTTTTGGTTGGCACCTAAGCGCAGTTGTTTTGGTTGGCACCTAAGCCATGGACTCCCAAGCCCCTATCAGAGATGCCAAAGGCGGCATTGCCGAAGGCTCCCAAGCCCAATCATGTCATCCACCGTGATCCGTCCGGGCACCAGGATGTCTTTGTACGGGGTGTAGGACGCTAGGACAACTTCCTGGAGCCAAAAAAACAAACCTATTTATTTCCCTATTTATGTCCTTATTTATTTCCCTATTTATTTCCCTATTTATTTCCCTATTTTTTCCCTATTTATTTCCCTATGCATTTCCCTATTTATTTCCCTATTCATGTCCCTATTCATTTCCCTATTTATTTCCCTATTTATGTCCCTATTTGTTTCCCTATTTCTTTCCCTATTTATTCCCCTATAAATTTCCCTATTTATGTCCCTAGTTTTTTCCCTCATTTATTTCCCTATCTATGTCCCTATTTATTTTCCTATTTATTTCCCTATTTATTTCCCTATTTATTTCCCTATTTTTTCCCTATTTATTTCCCCATTTATTTCCCTATTTATTTCCCTATTTTTTCCCTATTTATTCCCCTATTTATTCCCCTATCTATTTTCCCTATTTATTTCCCTATTTATGTCCCTATTGTTTCCCTATTTTTTTCACTATATATTTCCCTATTCATTTCCCTATTGATTTCCCTATTTATTTCCCTATGTTTTCCCCTATTTATTTCCCTATTTATTTCCCTACTTATTTCCCTATTTATTTCTCTATTTATTTCCCTATTTATTCCCCTATTTATTTCCCTATTTATGTCCCTATGTTTTCCCCTATTTATTTCCCTATTTATTTCCATTATTTCCCTATTTTTTCCCCATTTATTTCCCCATTCATTTCCCTATTCATTTCCCTATATTTCCCTATTTAGTTCCCTATTTAGTTCCCTATTTAGTTCCCTATTTATTTCCCTATTTATTTCCCTATTTATCTTGCCAGCACTTAAGGTAGTCAAATAGTCTAATTAGAATATTCCAAGTCACATTAACGGAGGATGAATTATCATACAAATAAAGTTTGAGCCAAGGACTTGTTAGAGGGTACTCATGCGATATCACAGTTTTAACAGATTCCCAGATTCCTTGTTGGATGAGGTATTGCTCATGCACCAAAAAAGTTTTAACAATCCAAATTTCAAAGATGCCTTCCCTTATACATATTGATCGGACGTCCCCACATCCCCATGATGGTGTGGGTGGTGATGGTTAATTAAATATGATGAATTTTGGTGTAAGGGGTGGGTGGGTGGGGGGGGGGATCCGCAGGGCCAGCCACGCCCTGCTGTGGTTGCACCACTGCCCCAGCCGCAGCCTCAGCAATGGAGGCATGCGGGCCACAAGGCCTTGGAATGAACGGGGTAGTAAAAATCAAACCATTAATCTATAAGACATATGAATGTCGGGACATATTATATTTAATTGGTAGATCCATGTTAGGATCATGATTGCTGGTGATGTTTGCAGCCGGTATCTTTCATTTAGTAGATGGGTTTCAATCAACGGTAGCCCTTTGAACATATCTTAGTGATTCTTTGTGGGGATTGGGTTGGTCATGAAATTATTACCACCCAAAAAATGTAACAAATTCTTGGGAATAATGGCATATTTCCAATCCATCCTAGCTAGAGATCATTTGGGGGTACCCCCATTTATGGAACTTCCCCCTGATTTTCCACCATAAACCAGACAGCTATTGGGGTACCCTCCGTGACTTAACCTCGGGCCAGGCCCTAGCCCTAGCCCGGGCTGAGACTTCGGACCCCAGATGCCCTTGACAGTCTTTGCAATGCAGGCCACAGGTTTTGCAAATCTTGCTACCTAAGGATGCCAGAAGCACTGACGTACTGCCGGATTCAGGCCAAACAAAGGATCCGGCAATGTGGACTGGGATCTCTTTGGAGCATGTCTCTGCACAATATATATATATATGTATATGTATGTATACTGTATATAAATAAATAAGCTCCACTTAACATAGTCAAATAATAAAATTGTGTTGAACGCATCTTTCCCCAAAAAATGTTGCAGGATGTTGCAGGTTCCAAGAAACTTTACAGATCAATCTTGTACAATCATCCGTGGTCTTCCATGGTCGATCTGGGAAAATATGCTGATGATCCAATTGGGCTAACCGGCTAACCGTCCATGATATTCCATGGTCTGCCGTGGTAATATATGCTAGGGTTAAGTACAACTGGTGATGCCTGGTGATGCTCTAAGTGGTCTTATTATCCATTGTATTCCATGGTTGGTGTTGGAAATATGCCACAACGGATGTGGCTGAGAATGTTTGATAGGGATTTAATTGCCACCACTTATTATGATGTCTATATAAATATCCATCCGGTCCCAGATTAGAGACCCACCCCTGGCTGACACCGCGGCCAACCACGCTACACCCAAGCTGCTCCAGTCCAGCCGGGGACCTTGGCCAGTGAGACGGGGTGCTGTAGCCTGGCCCAACTTGGTGAACCTTCCTGGAACTTTAAATTGAATATAGTATTTTCAGATATGTCATGGGTTTACTCCATGAATTTCAATAATCAGAATTTATATGTTCGATTCGGATGTTGGCCCCCACTGGTTTCAAAGCAGATACAATCCAATAAAATAGTGGTATAGAATCTTTACCAAATAATACCAACTCCCATGTAATTTTGGTGGTGATATAAAATTCCAAAGCCACCTGAGCAAACCAGGGCACAATTTCTTGTTTTCACGAAATTCCATCAGTGCCGTTGCATGCCGCGTTGAATTTGTTTTGTCGGCATTTCAATGCAGTGAGAAGGTTGCACCCATTTTTAAAAAAATTAGCATTCACTATTGAAATCCAGAAGTGCACTTAAGCAAATCACCGCTCTATGTAAGGGAGCAAAAATCCCCTTTCACTTCATCACTCCGAAGCGCTTCCGAGTGCTGGGTCCCCCCTGTGATGGATCTATGGGGCGATTTTTTTTGATCGTTTTAGACCTGACCGAATATTTTCAACATTCACTTAAGATAATTTTTGTAGGCTTCCAGCACTCCGAAGCGCTTCCGAATGATGGAGTGATAGGGGTAATACGCGCCTTCCTCTACAACAGTGATTTGCTTAAGTGCACTTCCATATTTTGGAATTCGTTGCTAATTTAATTTTTCAATAAATCATTCACCCATTTGATCAGTCCAAGGGTTTGATATCCACAGAATTCCAGCCGAAGATCAGGGAATACCATGAGTAGTAGATTTCCAGGGCCATATCAGCGATAACTGTGAATCCACAAGCTTGGAGTGGGGGGGGTTAAGCTTGGAGTGGGGGGGGGGTTATAATGGAAAATACCATTAAAATTGATGATTTATGGGAATCCCTATTTTTGAAATCCCCCAAATCATTTCAACGTTTGATATGTTGGGGATGATCATAGTTCATGAAGCTATGGCCTTTATAACCAGTTATAACTGGGTATAAATGGGATTATACATTCCATAAATGGGGTTACAAGTATTTGTAACTGATGCACGGCCACAACTATGGGTTTCTGATAATTAAACTCGGGTTTATATCTCATTCGTGAGTCTCAACCCCCCTTATGTCGTCAGCGGCGAATTTTTGATCCGTTGTGAAGATAAGATTAAGTTGATATTATTACCCTCGTCAAAATTCGTTATAAAGCGTGGCGAATTTTGATCCCTCATGAAAATAAATTCGATGTCGGTGCCCCCCTAACAAAATGGTCATAGGAAGTAGCGAATTTTGATAACTCATGAGTATGAAGTTGCTGGAGGGATCAATCAAGCCCAGATAAATTCCCAGCGGGTCCATTATTGGCATGAGATCCTTTTTTTTCTAGATACAGTAGATATGAGAGGTCGTTTTGTTTTTTATCATCTGACCGTCCGTGGGGGGAGCGAAGCGCTCCGGGTGCGGAAGTTTCCAAGAAGGCACATCCCCACGGGCGGCAGATGCAGACATGCTAGATATAGACGCATTATGAATACAAAAGATAGATTTTTATACGGTAAGGGAGAAACGGTGAGGAGCGAAAGGGGTCTTCGCAAAGAGCATATAAGCACACTGCCGTTTCTCCCAAAAAATATACATGGGAAAAAATCAGTCAAAAAGCAAAAAGACAAGCAAAAGCGTAGATAAGGCCCCAAAAGTAGAACCACCCAACATAGAAGATATCTAACTGGAATGAAACGTAACATTATGATTACATAATGTAATTATATAATGATTACCTTGCCTGGCGTCGCCGTTTATATTATTCTGATTTTAGCTAGGCGCGCCTCCCTTGGTAATCATTCATTATTCCCATTTTTCAAAGGGGCAACGTGGAAGGAACAGTGCTTGGTGAGAAAAAAAATCAGCCTGCTATCCTTTGACCTTTTTCTTTGCATGCTTGGAAAATGAAGACAAGAAAAAGAAAGAACCGCGGAATCTCGAAGCCTTCAAAATTGGAATCTTTCGCCAACCACACCGTGCACCGCCGATAAAAACTACTCACGGACGGAACCGTCAGGCTCTTGCAGCCCTGGTAACCAAAGCTTCAGCAAACTGGAATCTTAAGGTCACAGCCTTAAAGCCGTATATATACATTGCTCTCCCATGAAAGCAAACGAAAGCAAACGACAGCCAAAAAAAAAAGATAGAAAGAAGTAAACCCTGACGGGATCTTAGAACACCTTTCTTTGCTCTTGAATCTTTCTCTTGCATCTCTAGCACCCTCTTGCTAACCTTGAATTTCAAATCGCTTTTCAAAGAAAAACAGGTACCAACCGCGAACCTGGACAAGAGCGCAAGATTATATATAGTAGGCGCAGATGACATGGGACTTTGTGGCCGATTTAGCCGAGGTTTTTTGGCACATGACATGGGATTTATGTATTGATTTTGCTATGGTTTTGTTTTTTACACATGACATGGGAGCTATGCGCCGACCTAACGGGCAGGTATTTTTCCATTTTTTTGACAGATGACATGGGAATAAGTGATCAAATTTACACATGACATGGGACTTCCAGGAAAACACGGACGTCCAAAATGGAAAGTGGCAGGTCATGAGATGGGAAGACGAATTTACCACAGGAGATGGGACATCCAAGATGGGAACTGACGGAATATTTTGGATTATTCTAACTGCTAGCATGTTATTTCCCTATTTATTTCCCTATTTATTTCCCTATTCATTTCCCTATTCATTTCCCTATTTATTTCCCTATGTTTTTCCCTATTTTGTTTCCCCATTTATTTCCCTATTTATGTCCCTATTCATTTCCCATCATTTCCCTATTCATTTCCCTATTTATTTCCCTAGTTCCCTAAATATATCCCTATTTGTTGCATTATTTATTTCCCTATTTATTTCCCTATTTATTTCCCTGTTTATTTCCGCATTTATTTCCCTATTTATTTCCCTATTTATTTCCCTATTTATTTCCCTATTTAGTTCCCAATTATTTCCCATGTTTTCCCTATGTATTTCCCTATTTATTTCCCTATTTATGTCCATATTTATTTCCCTATTTATTTCCCTATTTATGTCCCTAATTATTTCCCTATTTATTTCCCTATCTATTTCCTTTTTTTCCCTATTTATTTCCCTATTTATTGCCCTATTCATTTCCCTATTCATTTCCCTATTTATTTCCCTATGTATTTCCCTATTCATTTCCCTATTCATTCCCTATTTATTTCCCTATTTATTTCCCTATTTATTTCCATAGTTATTTCCATATGTATTTTTCCATTTATTTCCCTATTTATTTCCCTATTTATTGTCCTATTTATTTCCCTATTTATTTCCCTATTCATTTCCCTTTTTTTCCCCATTTATTTCCCCATTTATTTCCCTATTTATTTCCTTATTTATTTCCCTATTGTTTTCCCTATTTTTTCCCTATTCCCTATTGATTTCCCTATTTATTTCCCTATGTTTTTTCCCCATTTATTTCCCCATTTATTTCCCCATTTATGTCCCTATTTATTTCCCTATTTATTCCCTATGTATTTCCCTATTTAATTCCCTATTTAGTTCCCTATTTATTTCCCTATTTATTTCCCTATGCATTTCCCTATTTATTTCCCTATTCATGTCCCTATTCATTTCCCTATTTATTTCCCTATTTATTTCCATAGTTATTTCCATATGTATTTCCCCATTTATTTCCCTATTTTTTTTCTTTATTTATTTCCCTAGTTTTTCCCCTTTTTATTTCCCTATTTAGTTCCCTATTTCCCTCATTTATTTCCCTCATTTATTTCCCTATTTATTTCCCTATTTATTTCCCTAGTTATTTCCCTATTCATTTCCCTATTCATTTCCCTATTTATTTCCCTATGTATTTCATTATTTTTTTCCCTCATTTATTTCCCTATTTATTTCCCTATGTATTTCCCTATTTATTTCCCTATTTATTTCCCTATTCATTTCCCTATTCATTTCCCTATTTATTTCCCTATTTATTTCCCTATTCATTGCCCTATTCATTCCCCGATTTATTTCCCTATTTATTTCCCTATTTATTTCCATACTTATTTCCATATTTATGTCGCCATTTATTTCCCTATTTATTTCCCTATTTATTTCCCTATTTATTTTCCTATTTATTTCCCTATTTATTTCCCTATTTTTTCCCCTATGTTTTTCCCTATGTATTTTCCTATTTATTCCCCTATTTTTTACCCTATTTATTTCCCTATTTAGTTCCCTATATATTTCCCTATTTTTGTCCCGTTTTATTTCCCCATTTATTCCCCTATTTATTTCCTTATTTATTTCCCTATTGTTTTCCCTATTTTTTCCCTATTCCCTATTGATTTCCCTATTTATTTCCCTATTCATTTCCCTATTTATTTCCCTATTTATTTCCCTATTTTTTTCCCTCATTTATTTCCCTATTTATTTCCCTATTTATTTCCCTATTTATTTCCCTATTTATTTCCCTATTCATTTCCCTATTCATTTCCCTATTTATTTCCCTATTTATTTGCCTATTTTTTCCCTCATTTATTTCCCTATTTATTTCCCTATGTATTTCCCTATTTGTTCCCTATTTTTTTTCCCTATTTATTTTCCTATTTATTCCCCTATTTTGTTCCCTATTTATTTCCCTATTCATTTCCCTATCCATTTCCCTATTTATTTCCCTATTTATTTCCCCTATTTATTTCCCTATTTATTTCCCTATTGATTTCCGTATTTATTTCCCTATTTAGTTCACTCTTTATTTCCCTATTTTTTCCTTTTTTTCCCTAGTTAGTTCCCTTTTTTATTTCCCTAGTTGTCCTTTATTTATTTCCCTAGTTGTCCTTTATTTATTTCCCTATTTTTTCCTATTTTTCGCCTATGTTTTTCCCTATTTATTTCCCTATTTATTTCCCTATTTGTTTCCCTAGTGTTTTCCCTATGTGTTCCCTAGTTTTTTCCCTATTTATTTTCCTATTTATTTCCATATTTTTCCCCTATTTATTTCACTATTTATGTCCCTATTTATGTCCCTATTTATTTCCCTATCTATGTCTCTAGTTATTTCCCTATTTTTTCCCCTATTTATTTCCCTATTTATTTCCCTATCTATTTCCCCATTTATTTACCTATTTATATATTTCCCTATGGTTTCCCCTATTTATTTCCCTATTTATTTCCCTATTCATTTCCCTATGTGTCCTTTATTTATTTCCCTATTTTTTTCCTATTTTGTTTCCCTATTATTTCCCTTTTTTTCCATGCTTTCTTTATTAGTTCCCTATTATGTCCCTATCATGTCCCTATTTCTTTTTTTCCCATGATTTTCCCTTTTTTTTCCTTATTATTTCCATAATGTGCCTGTTATTTCTCATTATTTCCTTATGATTTCCCTTGTTTTAATTATTTCCTATTCTGTCCCTATTATTTCCTTATTTTTCCCTATGTTTTCTTGATTATTTGCATTTGTTGTTTTCTTCTTTTTGTTCCTGAGTGGGTCCTTATTTTTTTAATAGTTCCCTGTTATTTCCATATTTCTGTCCTATTTTTTTCTCTATTATGTACCTATTATTTCCATATTCCTATGTTTTCCTATGTGTTCCCTTTTATTTCCCTATTTTTTCCATATTATTTACCTATTATTTCCCTATTCCTATTTTTTTCCCTATTGTTTCCCTATTATTACCCTATTATGTTCCTATTACCTCCCTTTGATTTCCCTATTATGTCCTTCCCTACTTTTCCCTACTATTGTTCTATTATTTACGTATTATTTACCTATTTTTTACCTATTATCTTCCCTACTATTCCCCGATTCTTCCCCTATTATTTTCCTTTTTTACTTTTTCCCTATTATATATTTCCCTATTGTTTCCCTATTAAATGTCCTTATTATTTCCATATTTTGTCCTTATTGTTTCCTTATGATGTCCCTATTTTTTCCCTATGTGTCCCTATTATTTCCCTATTTTTTCATTATTAGTTCCCTATTATTTCCCTATTATTTCATTATTATTTTCCTATTATTTTCCTATGTTTTCCATATTGTTTCTATATTGAAAGGTGTGATTCAATGCAGCGTGCGCTTACGCATTCAATGCAGCGTGCGCTTACGCACTACTTAGGCGGCCACAATTTTTACTTTTGCCGGGGTTGGGGTGTGAGACGGTCTTACACAACAGTTACGTGACTTGAATTGCCCCAAATGTGATTTTCCTGCAAAGAATTGCTTCCGCAGCCGCTTAGGACATGTTGACAGGAGTGCTTTGCTGGCGCCGGTCAGCCATCTGACACAACTCTTGCTAGACACTTGTTTTGGACCCTGCTCACCTGCATCTCTTCTCCAGAAAAACAAGCCACGTGAACCTTTCTGGTGCCTCAGTGGTTCCTGTGGCTTGGTTTTTGTGAGAAGAGATGCAGGTGAGAAAACAGCCCTTCATGTGCATTTGGAAAAGCAAGCAAGGAACCGCATGAGAAGGGAGGGGCACAAATCTCAAATCCTGGTCCTATTCATTGACATGATCAATCATTGTTGACAACACTCAAAGGGTCTTGAAAGCAGAGATCTTCTTACTTGCTCAGACTTTTAAAGCAAGATTTTACCCCCTATAGAATCAGAACCACCATCTCGATGATATTTGGTCGAAAACCCGAAAAGAGACACTCTATACAATAAGAACCAGGAAATCGAAACTCTATAGAACCTCTATGACTCTATAGAATCTGAACACCAGTTTCCAAGGCAGGCAAAGCGCATAATTAATTTAAAAAACGATTTATTTGGAGCACGCGCTCCAAGATCTTGCAGAGATTTTTTTTCCAGGGGAATATTTTCTCATTGAAAAAATGCCAACTTTCAACCTCCCCGTAGGATCCAGGATCTCCTTGTAGGGATTCCACAGCTCCGGCTCGGTCATCATGAAGATGGCGTTGGGCACCCAGTCTCGCCAAGTGGCGAAGGGCCCATCTGCTGCCATCCCGGAGCCCCACACGAAGATGTGGTCCCGCCCTGGCAGGAAAAATGCTGAGTTTACCCCAAAAAACCTGGAATTGTATGGTATGTATGGTTTCATATCCTTCTACTAGTACCAGCAAAAATGCGGGGCCAACCGGTCAAGCTTAGAAAATACAGGAAACAAACAGTGGATTGCCAGCAGAACTGTCTGCTTGGTGAGGATGATGGTCGTGAGAATAGGATTCCTCATCCGCCGGCACCTCCGTCCACACGTCTGTAGTGCTGGGAGCTGCTAAGGACCTGGGGATGGCATCTGCACCTTGAAGGCTGTTTATCAAGCTGGGTTCATTCCTTGGACTCCAAGATCTCAGGTTCCATCACCTTTGAATCCAACCAACATCCAAACCTCCCAACATCTACCAACCTTGGCTGATTCCCCACCTGCTGAAACAGCTCCGTGGTTGGCCCACACAGCTGCTTGGTGTCGCAGCCCTCAAAGGTATCTGCATGGTTGATGAGACACGAGGTGTAGTGCGGCACGAAGAAAAAGTCGGCCTCCTGGGATTCAGCACAGCGGCACTGAGCAGCGGCTGGTGATGGACAGCAAGTCCACGGGAGATCTTTCAGAATTTGTCAGAGGCTTTCGCTTGTAATAAGACAATTGGATAGGATTGGTCACGATTCAAACTGTTTGGCTTGTGCCCCGAAGGTACACACACCCCAAGCATTCCCAAGCCATTTCATCTCCAAGTGTCTTCCGGGTTATCTGTCCGGCAGGGACACGCCAGAAACCAGTCGTGCAGAGCCACCTCCATGCCCCACTGGTTGTGTTTGCAGAAGGAGCCACCACGAGTCAAAGCCCTCAGCTCGTTGCGGCATCCAGGTGCATCAATGTGTTCCCGAAAACCCGTGGTGGAAATCATGGTGTTTCCATTTGGAAAGCCATTGGATATACAGCCATCCCCGCCTCAATGCTGGGATCGAGTCGGGATCGTAAACCTCAGTGCCACATCGCAACCAACCCATCTTCCCCCTGAAGGAAACCTGGAAAATACATCGAAGAAAAAACATGGGAACTGATGGAAAATGGGGAGATGGATGACATATCTTCACCAACAAAAACGATGAGATCGACCAGCAACTGTCTGTCCATGTCGGCATAACAAATGCTGTGTTCAAAGCAGGGGGGTTCACCCACTTGAACAGACTTTGTCGTTTCATTCCTCACAACCAATAAAACAACCAATGTCCATCATCATCCATCATCCATCAGAATCCACCGCCCTTGGACTGCGATTCTGCGTCAACACGTTCGGAAACTCCAAAACTTCTACGATGAATCCAAGAACTTACCAGCAACATGTCTGAGATTCTTTTCTTGGGAGTCTGAGATTCTCAATCCCAAAATCACCCAAACATTCCAAAAAAGTTAAGTCCCCAGCCCGACCTGGGTCCCCCCACGAAAACCCGAAAGCTGGGCTTGGGCGCCCCCGACTGCGCAGCGCCCCAGGGCCGCGACAAAGGCTCCAAGGGGTCGCCCCTGGGGCGCCAGGAGCCCCAAACCTGGCAGGGGAAAGCCTGGTGTTCAGTAGAGGGGGCAGAGAGCTAGATCATATTTAGATATTTATATAAATACATATATATATATATTCATATTTATATTTACATGTTTTTATCTATTTATATGTATATTTATATTTTTATTTATATTTTTATTTATATTTATATTTATATGGTTTTATCTATTTATTTGTATCCATATATATATATGTATTTACTGTATATGTCTATTTATATTTGAATTTATATTTATATATAGATATATTTTGTATATGAACAGTTTATGTAGTTCATGTGATCTCTAGATTTGGCGTCAAATTTGTTGAGCCTCATTTTTGAACAGGTTTTGAGGGGAGAGACTTGTTCCTTGCTGCATTTTCCGGTGGCTAGGACCTTGCTGCATTTTCCGGTGGCTAGGGCGGCTTTGAGCTCCGCCATTGGTACCCCAACCAGGAGAGGCAAGGATAGAAAGCTAGTATGGCAAATTGTGAACCTATGAACAAACCATGTGTGGATTAATACCCACTACATTCCATTCTTAGTCATTCTTGGTTGTATCAGCGATAAGCATCCCACATATTCCCATTGTTGCTGGTTGCTGGTAAAATCCCGGGTTTATCCCATAGTTTCACCAACTTTCTTTGCAAGAAAAACATGATCCCGTGATTTCACCAAATTTGACCCCCAAAAAAAAAAAAACATTAGGTGGTTCTGAAAATCACCCAAAACGCCTAAGCCTTCTGTTACACCTGCTTCCTAACCTCTATGTCTGTCATGCATTATTCCTTATAACAGCTTTTCTCTAACTCTCGTCATGTCTTCACTTTTACATTTGAATTCATTAAGCTCTACCAGAAAGATTTTGAAGAAGTTTCCGTTTGCCCCCTTTTCCCCGCCCTGAAGCCTGGCCTTGCTCCAATCCTCGTCATGGAGCCCAAAGGCGTTCTTGAAGCGCCGCCGCCGCTCCGGGCCGCCTCGGCCACCGCCCGAGGAGGCGCGCAGCAAGGCGCGCCTGGACAGGGGAGTTTTCCCATGGGAGCCATGGGAAATGATGGATGATATCGGATGATCCACTGAGTGCCACTGAGTTTGGAGAATTTTCTGCAGGGTTTTTCAGAAATTGGAGTAAGATGAACATGATGAACCAACATTCGCTAAACATTCAAAGAATGCCTGATGGGCCTGATGGATTCAAGAGACATGAGAGGAGTCTAGCACCTCTGCAGAATCCCTGTGTACACATTGAGTACATTCGAAGAGACATGAAGCCAAATTTCCCACAAGGGTTTGGAACATTTTATGACACAAGTCAGGGAGACAAATTGAGGGCAGCTTGTTTGGCAACCCGCGCTGAAGTCAGAAAGACTGTACATGAGGAACGTGGCCCCAGCGTACTGGAACAGACAGACCATATCAGCACGCCAAATCGTAAGGAGTCGTGCTGGCTGTGGTTTCAGTGAGCAGCGATCTATTTCGCTTGAAGCCAGCATCCATCAACACGTGCAAAACCTCCCATTGTCCATGGGAAGCAGCCAGAGGCACAGCTTCCCAATCTTTTTCGACTCCGGCAGCAAGCAATGCGCGCACAGTTTCCATGTGCCCATTCTTGACAGCCAAATGCAAAGGTGTCTCACCACCTGTGGTGGCGCTGTTCTTCTCAGCGCCAGCAATTAGCAACACGTGCACTACTTCAAAGTTGCCCGCCCCTGCTGCCAGGTGTAAAGCTGTGCAACCAAACTCTGTCTTGATGTCTGTCTCAGCACCGGTCAAGAGCAACCATTTCACCACAGCCACCTGAGAATTGTAGGCTGCAGCATGCAAAGCTGTTTCGCCGCTTGCTGCTCTACTGTTCTTCTCGGCGCCTGCATTGAGTAACAGCCTGACTACTTCCAAGTGGCCACCGCAGGCATGACAGACAGTTGCACAATGCAAAGGTGTCATGCCATCGCTCCTTACACTGTTCTTTTCAGCCCCAGCTTCCAATAGCAAACGTACCACTTCCAGATGGTCACAGGCAGCTGCACAATGCAATGGCGTGGCGCCATCTGTCCTGGCGCTGTTTGTCTCAGCACCGGCATCCAGCAACTATCGCACCACTTCCAGGTGACCATAGTAAGCTGCAGAATGCAGCGGCGTTGTACAATCTGTTCTGGCACTATTCACCGTAGCACCTGCTCCCAACAGCAATCGCGCTACTTCCAGATTGTCTCGCTCAGCCGCACATTGCAATGCTGTTGCTCCTTCAGCCATCTGACTGTTTGGGTTGGCGTCAGCGTCCAAGAGCAGTTGTAGCACTCCGACATGTCCGTTGTTGGCTGCGCAGTGCAATGCTCTGGAGCCATCCTCTGTGGCCGTGATTTCCAGATCAGCACGAGACTCCAACAACAATTCCACGCAGCTCTCGTTGCCCGCCTCTGCTGCAAAGTGCAGGGCTGGCCAGCCATGAGGATCTCGTGTGTCAGGGTTCTGCGGTCGTTGAAGCATCATCTCAACTTTGTCTATCTCGTTCTGCGCGCATGCAGAAATGAACTCGGCATCTGCGTCTTCAGATGGCCAAAAATCCAGAATCACAAGTTGCAAATCCAGCGGGAGGCTAATCTCCTTTTCATCACAAAACTCACCCTCGGTTTCACTGAGAATTCGTTGTCTGAATCTAGAGCGACCAATTTGATTGGAGAGGTATTTTTTCAACGCAACGACGGATCTGTCTTTGCCACCAATCAGCTCATCAAACTCTGCTGCATTGAGGACTGCTACTTCTTTGCCAGCGGGTGAAGTTACACGCAGCATGAAAACTGGCTACGTCAACAATTCAAAGCTCTGGGCAAAAGGCTCAAATGGATGAGATATACCAAGCAGCCACTGGAATCTGTTGACAAATCGCATGAATATGATAAATGATCATAAATGTGGATGGGATATTGCAGCCACAGCCCAAGAAACCAAAAAAATAAAAAAAGTGATCACCACTAGCTTGGGACAGCCACTGTGGTCCCGGCACCTGAGGCTGTCAAGCCCATCGGCAGAGATCGGCCAAATCTTGCCTCACAGCGGCTGTCAGTGCGCTGCACGGCCAACTCATGAGGCCTATCAGACCATCACCTTGCCATGTGAGATCAGCCCAAATTGGAAGAACTTGCTGGAATACCAAATGATCATTCATCCATGCGTTGAATGAAAACGAGAGAAAACCTCATGGTACCATCAAGTGCCCCGACAAATCTGAGCTGATTGGTGCTTTCAAGCCCCCTGAAAGATACTCTAAATTGTGGAGCATCATCCCATAAATATAGATAATATAGTCTACATATGTCTACATCAGTTGAAGTTTGATATCTTCCGGAAATTCCCAGAACAGAATCTTTGAAATCACCACATTCAACCAGAATTCGGGCTCCCCCGAAGTCGCAGAGTCCGCCATGTCAGCCGGTGCCGTCCCAAGGACCGTAGCCAGCGGCTTTGTCCAACAGGTCTGGATGAAGCGCTCCACTGTGCTCGTCCACCATCCGAAAGGCATCTGCGGCAGCTTCCACGCCTCGGTCGCTTCGCGAGGCGAGCGATTCGCAGATGTTTGTAGCTGGTGATGATTAGATGGATGTTACTATATATATCTATATATTCAATAGTGAACATTCATGAACATTCATGAACATTCTAATTGATAGTGAATACCAGCTTGATATATTGACTATTGGTGAATATTGATGAATGTTGAATATTAGACTGCTGAACATCTATAGTGAACATCTACAGCTGGTTTCGTACATTATAATTGAATTCAATATTGAGAATGATAGCTGAACACCTAGAAATATACGGTATCTCCATGTGTGGCCAGAAATGAACAAACTAATCTACTCAACCAAGGCGTACCAGGCGTACCAGTGTTGGCTTCAATATATGGTTAGGTGATGCAAAGGTGTACAGCACCACACACGGATCACCTAAGCCCCCAACTACCGATCTCGAACAGCAGCATGTGCGCGAAGTAGTACTGCATGGAAACCAAGCCCAGCAAGCACACCTTGGACTCTTCATCCACCTTCGTGACATTCTCCTTGGTAAAGCCCAGATTCCAATGGCTCGCAGCTGAGATATCACTTGGTGGCAGTGGCAACACAAACCTTGCACTCCAATCTGCTAAAGCTCAACATATCTGAGTTATTCTGAGTTTCTCTATGTTTCTCTTAGAATATGGCAGTCAACAAGAAGATGCTTTCTTCTCATGTTCCCCACATTTTCCTTTGTTTCATGGCCATTTTATGGGTATCCAACCCATTTTCACACCCATCCACCAGCTATGGCCGGCTGCAGCTGAGACACCAAGCCCCACTCCTCAGGGTTACGAACGAATTTCCCACAGAGTGTGAGAATCCCCATATATTGATATGTATTGGATGTTGGATATTATCTCCCCCTATTATCAAACAACGAGAATTTTGGAATAATCTCCTCAGTGCTCATGTGAGACTCAGCGTGTTCTTGCATTGAGTCGCTATCGCAGATCAATTTTGCACCATCAGCTTGCCCGAGCAGGGACAAGGATCAACAGTCTCTATGAGACTTGCGTTCTCCCATCTGTGTTTGGCAAGTACAGTATCCTTCCAGAAAGTGGCCAAATCCATGACAATTTTCACGTAGGCCAGAAACATGGGTGTGTCACCATTTTCAGTGGCCATAAATGTTTGTTTACACCATTTTAAGACAAACCAATAT